GTCCTAATCGCAAACGCGGGTTTACCGCGGGGCGGGCTCCTCCGGGAAGCGATATAGGTGTTAGTTAAGCATTCCCGGAAAGTCCGGAAATCGAACACGTTTCCCGTAAAGTGATATACGCCGCGGCCTATAAACATCCGCGAGCGAGTTAATTTAGAAGCCGCATAAATTTTCGATACTTTCCCTTTTCCATTTCGGTGATTAGATGGCGCTCAAAGGTACATTTTCCAGCCGCGCCGACGACCCGACGGGCGATTTACAACGCGCTTTCCATCAGTTTTGGCACAAAAGACAATTTCTTGATGAAATTTATACACTAAAATCTTCATGTACTAATGTGTTGATAACTGGATTAATATTTAATTAAACACATCTTCCAATTTAGACTAATTGGACACCTTGGGTAGATGCTTATGTTGAAATTTTGGTGGAACAAAAGAAATTTCCACCAGAAATTAGACAGGTAAAATGTCTGATGAATTTAATTAGGCTACAATCGGAATGGCTGTTAGTCAGAAAAAATTAGTGACAGACACTCAGGTGTCTTTCGGGCGCATGATGTCTTTTTAATGCTAATATAAAAGGAGGGCTCGCTTTGAGTTTCTTTATGTAACTCTAACTAGGAGACTACAAAAAAGCGTTCCGAACAAAGCGTTTTATGTTTCGGCGCGCTTTTTCTTGTTTGTTCGTTCTTTCGTTTATTTCAATTTTCGATTTGTCAGTAAACAGGTTTTTTTTAATGGTTATATATTCGCCAAGATTGAGCAACTTAAATTTGGTTTTTGTTTTGAAATCGTACACATCGAGAGAGTCTTCGACTTTTCCAGCTCATCGATATTGCAATCCATCATAACACATTCTTATACTAAATTCGAAACGTCGCTGCGTAGATGAAAAGAAAATTGATCACCGGCTCTTGTAAGAAATACGCAATTTAATGTTAATTATCCGGCCAATTATTTTTCCTGGATAAATCAAAAAGGCTTTTAGGAAGCCTGTTTATATCTTAAAAAGGGGAACGGTTGATATAAATAACGTTATATAAATTTAACGCTTAGCTACTTCAGTGTAAAATGTAATGTAATGAAACTACATTAAGGGAATTATAAGACGTTCGTATAATTTTGTAATCATGGAAAATGGATTATGCTACATATTCGAAGTAACAGCTATTTTCACTTAAGCGACTTTAATAATGCATTATTACAGGGTTTGCGCTACTAGCGCGTAATTAAATGCACTAATTAACCAGCAATACCTAATTATAAATGTACATTTCGAAATCATGAACTAAACAATTACATTGACAATGGGCATTGTAATTATAAAAACATAGTAGACATTTCCACCTATTATAATTCAACGGGGTGTAATCTTTTGTGTTCGGAATACGAAGGTCGCTAATTAATAAATTGAGAGCAATTAAATTCTATTGAAACGAATTTCTTTAGACCCCACTTACACCAATTAGAAAGGTATTCATCGAGGCCGGGAGCTCTAAGTACTATCATCATCCTCAGCCATTCTTTCGCGAAAGCAATGACTAATTTTCCGCTCTGTTAAAGAAAACAGGCCCCCCTTATCGGCTCTTCCCCCCGCCGAATTTCTATACTGAGTGCTTCATTGTTTTCCCATTTTAAGCGTGATTTATGGTTATTTGCGAAGAACCACAAATAACGATAGGGGAAACCGAGGGCGTCCTATTATATAGCTATTCAGCGTAATCCTTTACAAAACCCGGCGACCTCCGCAACTTCGCTGATGGCGGAAATTCCCCGAATAATAGGCAAATTATAAAAAAAAAACAATTCCCGTAGATTATACTGAACGTTTTAATGAAGAACTCTGGTCGACGTCGTGAAGCGAAAATTAACCGCATGAGCACATGAAACTTCGGCCTTCCCGAGGGAAAAAATCGCCGAAAAATCGATCCCTTTACATAATGAAGCACGTAATCGTGCCTAATCACTAACCAAAACGTCTGATATAAAAAAATTAATTCCATGATTAATCACGCCGTTCCGGCATCGCTAATAATCTTGATTACGCCTCGATTAGTTTATAAACAGCCAGAGGACGATGAGATAACCCAATTTTTCTACTCGAACTTTTCTAAAAATAAAGGGTGCATGTTTCACAAACTTAAATTTGGGGCCAATTAGTTTCGGATAAAAAAATCCAATTCGTCTACTTTTTTATTAATTCCTCACGAAGCTTTACGACATAGGCAATTTAATCGTTTTTTTATACAATCAGGATTTATTGTATTAATTTCATGGATGATATTGAAAATGGTAGGTGTAGAATTTTATTACTGGGCGTTTCATTACGAAGTGCTTTTAATAGACATCCATAAAATTCGAGGAACTTGAGGTACATGTAGGAAAATAAAAAACAGTACGCCAGGTGTAATAAATAGTTTAATACGAAAATCAATTATTAGTTTCACGTAACAATCACTTAAGTGTTTTCCATTATTATATTAATGGTGGTAAGATAATTACAAAAAATAGGGCATTCAAGTTCCTTTTATATAGGATATATGTAGTATATAGGGTGCCTTAAAAAAAACTATAAAAAATTTTTGAAAGTTATAACTTTCACTGTATACATGAGAAAACATTTTAATTTAGACCACTCTGTATATGTTTATCTTGTATAACCGGCAATTTTTGAATACAAAAATAAAAACAATCTAAATTAGTAAACGCAAAAACGGATCCCTTTCCATAGAAATTGATGATGGAAGGCAATTGTTCCTCAGTTTCCCAATTCCTGTTATCTCTGCATGCCAGTATTTCGACATGGCGTGGCCTTTCACGTTTATTAATCAATCTTATTCCACGGGCGGCGTTTGTTCGATTGAATTCGGCCGGTACTTATCATCGATAGGAATCGATACGAGCGCGAATTCGTGTAAAAAAGCGAATATTGAACCGACTAGACTCGTAAATGAACGTCTCGTTCGTGCGCAAATAGGATTACTCGATTGGATTTATGTCTCGATGTATCGACGAGGACTTACCGGGATTTATTATCGTCCAAAGAAAAATGGATTAGATTGATATTGGTACATGTATCAAATTAAGTTGTAGCTCTCACAGATGTTTACTTCTATGATGTATCCTTTTTATGTTATTACAACCTGTGGGTTGTCGTATACAATTGCTTATTTTTCTTTTGTATAAGATAAGGAATGATACTTGACAGAGGTGATTGAAATGAAATTAGAGTTTTATTATTTAGGTAATCACAAATTTCCAATAAATAAAACTAAATTGCTTCTACTGTACTTAATGATTTTTTTCTACCCTTTTCGTTTATTCATTTGGAAGTTAATTCCGTTTGAAAGGAGGGGTTTTTCTTTTTTATACCGAATCGGAACGTTTTTCATCAAGTTTGAAATAAACGAATCGACATAAAAATCTGCATTGGCATCTCGCCAAGTGACATTACACAGCGCGATCCCCGTCCATATTTTCGCGAATGAAACGCCGTTGTTCTACCTGAAAATTTATCGGAAAAATCGATTTATCTTAATACGAATCGGCCTTGAGAAGGTTAGATAATAAACCGGAATTGTTCTATCGAGCGTGTTTGTAATTGATATCAACCCTTTGTCATCTGATTAATATAACCATTACCTACCCGTCGATGGTCGGACATGCCCGGTTATCTACTTAACAACGTCGCAAATCGGGTACATTGTGTGTTATATCTCTTCGACTTCGAGCTCATCGAAGATGAAATTTATCAGAAAACGAAAGGGGGAAACCGAACGACCGAGTTCGTTCCAATCGAAGGTCATCGCTTTCCACCTATAGGACGTTTTAATCGGAAGAGCTCCCGGCTAAATGGCTTTTCCTCCCCGCTGATTTATTCAGTTTTATGGCCTTTGAGAAGACGCTTCGTTTCCGTACAGAAAACATTAATTGCATCCGATTTTTTAATTGACTCTTCCTATTCCGCGGTTTTTAGACGCTTTGTGTCAAAAGTGGATCGATCGAATGTTCTATAAAAGCCCTATAGATAAAATAAAATGCTTCTTTACTTCCTATAAAGTATACTCTACGAAACTATTTCTGTACAATGGATAAGTGCAGGTTCCACAATATCAATCTTTCTTTTTCTTTCTCTTTTCGTGTTGACATAAATGTCAAGTGTCAATTATTGACCAATAACTAAAACAATTAACGATATTTTTAACATTGACATTAACATAAAAATTAAAAAATGAAATGCTCAAGATAAAGTAGTTGTCTTTTTTGAGTAAATCAGGATTTTTAATTTCATTTTTACACTGTAACACCAAACTGTAAACACCAAGAAGAAAAAGTATCAAATGACAGAAAATAAAAATAATTATCGACACTATTGACATTGACATTTGAAAATTCACTAAAACCATCCAAGTAGCCGATGCCCTTCAAAAAATATTTCGAGATCATCTGTAATCGAACATAATATTATTGTTGATGTTTGGAACTGGAGTTCATCATGAAATTCCTGTGGTCACGTCTTCACTTTGTACAGCACGAGCGATTTATCTGTCGAGCGGAGTTTAGCATTTCCATCGTATGTCGCTGGAGAGTTCGTTTTGGAAATAAAATAGGTTTGCCAGCCAACTGGGATAAAAGCTCGCTTCGAATCGGCTTTTCCCTTCGACAATGGACGATTTTTTGCCATCCGAGTCACTTTTTCGGGTGTAATGCGAGTTTACTTTCTATTCGTGCGGTCAGTCGAATGTGTTATACTAAAATTCATTCGACGATTTAAGCGATTTTCTTCGAAAGTACTGCGGCCATTAAAAAAAATCTAGTTTAAAATTTGAATTATCGAAGCTAACTTCACGTTTGTTTGGATACAAATCGCCATGACAACATCCTGTCATATTTGCTATATTGGTGCATTTAGAAGATTTTCTTAGTAGACTTTGGTTTAAAAATGTCATATTTAGACAGTTAAAAAGTAGGAATCTGTAATTTTATGTTTATTCGCAGGTTCGATCTCGCAGTTTGAATCACCTGGACAATTTGGAAATGAGGCAGGGCGTAAGCGCCACGGCGGACGCCGCTTTAAAGGATTCGAGATCGGAACCGGATTGTACCAGACCTTTGTTGGCCGCCCCTTCGGCCGCCAACGATCCCCCCACGCCCACCGCCCACGTGCCCCCCGGCAGAAAACACATGCTCAGTAGATCCCAGGTGAGTTTGTAAAATTTTCTTCAAATTTGCACGTTTTTAATGTATTGTTGGGTGCACAATTAAAATTTAATTTTCTCACTGAGGCAAATTTGTCATTTTAATTAATATTGCATTTTATTGCCCTATTCATATTATGTTTAATTATGAGAGAGTAGGAGAATTAATAATACTAATGAATTGTATTTTATGTTTTAGTTGGTATATGTTGATTTTAATACTGTTCAATTAGTACCAATTAGATATTTCCTGGAAGCAAATGGAAAAAAATCCTGCAAATTTAATAACAACAAAATACATACATATGTGAAATCAATATTCGTTAAAATGGATTCAGCGATATTTATTAAGCCTCGAGGCATTTTTCCGGTGCAATCGAAAATAATAAGTCCCACTCAATAAATCAGGGCATGCCACTTCCTGTTGCGTTTCGAAAAAACTGCAAAATTCATTTCGAATTAATAATCTAACAATTACTCAGTCATTCGCCCTTCGGGCGTGTTTCGTGTTCGAAAAACACGTCATTTGAAAGAAAAATACAATTAAAGCTCCCTCGCAGAGATAATGAAATAGAAAATTTTTCATGTTGGCGCTATATGGAAAACGCTCCGCTCGTTCGGTTGCATGTTTACAAATTAAAAAACGCAAATTGTTGCACCACATTACCGCCCACGTCAGTTTGCGAAGCACCAGAGAATATCCACCTGGATGTTACAACAGAGCTACAATGACGCAGAAGTACAGTTTAAATATGCACAACAAAATACCGCGAGCGTAAAATTAGTTTTTAAAACGCCATAATTAACTTTTGCACCCTTTTGGAATACTAAATGGAAATCCTGTTTAACAAGGGTAAAATAGGACAAAAACATGCATTTTCATAATCGAATTTTATGCCTTCTTGGTAAATTCTTTGTACATTAAGATTCCTGGCAAAATTTTGCACTACGTAGAAACTTCATTATACAACCATAATTTCAGCAGGAAACTAACAAGGAACATCCAAATTGCATTCGAACATTCCAACTTTGATGTACCGTCAAAGATGAGTCGTTCTCTCGGCTCTATCCCATCGATCGATGATCATTAAGAGAAAACTAATTTAGTTTCCTTTCGGAATGTTTGCCTGGCGTATTTTTTCATCGAGACGTCGCGGTGCGAAGAATTAACGGGCGATTTCTTTGTTTCAGAAATCGAGCAGCGAATGTTTCAGCGTCAACTTCGAAGTCGGCGACGAAAGCACTTGGGATAATGAATTGTTTTTTCCGGCCCAAAGAGGCGTTACGTTGCAGTGAGTATTATTTGGATTTCTTCTACGACGCTTTCGAATGATTGTTTAATATTCCGCACCGGCGAGGGTATACTTGTGTCAATTAAATTAACAATCCCGCAACGGAGCCGCCGGAGAAACTAATGGGCAACTGAAAGACTGGAACAGTAACTGAAATAAGTCGAGCTTTGTTGAAATAACGAGTAGAAAATGCATAATAAATGCTATAAGCTTCTCTTCATTTTAATTTTATTCTCGTTCTGTTGGATGTTGCGAATCGTTTTTTATTCGTTGTCTTAATTAAAATGTCTGCTTCGGGCCGAGATGATTACAATGGCGTGTAGGTAGTTGAATGTCACTGTTTATTATATTATTAGCGCCGTTTGGTAAAAGTTCTGTATAATTAAAAAACACTTTATAGAGTGGGAATTAAAATATTCATCGTGATTATAGTCCGTGAATAGAAGAAAAGTACATAAAATATTTGTTTTTATTTGGTACGTTTATGAGATTTCTATTTATACTTTCGTTATTTCGAAACTTCTTTGCAGTAGGTATTTTATGTAAATTAAGGATTATGCTTAAGAAAATAATGATTTCCTTATTTTTGTTGTGATTAAAGAAATATTCAAAAACAACTGCGAAGGAGATATTAAAAAATATATTTAACTACAAGAGATACAAATCGCAGTTTTTGATAAGGAATTTACATTTTTCCAACGGTTTTTTTTTTTGTATCAAATAAATGACTCTAAATTTATTTGCTACTATTTAATAATTTCAGTTTTATAAAGTTTTATTGTAGCGGAAAATAATTCATTATACTAGTGCAATAACGGAATATTATTCACCTTTTATCGTTCATAATCTTCAACGCAGCAGCGTTTATGTAAAATTTCATTAACCCGTTACCCGTTAATGGGGCGATTAGCCTTTTCAATTTTCGATCCGTTGTCGCTCAGCAAACACATATAAAGCCGGATTACGGGGGTTGTAAACAGAACCAAATAAAAGGCCGGAATGGCTCCAATATTAAACGCGTATACGGCCGTTTTAAAACGAAATTATTCCATTTTTGTAATTTTAATTGCATAATTCGACGCCAAGTCAAATTAAATGTATATTCGCTAATGTCGTTTCGCTGTAGTTGAGTGGATTGTGTACAGACATAGCGAACAACTAGGGTTGGTATGCAATCATTGCAGTGTTACCTTACTTGGATATTTAGATACCGAAGGCATGCAAATAGCTGAAATGACGCCCCGGAATACAACCTTGCTCGAACGAATATGCCTAGCAGATACAGAGAACGTCGACGCGGTTTATTTCTGTTTGAGTTAACGCGGAAAGCCTGCGAAGCTCAAAGATTAATTAAAAGTTGGGGCCGTAATGTTCGCATAAAAATCAAAGTACGGTTGTTTTTTTTTTCGGAAATATCCAATATAAACGGAGTGGAACTTCGATAATCGATTATCTCCAAAGTCTGCGGGTCGGTTCGATATGAAATTTACCAAATAACCTTTCGCAATTCCGAATTTGCGTCGCTTAAATTTAATTATAAGGGTTTTGGAGTAGAAGAGGGCGAAGCTAACGTTTTCGGATCCAATCGAATATTTTTACGCTAATGTATTCGGCTCGGAGCAGATAAGGGAACCGGATTAATGTTTCGTGGGCGCAGGTGAGAAATGGAGGCCGGCGGGAAAAAAAATAAACCGTACATACATAAATATTTACCCGTCTTTTTGGTTAATGTCCGGCCGACGAGCTCGCTATTTTTCTCGGCCTTGTGCGCGAAAAAACGGCTTTTTGTTATGCTAAGATCGGGGTTATCGGAATGTTTGATGGAAATTTATTAAAAAAAAAACGCTCGCCTTATTTTCCAGTAAATACGGAAAGGTTGGTAGAAGGAAAATAGTTTACGATTTAGAAAGAACGTAGTTTAATGCGAAAAACACGTTGTTTGTACGAATGGAAAAAATCAATAATTCATCCTATAAAGAGGCTATTTTTACGTCGTTTAATTTTTCATCATACACAATGAAAGATTCTCTACTTTATGCATTGCTCGTTTACATTTTACTCTTTGAAGATACACCTGTTCATTTACCACATTTATCTATTTTATCCCTTTCATATCTGGGGAAGTCCTATTACGTTATAAGCCCTCCGTTTTCCTTGCTTATTATTCCACCTTTATAGATCTCGCAATCCCTCTATGTGAATCTTGTTTATCATATACCAATTTATGAAAACTACAAAGCGGGTAAATATATTTATTTGCATTAAGTTTGAATCGATCGAAGCAAACATTGACCGCTGAGATATACAAACGCCTGCGGCAGTGAAAGAATCGCAATAACCCGGATTTCTCCATATCGGTATTGTGTGGAAAACAGAATCGTATTTCATTCTCCGAAGATATATTTGAATATTTTCGCAAAGTTTCCGCCGATATACGTCGACTTCGATTTATAAAAAATCGCCCGCACGGGGAGAAACGCTCAGAGGGATTTTCCTTTATGCAAAAGAAATATTCTTATTAAATACCAATGTACCTCCAATCCGGATTAATCGGGATAAAGTACGAAACCCCCGGCATTATTATCCCATTTATCTCGCAGAAATTTCCGAGCTATCGATAACCGATAGACCGTCGCGACTTCGAGTGCTATCTTCCTCCTTCTTTCACTTCTTTTATACTCAATCTGTCCGTGTGCGGTCAAGTATTATCATTCATCTCGGCCGGCATCGAAATCGATGAAGTGAAATATACCAATCCACCGTATCCCGACTCGATTACGCTTAAAATTCCATCCGCGAATTTATTCCGTTTTTCTTGCCAGCCGATACAGATCGATCTTAACGGGTACATTTATTTTTTTTTTTCGGTTACAGTGATTCCTTGGCGAAGCTGTGCGAGCTTCGCAACATCGACTTGTCGGCCTGCGATGCTCGATTGCAGGACAAAGACAGCAATTACGAATGTTTGCTGTTGTTCTCGCAGGATACGGCCAGTCTCGTCGGCAAGCACGTTAGGATTATAGGTAAGTTCGGTAATTTTAGGTGAAAATTTCGCATGTGGTAGTGGTATAAAAGAAGCGACCTGGGAGCTCGTTGCAATCTCGGAAAATATACGCCAGGACGTATGAATCGTGCATGTGTAAATCCGTATAGGAATTGGTGTTGGGAATTCGCGGGGCTAGAAAAACCCTTTGTAGACGAACCGAACCGCAAAATACGCGGCCTTTGGTGTAACTGAAACGCGGTTTCTCGGAATTTCCGACCCGAAATAACTAAGAGAAACTCCCTCCGACCTACGTCTTGTTTACTTTGGCAATTTATTAATTAATTAATGTACTTATTGTTTCGTTTCAGCGAAAGATTCCAGCAATAAAAAACTCACCGGATCATTGTACAGCAATCATTCACGGAAGCAATCTGGGGTAAGTACCGACCGGGAGAGTAATTTTTATCGCCTTTATCTTTTATTTATGGCCGTTTTTAACGAGGTTTTCTTTTAATTTCACCTCAACACGCCAAGACAATGTCAATGAATCGATTCATTGGATACTTTCACAATTGAGTACCTAATAAATGTAGGCAAATTGAATATAAAACAAATATAACTACCCTTATTTAACGAAATTAGCCTTAGTTTAATTAATATTTGTCTTAACCTACCCTTATTTCGTGAAAGCAGCCTTAGTTTCATTAATAATTTCTCTACCCTACCCTATAACCTACCCTTATTTCACGAAAGCTGCAGCCTTAGTTTCATAAAAATCTTCGCTATAAGAGCTCCAAAGCTATTTCTGATTGAACAATTCTCCAATAGAATTATCCTTTCTGGTACGGGACAATTATCAAATCCGCCGGCGTCGTTTCAGCGTTAAATCGGCGTATGTAAAACTTGCTAGATGATACTGGAAAGTTGGCGAATTGAAGATTATTTAGTGAATAGAGCTCGAGGGCAACTCGCTAAAGTTACACGCGTTTCAACAATGAAAAGTTCTCGAATATTAAGCTCGTTTTATTATAACATTGATCCGAGGAGTCGACGCACTCGAATGGGAAATCGATAAAACTTTGAAATTAAATTTCGCGGTTTCGAACCGTTCTGTTTCGAACAAAAAGCAATAGATATGGCATTCGAATCGATTGTGCAAACGTTTGTGAGTGTATATTATTTAACAACGCTCGTACATTCAATTAAAAATACCCTCCTCTGTAAATTTATATAATTCGCGTTTAATGCTTGTAAATATTTAAAACGTCTAGACTAAGTTGAAAGGAAATTGAAAACAACCCTTGGATAACCGAACGTCAAGCATTCGACCCTTGTTTCTACTATTATTAGTATTAATATTTCACTCGGTATTCTCTAAATGACGCAAACACTTTCACATAGTTAATTTTTGTATCCTCGTCAAAACTCACAAACTCTATTTTTAGAGACCATAACCTTAACGAATCATCTTTTTTTGTCAGTAATTTTCGCGTCAAATAATAACGGAATTATATTTTTTTCTATCTTAGAGTTATCGTCCTCGGACGACGAGCTTTTTCAACTCCAGCACCGAGGAGACGAACGTCGTCAGTTCGACGCTCTCCCTGCACGAAGGCGATCAAAGCAAGAAGCAAATAAAGCAACGACTGACGGCCTTTTTCGGCAACACTAAGGTAAGGGAGATATCGTCCTTATTTAATTTGGGGCCTTCCCGGGGATTCGGACCTGAAATTTCATCATTTTTTTCTTCCCTCTCTTGTCGGTCGAACGCTATTACTTTTATTAGTTTATCGTGATTTAACGTCGATGTTAGGTATATGCGGAGAAGATAATATCGCATTCGAACGAACAATTTTTATCGAAGTAAACGCAACGGTAAATAATAATGGAAACCAATTTCGTTCGATCCCGAAAGACGTTACACAGCTTTATTGGGTTTATTCAACCTCTCGTGGCGAGAAATCGGAGATACAGAAGTTCCTTTACAATGAATAAATGCTTCGTTTATTCGATATTACAATCTCGAGATATTTGTAAATTAATTTAGAATTGTGGACAGATTCCTCTTGCCCTCGAGTAATTCGCAATCATGCACAGTAGTTTCTTGCGATTTATGCAAATTCGTATTTGCATGCACTCCTTCGAGGCATTTCTAGACAGAATCCCGAGTGACCGCGAAAAACCTAAATAAATACCGTATTTTGTTCGGTATTGGAATCTGAAAAAAAAATTCTTATCCACAACGCAATAGATATTACGTTGTGTTCCCTAAGTGTTCCCCTTCAGCGAACATAGTTCAAATTCAGTTGGTTATTTAATGAGGAGTTGTATCGAAAACTTTGCGACTAAAATTTCATATCGGAACTGCGAACATACTATAGCTTTGTCGTTTGGTGGTAATTACGCTAACTTGTTCTGAGTTTCTGAAGTATACTTATCATAATAATTAACCGACACAAGACTCCGAGTTCCGACGATGCATATAATTTTCTAGCGTAATTTATTTAATATCTCGATGAATTTAACGGTAATCTGCTTGTGTATGGCGTAATAATTCACTAGACTTCCGTCTGATCATAAAAAATAAACGAGTAACGTTTCCGTTGGTATTTTCCTGTCGACTTCATTTAATTAAATTCATGAAAAGCGGAAAATTGTATGATCTTATTGTATACGGATGTTAAGTCGACTCAATTAAACAGGCAGTTTCTAATTAATAATTGCAAAGGTGTTCATTAAGCTCGACGTATTTTCTAAATAAAGCTAAGGATAAGAGAAAACACGGAAAGGCTTCCTCAAAAACAAATATCAAGGACAAGGTGGAAAAGTAACATAAAATTACCCTCCGGGAAAAATGTTTACACAGTTCTATAAAAACGGAATGAAATAGCAATTTCGACTCGTACGGGGTATTTAGTGTAAATCGACCGTTCTCGTTTAATTGAGGGAAATTTGAATAAAAATAATCACACGTATTTTTAGACACATTCGTGATTTATGGCGCGTTTCCCACACGAAAAGGGATAATCGAAAATTAATGGCATCAATTTAAAATCGCCCGAATTTCATTCATATGCGACCGAAAACGAGCGAACTTAATAGCTTCCTTGGCCCGGCTTTTCCATTAGGATTATATAAATTATTTTTTACTGCGGTAGAAATGAAAAAATCCACCACGAATTCGCGCATCCCTTCGGACCATCGGAGTTTTCGGTCTATTTTCGAAGCGGGTCAATCGGCACCGGGAAGTTCGTAATGTAAAAAGGAAACCACAAACTAAAGCTATAAAAATGGTTTTACGACTATAAAAAAACCTATATTACGTTCCCCGCCAAGCCGCATACATGGAATTTTCGCCGATACATTGTTCCAATAAATAATTATTTGTACCGTATACAGAATCGTAAAATTCACAGAATAATGATTATCTGGTGCAAATAGTAAAAAGAATCACATCACCAATATCTCCAACTTTTCTATCTTTCTATCAACCAACTTTTCTCATTAGTATTGAAATTTTACCCGAATTCGCGTCAGGACGACCCGAAACCGGGAGAAACAAAGTTGAACTTAATTAGCAACAGTTATTCGAGTGAGCATTTTTAATTCAGTGCGGAACGAATATTAAAAAGAAAGCGTTTTGTTGCGAGTTTTATTGCGGGATTTTTACGAGCTGCTCCCCCGAGCCCGGCGAAACTACCCGCGATTTATGCGGGTAAAGCAGGGCGCGCACTGAATCGACTCGGAACGGTCGGATCGGAAAAGAGCGTTCGGAACGGAAGCTTATGCCGCGCACCGATTCAGAGACTTCGGAATGCATCGGAATATTTTAATTATTTTATACATTATTGTACATTGTATACTCGCTCGCTGACCCACACACTAGGTGGATGCTTTATTTCCATCCCTTATTTCTAATAAATCGCTATTACCAAAATCTGCATCGTCAAATATCCTAACGTAAATAATGATGGTTCAGGAATATGCACATATTTTCATAAAAAAGTACCTACATTACTCATTAAATAGTTCATTATAAAAAGGTAATACGAATTTATTTAAATTTAATCTGTGAAAAATTAATAGTTTGGGGACGATATTCCAAGTAAATTTAGTATCGACAAAGATAGCATTACATAAAAAAAGATAGACCTTCGGAACGTTCGGAAAAGTTGCCCCTTCGAGAATACTCTGACGATTCCGATCCGATCCGACCGTTCCGATCCGATCGTTCCGATTGAGTGCGCGGTACTGCATTTATTTTCGTATGTACCAAACTTTTCCGAACGCTCTTTTCCGATCCGACCGTTCCGAGTCGATTCAGTGCGCGGCCTGCTTAAGTGTATTTTTTATTCGAGCCGGAATTATTTGTAGTCATTAAGCAGGGCGCGCACTGAATCGACTCGGAACGGTCGGATCGGAAAAGAGCGTTCGGAACGGAAGCTTATGCCGCGCACCGATTCAGAGACTTCGGAATGCATCGGAATATTTTAATTATTTTATACATTATTGTACATTGTATACTCGCTCGCTGACCCACACACTAGGTGGATGCTTTATTTCCATCCCTTATTTCTAATAAATCGCTATTACCAAAATCTGCATCGTCAAATATCCTAACGTAAATAATGATGGTTCAGGAATATGCACATATTTTCATAAAAAAGTACCTACATTACTCATTAAATAGTTCATTATAAAAAGGTAATACGAATTTATTTAAATTTAATCTGTGAAAAATTAATAGTTTGGGGACGATATTCCAAGTAAATTTAGTATCGACAAAGATAGCATTAAGCAGGCCGCGCACTGAATCGACTCGGAACGGTCGGATCGGAAAAGAGCGTTCGGAAGAGTTTGGTACATACGAAAATAAATGCAGTACCGCGCACTCAATCGGAACGATCGGATCGGAACGGTCGGATCGGATCGGAATCGTCAGAGTATTCTCGAAGGGGCAACTTTTCCGAACGTTCCGAAGGTCTATCTTTTTTTATGTAATGCTATCTTTGTCGATACTAAATTTACTTGGAATATCGTCCCCAAACTATTAATTTTTCACAGATTAAATTTAAATAAATTCGTATTACCTTTTTATAATGAACTATTTAATGAGTAATGTAGGTACTTTTTTATGAAAATATGTGCATATTCCTGAACCATCATTATTTACGTTAGGATATTTGACGATGCAGATTTTGGTAATAGCGATTTATTAGAAATAAGGGATGGAAATAAAGCATCCACCTAGTGTGTGGGTCAGCGAGCGAGTATACAATGTACAATAATGTATAAAATAATGAAAATATTCCGATGCATTCCGAAGTCTCTGAATCGGTGCGCGGCATACGCTTCCGTTCCGAACGCTCTGTTCCGATCCGACCGTTCTGAGTCGATTCAGTGCGCGTCCTGCTTTACATAAAAAAAGATAGACCTTCGGAACGTTCGGAAAAGTTGCCCCTTCGAGAATACTCTGACGATTCCGATCCGATCCGACCGTTCCGATCCGATCGTTCCGATTGAGTGCGCGGTACTGCATTTATTTTCGTATGTACCAAACTTTTCCGAACGCTCTTTTCCGATCCGACCGTTCCGAGTCGATTCAGTGCGCGGCCTGCTTTAGTGGGAAAAAAAAAACAAGTTAAATAACGGTCAGTTTCCAAGCACCCGATGCGCGATTTCTACGGGCCCTTAACAACCCGAACAAAAGTCTACGAAAAGTCGATAAAACTAGGGAGAATGCTTGTATCGAAGTCGCAGAAGGGTCAGGAAAGTTAGTGAGAAGTCAGTAATGGGATTAGGGAGAAAATTTGCTTGGAGACAATTCTGGTGGTGTTATAATACATAGTTGATAGAGTTTATTTACTCTACCATGAATTTATTCTGAATCTACTCTACTTTTACAATCCTGTATATCAAAAACCAAGCTTTTGAAGACTTATCTTAACTTTATATGAACTTTTCGACTCGAAATTAGCCAAATTACCCATTAACATAAGTACATAACATTAATTAACATCCTATATACGAAATTTAGCACCTACCTACTAATTTTGCACTACTATAAGTAAAAGGATTGGATTGAAAGTTTAAATTTCGAGGGTTAGAAATAATGGTATCGCGAAAGTTTAGTAACCAAATTTACCAACTTTATCACAATAGCAAGTACATTTAGACGGTCCGGTGGGCGATAAGGGTCAACTTCACAGTTTCGTGGAGCGCATCGAATAATTCCGTAAATTTCGTAAATCCTAGAACCCCGGGCGCAAACCGACGACCCTTATCGACTTCTTACAGTACGTAACCCCGTAAATATTCCGTTGCAGGACACCAAATACGAAGCCCTCATCGAACAGTTGGACAAATACTCCAAGCAGGGTATCCCGCACAGTTTGAAATACCCCCAAGGGCAATGCGAGTCCATCGACGCCTTGTACAAGATCGAAGACGACTGGCGCGAAATCATCGAATACAACGGTAAGTGCCGAGCCGCGGAAACTTAGTTGCGTAGTTTCGTTTTATGAAAATTGCTCCGCTTCGCTGGCTTGATAATCGCGTTAGAGTTGAAGCGGAGTCGTTTACATGAAAGTAGTACGTAAAAGAGCGATTTTCCTCGACCAGATAGACGTAAACTTCTGGCCGAGAGACAAATTCGTTCCGTCGCCGGGGAAATCACTTATGGCAGGACTTCCTGGAGAAGTTCTCGCAAGATTAACTTCCGGATATAAGCCGAGATTTCGAAGCGGACTCTCGGATAATGGACGTACGGATATATGGTGTGTCGGATTTGTACATCCGGTTATTATTTATGAAATTGTATAAACTTCGTTTCTGTGTAAGAATGATAAAAATGTTTTCCCGATTTTCTGTAAAAGAAACAGAACGAAAATTAATGCTTATAAGCTTTGAGTAAACTTTATGAGTTTACCCACCTTCTAAACGTATTCAAGGATTTGCGAATATTTCCTTTGGGGTAAATACGACCGGTATAACCTTACCAGCACATTTACGAAAAAAAAAAATCTTTTTCATTTACAACAGCAGCATGGAGAAGATATAAAACTTTATACACGACGGTAAAGCACAGTCTTAAGACGGGATATCATCACAAAGGAGAGTAATTTATAAGAGGAGCGCTAAAAGAAGCCATTTATCTAACGTGAATAGGAGCATAAACGCTTTCTGTCGTTATATTTTTACACATTTGATCGAAATTACCGTTTCGAAAGCGTCGAATATAATAATTTACGTTTATGTGCACCCGTTCTACGGACCTCATGCATATTTGAAAAATCAATGAACGTTTTGAAAATGTAATTTATAATCCCACACGTTTCCACGTGTCAAAACATAAAATGGAATACGAAACGAAGGGCGACTTGGAAACGAAACGCTCAAGTGCCGGCTTTATTGTATATTGTATTTGAAACAAAAATACTCGGAACAATACGTTTTAAAATATTATATGTTAGGCTCGTTTGCTCGGATGATGGGTTACATTCATTCTACATTTACTCATCCTTCAGCAATGTTAATTATACTATTTTAGATAAATATTTCACCAGAGTATCTCGTGTAAAACTCGAACGAAATTTGCCTTTAGATCTCAACGAAAAGCAACAGCAACAACAAACCGCCCTGTGGGAGCTAATTAAAACCGAAATAGCCTACATAAAAACTTTAAAAGTGGTAACCGACGTGAGTATTAAACCGCCCCGCAATACATCGAACGCGCTCATCTCGCGCACTTTCCAGCTCTTCCTCGCCTGTCTCAAGGACCTCCAATCCAAGAACCTGCTGAAGGAAATCGATACGGTGAAGTTGTTCTCGAACATCACCGAGATCCTCGACGCCAACGTGGTGTTCTGGCGCAACACGCTCTTTCCGCTCGTGCGCGACATGCGCAAGTACAAGCGCCCCTCCTGCTTGGAAATCATGCTCGACGGCTTCCTCAACATCCAGGACATCTTCCAGCCGTACTACAAGTACTGCGCCGAGCAGTCCAGGTGCCAGCACTACTGCCGGGAGAACCTCGACAGCGAGGTGTTCACGGCCTATTCGACGTGGTGCGAGAGCCAGAAGGAATGTAACAGGTTAGTAACTCATATTTATTTTTTCTACATAATGTATTTGCTGGAATATTGAAGTGTACCTACGTTAAAAAATACAGTGTGAGGTAAGTAAATTAACGTGTACGTTAGTGATCTAAGAGTAGCTTTTCTACCTAAAGTCTTTGTCTTTAGAATTCCGTTTGCGAACTATAAATTGAGGTAGTTAAAGTCGCGAACGTTAAGCACGTTCCGTTCGTCGTCTGAGAGCGCTTGAAAGGGCCGTTCGGTTAACGATACCCTTTGCACTATTTAAATTTTATAGATTCCCTTCCGAGCGAGCTATCTTGAATTATTGCGGAGCTTTTCCGAAGGCGCTCGCCGAGCGGAACTTTCTTAAATTCTCTTATTAAATATTTACCTTGTTTGTACCTGAGTGAAGTTGAAGTAGATTAATTCCGGCCGTATGATGGCAAATTGCATCTTGCGTTTTTGTAGCGGGTGAATTTCGTGTTTAGGAATTCGAAATTAAATAAACAATCTTCATGTTTAGCGACGAAGCGATGTAATTTAATAAAAAACAATCAACATTTTTGTATCTACATGGGGCGTTTTGTAACAACGGATGGTACGTTTTAATCTCGTTTTTGTATTAATCCGTTGATACGGCAAAGCCCGAGCGGTTTGTTTGCTTCGGGTTTGTGCAAACAGGGTGTAAAAAAAAGTTTCCGTCCGCATGAATATGTAAAAACCGTGATTTAATATTCATTTCCCGTTCGAATTTTGTTGTTATAGAGCGAATGACAATATTACTCTCTCGCGGTTTTTGAATTTATTACACCTACCTGCCATGTTACCTGTTGTGAATTTGCAATAAAACAAAACACATTTTTACATGACATTTATTTTGTAACACAGAACTTCGAGCATTTCGGACATTTACCACGCTCTTGATATTTTTCATTATCCCATAATTATAAAGTTATAAATACCCGAGTCGGCGCGAATTGTTCGCAGTAATTTCGTTTTAATTGCACGGTAAATTCAGGTGCAGATTTTCACGATTTCAGTAAATCAAATCATTTCGAATTGTTTTCATCTCGTCGACACCTATACCGAACTTATTTTGTAAATACGTATTGCTTTAAAATTTATCGCTTTCCGTTACTAACGCCCGATCCATCGGATTTATTACGTGTCGAGAGTTTTTCCCGATTCCCCGCGGACTCCTTTGTATCAGCTAAAAACTTGTCCCGTGCAAAAGAGGAGAAAAGCGAAACGCGAAGAATATGAAAAGTTTTCCGAAACCTTAAAATAAAGAAAAAAAACGAACGTTTGTTTAAGCCCTCCGAAAAACACCCGGCAAATGCTTCGAAAATCTCGGTTAATTGGGTATAAAACTTTCAACTTCCTTCGAATTTGCTCGATAAAATAAAGTTAAATTTCCCCAACACATAAGCTTGCAGTACCCAATAACAGAAAACTATCGAACCTTAATCAATTAAAAACTTTTCCACTAGTTATTTCTAATATTAGCGAAACTTAAATAATATTAATTTGATAGCGGTAGACTTATCAGGTAAAATAAGTTACTTTAGCTACGTAATAAGCGCATTATGAATGGAAAATTACACTACATGTTGTAACTACAATACTATATAACATCTGTAACGCTGTTCTAGCGAGCTAAAAAGCTCGCGAAAGCGTTAAAATTTCCGTTTACACCTTTCTAGCGCGCACAATGGCCTAACACTTTACGTGGCATAATGGAGATGCTAAAATGCAACTGCAACGAATTGCGGACGTGTTTAAAACCCGTTACGAGATACTTCCAGTCACCGCAAAATGTCGCGAACTTCCTAATTCGCCAACCTGCATTTCTCTTTTAAAAAATAAACTACCCGCTTAAATGTTATATCGTTGAATATAATGTAAGCGATAATTACGTTAATTTTTCCACATACGCTAAAACATAAAGTGTGAGTTAAGTGAATTAACGTATACGTTAACATAACGTAATTTGCCGCTGTTATGCGTCGGGTAAAGTTTGACATCAAATTCCAGATTGCGATTAATGGACATTCTCGTGCAGCCCATGCAACGGTTAACCAAATACGGTCTGTTGTTGAAAGCGATCCTGCGAAACACCGACGAAGACGTGGAAAAGGAGAACTTGCAGACGATGGTGAGTTTGATTGAAGGCGAGAAAATTGAACGAGATTTCGACTATTGTTTCCGCAGATCAAAATGGTCGACGATTTCGTCAATAACGTTAACTCGAGTTTGAAGCATCGACAGGACAAAGAAAGATTGAAGGGGATCATAGCGAGGATCGAAAGTTACGATATCGTCGTAAGTGCAATTTTTATTTTTTTTTAATATTTCCCGATGGTATTATGTTTATTTTAAGCTCAGTAGTAGATGCTTTACAATAAATCCATTGGAAAATGGGTTTTCTTTTAACTCGGTAAGTCGGTAGAATGTGCGGCTTGACTTTGATAAATGGCACTGGAATCTTTTATGGAATAAGGAATAGGGGAAATACCGGAAGTTTACTCATTTTTCCATTTATATATACACCGTAGTATCACTTACCCTGCTGGTTTATTTGCGCGGAATTAACAAGAATTTATTTCTTATAATAAATATCAATTCCGAAAACTTTCGAGCGAACAGAAATATTTTCCCCCTCACAATGCTAACGCTACAATACACTTGTTTCTGCGTCTCAGTATTTTTCTCAATTTGCGCGCCACTTCTGCCGGATTTCGTAAATTTTTTATTTACGAATGAGCCCTAATTGGCTTTAATTGGGGAAAATATCCTTGCAGGAATCAAAGGACGACGACATCGATAAACTTCTCAAGAAAGAAAAATCATTAACGCAACTCGATTTAACGAGACCCATGCTGAATTGTCCCGTCGAAAGGAAACGCCATTTGCTGCTCGAGGGCGATTTGAAGCTAAAAGACAGCGGAACGTCTAAGGTAATATTTAATTTAATTAATCGTTGAATATACACGGTTAATTGACTAGAGGTAACATCACAATGAGTCAATGGGCGCGTTCAGGGAAAGTAACCGTTGAGAAGTATCAGTCGGTATGTTGAGTCCGATACCTGTCAACAGTTGATTGTCCTTTGAACGGTGCTTTAGTGTTGTTTATGCTGCACATGGAAGCGAATAAAATTGACGCTGACTCGAACTGCGACTGTTGCCAGTCAGCACGAGCTCAGCTTTGTGGTTCAGGGAACCGCTGCAGACAACAATTGTCAACAGTTGCCAACAGTTGTGTTCCCTGAACGTACCCTTTTTTTAGAATTACAGAATTGCTTTAAAATTATTTCTAGTCTTAATAAAGCACCCTGTATTCCAGACGAGTAACACTATATTTACTTTTACAGCTAAGCATCCTTTTTTTTATAATTTGTAATTTTTTTATCATTATAATGAGTACGTATAACATTTGATGATACATCAAAAGATATTTTTTGCTAACCTTAGCGCGTCCGTGCAAACCAGATGTCAACTTTAATAAACCTCTGTCGAGCATTAGATTAAAAACTTTATAACGAGTTTGGAAAAATTTACGGCGGCAGTGTCGCGACGCGACGCCTCTCGAAATTAAGTTCGACGCGGGGTCGCAAATTTTTCGATTACGCTAATTTAATATACCGATTAACTCGATGGCGCCGCTTCATTGAGATGAATGAACCTTTTCCAGATGGAGGTGCACTGTTTCCTTTTGACCGACATGCTGCTGGTGTGCAAACCGTCGACGAAGAAAGGGGGCGCCACGGTGCGCGTCGTCCGGCAACCCTACTTGGTCGACAGACTGGTGGTCACAGAGCTGCCCAGGGAAACCCCGACTTTGGCTATCGTTTATAAAAACGAATTCGACATGGCCGTGGCCGCTTTCATCTTGCAAAACAACGACGCGAAGAAAATTAAGGCGAGTTTTCCCCTTTAATAATAATCTACATTTAGTGTGCTACAATTAGTGAAGTATAGAATTACAAGGTAATTAAATCGCCGTTTCTTTTTGCTTGTACTGAGGATGGATTGGCTCTTAAAGGGATGTTGAACGGGCATTTGAGGTAAAGGATACACGCTTATCTTTGTCGGTGATGTTATCATTCATTGTTGCAGTCATCGATGCGTGGAAAACCCTTTTGTCTGATTGACTATTGTTCTGTGACGGAAATGCGACAATCTATCTGGTTGATTACTTTCCTCATTTCCTTTTATCTCCCCGTTCATAGATCGCATTTCACCACAATATTGTTTCGTTTATAGCTTTTACTCGGTGCGCTGAAATCAATTTATCCACTACTTATCAACATTGTAATCGTATTTTCATTAAGATTATTTATCCACGATAATTTTAACGTATACATTAAATTAGCGGATTTTCTTCTCGTCAATTTTACGTATTTCGCTTTCTACCGCAATTTCGGTTAATAAAGGCGTAAGGAACCCCGAACTATTCTCGTTTAATCAACTTTCCAGCAGTTAAAGGAACTCTTTGCACAATCCGAAAATTCATTAGAGGCCGTCCGCGAATATTCCCGCCGAACGAGGGCGAAGAAACACCCCTTTAGGTGAATATTCCGGGTGAGCGTCTCAGTGCGTTCCCTAGCAATAATTAGCGGGATTTCGTAATAATCGAAAACGGCGGGATGACGAATGAAGACGAGCTAAGCGAATTACTTTACGCATCGGAAGGTGGAAACAGAAGCGCAGCCACAGTGAAAAATACGGTTTAAATTCGAGGATAAGAGTTATTAATGTCGCAGCGGGGGGATCACTCCTACATTCCTTTCGACTCCCTAAACTCTGCCGGTTTATCCGATTACATTAACGCGAACCCGCTAACAATTCCACCTAGAGAGATGAGAAACGACGATTTAATACGCCCTAAAATCCAAAGGTCAAATTGATGAATTCAATTAGTTGTTTAATAATCGCTTCTGTTTCCGCACAGGGATGGAAGGACGGTATAGCGAAGGCGCAAACTTTGTACGCCCAGGCGAAGCAATTGAGCTACGTGGCCGACGAAAGCGTCGACGCCGATTACAGTTTTGATTATAATTTAGAAAACGATTATAGCAGCATTCAACTCATACCGAGATCTCCTCTAGCGACCTCCTCAAGGGCCAGTAGGGTCTCTAGTTTAGCGCACAGCCATAGGTAAGTACATTTCACTCCGATTCGTTTCAGCAATATTTATAAACGTTCAATTTAGTGGTTCGGTGGAGATGAACGATCAATCCTCGGTGGGTTCGGTGAACAATCAATCCAGGGCCGTATCGGTGGAGAACGAGAACCGCACGGGTTCGCTGTCGAGCGACGAAGGCGTGCAGCCGCTGCCGCCCGACAAGAGCCCCGTCTCGCAGAAGAACTCGTTCAAGAACCGGCTGCTGCACAAGACGCCCAACACGCTGTCGGTGCAGCCGTACGGCAGCCTCGGGCAGAGCCTGCCCAATTTGACGTTGGGATCGCCGAACGTCGGCGGCGGCATGAGCTTGACTTTGAACCAGAACACGCTGTCGGTGCCGAGCGGCAAGAACGGCGGGCATCTGTTGAGCCCAACGCACAGGGGGATTTCGTACCCGCCGCCGTCGCCCACGAGGGGTAACTTGCGGAGGAGCCTGGCCATTTCGCAGAGCAAGAATCCGCCTTTGATCAAGACCAGGCAGGTGAATTCCGCCTCCAGCGTGAGCCAGCAGTTCGATTTCGACGTTCCAGTAATAGCCGGTGAGTGTACATACACCATTATTTCGAATTAAAAAAATCCTTCTTCAACGGTTTAAGTAATTACAATTTGTAGTGGAAGAAAATTATAACTCGACTCGAAAACTTTTGCGTTAAAACTTAGAGAGAGTTTAAATCCGAGAAAAATCTCTTGCTGTTATCAACTTAAAAATTTTCAGCCGGAAGCTCGTTTGAATCAAATTATAATTTGATCTAAACTAAATTTGACGGCGAAAAAGTTATTTTTCATAAGGCCCACTCCGGCTCGTTAATTACGCGAGTTGTCGCGGAAACTCGACGGGGGCGAATTAGAAAAACTTGTATTTATAGAAGAGGAACGTTTTCCCGGCTAGTTGAATTTTTCTTCGACTCGGAAAGGTCACAATGTCGTGCTTGCGGGTTTATTTATCGGAAAGAGCACGGCATGCCGGCGAATTTCAATATATGAAAAATTTCGGCCGTGACATCTGTGGTCACATAAATTACGGCCACCAGAAAAGAGAGTTTAGTTGAGCGCGCCCCTAAAGGAATGCGATCACCACGCAAGCAATAAAAATTATAAGCGAACCTGCCTGTTTTTATACACCTTTCGAAATATCGCCTCGTAATTTACCCCGAGAGATGAGGGTATAAAAAAATATTTCGCTGCAATAAAAGTGCGATAAAATTTTCTATACTGCCTCTCATAAAACTATACATATTTTCAGCGGATTGAATATTATTTAACAACAAAAACGCCTTTTTAATGTGTTAAAAACGAATGGTTTCGTGCGAAAAATATGAAGCAAAATTTTAATTGAAAATCAAACTTTTCTATTACATTTTCTTAACTGTTGAGATGATAAAAATATTTTATATAAAAAAAAACTTTTGAAAAAAAAAGCGAAAGGCAACACTTCGTATCAGCGACTTTTCTACTCTATAAAATGTTCGCCGAAGACGGTGTGCAGATTGGAAAAGCTATTATTGGAAAATGTCATAATGAAATTCGTAAGCGAATTTTTATTCATCAACGTCGAAAGTAATTACTCGACTGCTGAAACCAGTTCCTATCTACAAGTTCGATAGCAAAACTTTCGATTCTTGGCGATGGAAAAATTCGATTAAATCGTTAGGCGATTTAATCTGGGGTTTAGGATGAGCTTTTTCAAGTAAACCTTGAAGAGGGAAGGAAAATATTTCATTGTATTTTATAAATATTGAAATATTTTGTGAGACTTGATAAATTCTGTAAAAGTTTGTAAATGTTGTTAAATTTGTATTATAAATCTTGCATCATTTTGAACTAGTATCATGTGTAGTTGTACTATTGTTAATATTTCATATTTACAAATTTTCCACCTTCGCTTTATTGGTTAAATATGGTAGATGTGAAAAATTTGTAAATATTCTTACATCTATGTGTAAAAGTCTGATCTCATTTTTCCTCATTTCTTTATATCACTTCCGTCACTAGAAGAAGAAAACTCTGAGCCAACGTAAATTCAATAATTTTCTTGTGAGTTGTTTTTTAAATGTGTTTTATTATGTTCTAGAGTCTTGGAAATAATTCTAGTTGTCGATTTTTAATAACTAACGAGCGAGTTGATGAAACGAAACGAATGTAATAGCATGAAAAATAAATAAAATGGAGTTCTGCATACATTTACCCGATTAGTTAGTGTCCTATGAAAACTCGTTAAATACAAATAAAGGCTCAAATCGAGCACACAAGCGGAGCTTTTTAGGTCAACGGTTTGTTTAAACTTCAATTTAAAACTGATTCACTTTTGCATTTTTTCATTCGTGCATTTTTCATCAACTCAGTTTTGTTAAAAATCATTACTATACTTCACTTAATTGCCGTATATCCCGAAGAGCAATGCAAGAGTACATAAAATGTTCTTCAAATTTTAGTGCCCTGTAAAAAGTTTACAATCAATTTAAATTCCGAGAATGCTGTAGACGAAATTGGTTGTAAATATGTTTACTGTGCGCTGGGTATTCTTCAGCTTATTGGAAATATTGGATTTCTATTAAAACACCAAACTAATTCTATCATGCATTGCTAACTATTCAAGTTATACGAGGAATTCGTATATTTCCAAAGCTCTGTAATGTAGTGAATCACCTAGAATAGTTTTAGTGCAAAGCACCTCTCGCTTCGTATTCTTGAATTTTATCGTGTCCTTCACGCGTAATTACAAAATAACTAATTTCATTTCGAACATATTTTAGGTGTTTCCCAAGATGAAGATAATTGTGAATCTTTTAGTAGAGGACAACATCGTCAAGCAATGAAAAGAAGTTACAGATATCATACAGCGGGCATTGTTGACGATATAAAAGTACGTGAACTAATTATTAAATTTACTAATTAATAACAAATTCGATATCTTTACAGAAAAATGATAATCGAGACGCCACCATTCATAAGCGGCTATCTTGGAATTGCACAACTCAAGAACAGAAACCCCCAAACGAGGACCAGACATAGCGTACAATAATGAATCATTTTGTGTCTTGCATTTAAAACACTATATTTAAAATGAAACTATTTTTTATAAATATCATCGCGCGTTTACGTTGATAAACGAGTCGAATGAAAATGAGGAAACGTGAAACCATCTGATAAAAGAAACCCCGATATTTAAAAAACTTTGGCAAAAATAAATTAGATTTGTAACGAGATGATGTAATGCTCTCTCGAATCTTGTTTGATAAGCAAGAGTAGGTATTAGAAAATTCCTTAGGCCGCTTCTTTGCGGTGCTATTGACTACATTTATATTTTCTGAAAAGTATATTAACGCGTTGAAAGATATTTAGATATTATTAGATTATAATAGTTGTCCAAATTGTAACAGTATCGTGGCTTTCAGCGCGTTAAATGTGGATGCATTGCCTTTAATAACTTTGTGTACCGATAATGGGCTCATTTAAAATGATTGACCAATTTTGATGTAATTAAAAATAATTATCGCCAATCAAAAGGCCCATTATGTCATATCATTTTTCATACCTTTTTATGTAAAGGCAAATGCAACGTACAATTTTTGGTATTTCGAGAAACTGCTTCTTTTTGTTCCTAGTTGTAAATTTTCTAAGTCAAATTTCACTCTTAAAAATTTTATACTACTGTACATTGATGCTAAGATACAAAATACTATTTTGTTAATGCTTATTAAGCATTTAAACATTCCGAATACATTCCAAAATAAATCTAAGCAATATTTGTACCTAATCAAACTCTATCAGGCCTAATCTTCGACTTTTATAATGTAAGAAGTTTTAGTGTTATTTTTTGTGGATTTTCCTTTATAGGAAAACGTGTGATCCTTCACACCGGCTTGTAAAGCATGAGTGAATAATAGTAGTTGATTAAAAATAATGTTCTTTTGTTGAAAAAACCCCAGTACCTAATGTGAATTTTTATATTTTTAGTAAGAATCAAAGTTTTCTTTAGTTAATATTTATTTTATAATATTTAACGAACTTTAATATGTATATTTGTTATTCAATGATTGAATAAAGTCTTTACGAACATTAAATATTCTTATTTTTTATTACTGTAATTCCTCAATTCCCAGCCCCCAAATATCTCGCAAAAAAATTCATCGATTCTTTCATAAACATTTTTTATTAAATTTTCTATTATAATCTGGCGAAATATCAATATATTTCCGAGGAACCAGATAATCATACAATTTCAGTATAATAAATACCAATGATACGACTAGTACGAAAGGCCATACACCAGTATTCAAATAACTGAAATATACAATTTTTTTACTTTTATACGAGACCCCCTAAAAACCATAAGATATTTATTAAACTTACCTATGAAGATGTTCCCCTAAACTTTTCTCATTCTCGTTAATAACCTTTTGGTAAACTATTTCAGTCCTCGACGATATATTCTCCCAGTTATAAAACTTTCTTACCATCATGTTGCATGTGAAAGGACAAATTATTTTGCCGGTTTTCAAATCACTTATGGCCCTTTCCAATCCTGAAAAGAGTCCAATATGGAAAATTGGTCATTTTAACTCGTAAATAAATAATCACCTTCCATTAAAGAAGGCACATTAGGTTCTGTTAAGTAGATCAAACTTTCTGGCAAAACTTCTGGAATACCTCCCACTTTCGTAGAAACAACTTTCAACCTTTAAAATAATAAAAATTGGTTTAATATTTCTGTATGTTTAGTTTTTGTAATAATGCACTAACCCACAAGATGCAGCCTCTACAATAGCCATACAATAGGCTTCTGTTAAGGAAGTATTTAAGAAAATGTCCCCTTTTACTAAAACGTTTCTTACTTGGGAATGCTCGAGACTACCCAAAAGAGTTACTCTGTCTTGAAGGCCTTTTCTCTCGCGAATTTCCTCAAGCAACCTAAAAATTTACAAAAACTTTATTATGGAGTTTATTGATTGTAAGTTAAAGACTTTACCATCGTTTAGGGCCATCCCCGGCAATTAAAAAATCAATTTCTTTGTACTTATCGCATAATTCTCCGATGATTTGGGCTGTTAAATCGACCCCTTTTCTATACACTAGCCTTGACACTACCACTATTGTAACTACAAAACGGAGAAAAAACATAAGTATACAATTAATAACTCATAAAAAAAATTACTTTTGTTTTTCGATCTTTGGTAAGGATCAGGTGTAAATGAATACGTATCAACAGCATTTGGAATAACTGACACCTTCGAAGACTCGACTCTGGCTCGTAAAACAGTGTTTTCCTTACCGGTGTGAGATACGCATATGCAATGATTGCAATCGGCTAAGGAAATTTGTATGAATTTATTCGTTATAACGGCACTTGCGTCTGCGAATCCAAACAAACTATGATCTGTAAAGACAGTCTAAAAATCGCAAAAATTAGGTCATAAAATAACGAGTTTAAATCACTTACTTTCTTGCCAAGGAGATTTCCGATTAATACAGTTTCATGTGCTAAAGACGAAAATGCAGAATGACCATGAATAATATCGATCCTCTCCCTTAATAATATGTATCTTATTAATGGAATATTGCTTACCATTGTAGGTAAAATGGATTGATTGTAGAATACTTTAATTGGCAAGTAATACACTTTCAATCCACCGGTCATGTACCTGACACCTATTCTGTCTTCGTAGCTGTGAGTTATTATACATACTTTGTGCCCTCTGAGTAATAAGCACTGAGAAAGGTTGTAAATGTGCTCTTCTACACCGCCCATATTCGGAAAGAAAAAATCAGAAACCATACTAAAAAATAAAACTAGTATTAGATAAATTATATATTTGATAAATTGAGATTTACTTACCAAATTCTATGCATTTTTACACAATATTATTGCATATAAATAAAATAAGATTATTATTTGAATGTTTAGAGAAAATTGAATGTTGAGTGACAACTGACAACGTTCTGTCGAAAGAGTCAAATGTCAATTCCATTATTCATCTATTTTGCCGGCCTTGTACTGAGAAGATTTCACTAGCGCAAGATATTTTATATTTGTTTGGCAATAAAAATTTATTATTTTAGTTACAAAAATATATATACTTTTCACTAACTTACGGCTTATTTTGGAAGGCTTGAAAGAGATTAAATAAATCAATCCCACGTAAGCGATGACGTATCTTGAAAAAGTCAATTGTCAATATTGTCAAACGTCAATGTCAAATTGCCAAGTTAATTTATTATTTCTCATAAATTTTGGAGTTCTGAAGAAAGTATAAAACTCTATAAACTACATTTAGAAAATTCAAAATTTGTGGAAATTGCTAATACAAAAAGCATCATCGATAGTACAAGAGATTCCGGGATATCATGACCTCGAAATAAAACTTTCTTTTTGAGGTAGGTTCTAGTTGTAACATTCGCATTAATGTTATAACGTTTCGAATCAATTTCGAGAATATCGCCCGAAAATGTCGAAGAAACCTAACAGCGCAACGTCTAGGTTGAAGCAGGATTACCTCAGACTCAAAAGGGATCCCGTTCCCTATATAACCGCAGAGCCTCTTCCGTCAAACATACTCGAATGGTAAGTTTAGAAGTTATTGTGCCTGCTTGCATACTGTATTAATCCCAAATTTGTCTTAAAGGCATTATGTTGTTTGTGGACCTGAGAATTCTCCTTACGAAGGAGGCTACTACCATGGGAAATTAGTTTTTCCGAGAGAGTTTCCCTTTAAACCTCCATCGATATACATGATAACCCCAAACGGACGTTTTAAAACAAACAAGAAACTTTGTTTAAGCATATCCGATTTCCATCCCGACACATGGAATCCAGCTTGGAGTGTATCCACCATTTTAACTGGGTTGTTAAGTTTTATGGTGAATATTTCATCGAAAATTAACATCTATTTACTAATGCTTTCAATTATTTCAGCTCGAAAAGAGTCCAACCTTAGGTAGTATTGAAACAACGGATTACGATAAACGACAATTTGCTTATCAATCGCTTGATTATAATTTGAAAGATAAATGTTTTTGTGATTTATTTCCTGAAATTGCCGCTGAAATGCAGGTGAGAATTGTCACAAATACGGGCTGTCCCATGTAAGAACCGGCACTAAGCAGAGCCTTTTAGGGTAGCCTAAAATATGTTGTTTAACAGCCACCTTTTGAATTATCGACGATTTTAAGTAACGTTAATAGTGTACACAGTTTTTACTTTGTACTAATAGTAAGTTAAGCTGGGTTAACATATTTTGGGCTCCCTTGCAAGTGTCGGTTCTTATGCGGGACACCCTATGTATTATAAGTAGGTAATATGGAATTGATTTTAGGTTGAAATAGTGAAGAGGAATGCAACGAAAAACATCGCTTTAGAACAACAGAAAAACTTGCAGGCGATCGAACAACCGAGCAGTTTGCAGTCATGCATTACTAATTTGTGCGTCATCATCGGTTTTGCTGCCTTCGCTTTTACAGTGAAATACGTAATGAAAACGAGCGCTTCGGAAACGGAATAATTCTGTTATTTGTTTCATAAGAAATTGCATTTTAGTAATTTCAATTCAAACTAAACACTACCATGCTGTGAAAAAAAATCGTCAATCGAGTATTACCCTTATTTTCTTATAATTTGTCATAACCGCACATTGATATTTCCTTTTTGTTGGACGAAAAAAGAAAACAGCCAACAAACTGATTTTTCAGAAGGTATTCTGAAATTGTTATTTTCAGTATGCACAATATTAACACATTTGTTGAAATAAATTTCTTACCCTGTTACTAGTTTGTTCCTAACGTGTTATTAAACTTTTATTATTGTTTATTTTTTATAAAATAATGTGATTGTATTAAGTATTATATTTTCAATTATTTTTTACAATCAAAATTTATCTTATATTGTGAATAAATTTAACTCTTACTTGATGACAGGGTTTTTAATGCAGGGTGTCCTCGAAAATGCATATTTATGGATTTGGTATTAAATTCGGGTACACGCTGAATATATTCACCTTTATTAGGTTTATTACGAAAATTAAAAATTGTAAATTTAGCGCATTGTATAAAATACCTATATTTGTTAATTTGTTTTACATCGTTAACCGCTACAATTTGTAGCGGTTAACTTACGAAATATTAAATATGTTTATAAAAATATAAGAGAGTCATTTTTTATGCATTTACCTCACCTTTTGTAGAGCTAAATTATTTAAAAAAATAACGTTCACTGGAAAATAACGTAACTGGAATTTTATTCAACATTTAAAGGCGGACCAATAGTCCGAATAATTAGCGTCGAAAGTCAAAGGAACAAACCCGACGTCCGTCTTCAAAAAGCTGAGTTGCGGGCAATCCTCGCCGCCGGGGACATCGTGCTCGTGCCCGAAGGTGATCCTCGAGGCGTAGGGGAAGCACAGCCCGTCCTCCGCCCGGAAATTGTGCACCTCGTACTCCGGAAGGCCGTGGAAGTACTTGGCGATGTACTCCTTCTGGTAATCCAGATTGTTGGAGTAGAGATCGGGAGAGGCGCAGAAATTGGAGCAGGACAACGGTAGGTAAAGCGTGTTCTTGCAGGACAGGTTTTTCTGGCATATGCAAAACGGAATCTAAACAAAGGGGATCGTGGGAATTGAGAATTTTTCGGAAATGAAACGCAGATTGTTCTCGTACTTTCGCAGCTAAATTAATAATAAGTTTATTCTCAGATGGAACGATATCACTTTGATATGGATTTAACACATTGAAATAATAGAAGGGTTGAATCCGCTGACAAATAATCGGGAATCCCTTTTTTTCCTTTCATCAACCCTTTCACGTGACCCACTATACATTCTGCTGTTTATGATACAATTTTTAATCGAAAATTATACCCAAACAATACGGAAGACTTATTTTTATACGTAAAAATTGTACAGAAAAAAACAAATATAAAATACTTTTCTGGTAATAAGTAGATTTCGCTGGAAGTAAATGAATGAGACATAAAATAATCTAAAAATTAGATTAGGTAACAAATGCATTAAATGAATCACCCAAAAATATCTAATAAAAAAGCGAATAGTCTTCCAAATTAATCGAGTGAAAATAATTCTCGATAATTATGTTGTTAATAAGTGACTAAATGTAATAATCCTAATACAACATACAATATAATATTTGGGAATATTCAACTTTTAAATATATTTGTACAATATAATCTGGTGTTTCATTGTATTTATCTAAGTTATCTCTAAAAACTACTCCACGATCACAATAATATTGATGTATATTTTAATTTTTGTTTGGATATTTTCAATGTTCCTAATAAAATATAATTGTAAAATATCCGTTTGTTTTTTTTTGCTTGTATTTTAATCGAAATTGGTCTATTAAATACAAATTGCGATTAATTTCCACTTAAAAATGCAAGGTGTTCCATGCATTTTCAATATGCAGATTTTTTTATATTTGTGATTAAAAACCAGTGGAAGAATTTCAATTTGCCTTCCCGTACAAATCAGGTGGTAAGTGGAAAACAATTACTCAGTAAACGGCAGTATTACTATTTCTTTTTTTCTGTTAAGTGTATCAATTCCATGCATTAGGGATGCATGTTTTTACGAAGACTAAAGGAAGATTTAGAATATACCGCTATACATCATTTTCATTGGGAAGCATTTAGGTAATCATAATTTGTATATACAAAACTTCCATTGGAAAAATTTGGGAAGCTCTTATGTTGTTTCATGCGCATATGTTTTTGATAAATTTTGAAATATCTACTAAGGCACAACCTTACTTTAAGACTAAGTGAGAAGATCTTTTTTACAATTTGAGAGATGGTTTTTTGGAAATTAAAACGATGGAGAAATTTTATGTAAATCAACCAGTAGGTACTGAAATTTTGATATACATTTTTGATATAATATTTAACAATAAAAATGTTCAATTTCCGTTTTCAAAGAGCTAAACGAACATTTTTATGTTGTGTTAAAATGCGGTATAAACCATTTTACTTTTATTGAACCCAAACGGAGTAATATGCCTAATTAATCTAATTAAAATACCTACAAATTTATCACAATAATAATCTAACAATACGCTTTATAAAAATGATAATTTCTCCAACATTTTTCCTTTAGCTAATAAACAATAAAATATCATTTTATTCCCATTTCACGGTCAGCGTTTGTTAATTAATAATTATTATACAATAAATACGGTTTACTTTTTTATACAAATTTCTCTAATCGAATAAATATTACCTACAATTCTAATAATTTCTAAAATATGTACCAACTACAACTCTCGATGAGCTTTCGCTATTATTAAAAAACCGTTTAAAATAGGATAGAGGAATTATTGGTCCCAAAATAATATGTCTAAAACAACAACGAAAAAATTAACATACAACACATTCGAAACGTGAAGAAACGAAGTCCTTTTTGTAAAGGCACAATTTTATAATTACATCGCAAAAATAACGAAATTCATTAAATTAATGGCTTTGATTTATTTACGAAACATTTATGTGTCTAATGATTCATGAAATATTGAATATTTCCTACAGGCTCGACTTTTTATTCTAGTTTTGTTCGAATCCCCTAGTTTCGAAACTAGACGAATCATCAATATAACCGTCATAAAGGTCTATTTACAAAATACACGACGCTCCTACGTAGCCTGAGCGGGCATTAAATCAGGATGCGATTGAAAAGCGTGGCTCTTCGGTATAATCTCCTGCATCTGATCCTGCGACTTCGCATCGCCCGCCAACACGATCCTCCTCTTCCTCACCTTAAACCGCGCCTCACCGTCGAAATCGTCGTCGTCGTCGTCGTCGTCGTCGTCGTCCTTGTCCTCCTCCACGTTGTACTCAAACCCGATCAACCGCTGCTTGCCGCGCTTCAACGCCCTCGTCTCCGACACCGACTTGAACTTCTCGTTGATCACCGTCTCTGCGCTGGCGAACACCTTCTTCACGCTGATCGCGACGATCTTGTCCAAAGACAGCGTCTTGCGCAGGTCCTCGCGCTTCTCCCAAAACTCGACGCGCTTGTCCTTCCAATCGACGATCTTCATCACGTTGTCGAAGCCTTCGCGCGTGTTCTGCTCCGAGTCGTTGATCAGCTCGATGTATTTGGGGAACAGCATCAGTCCGGCGGAGATGGCCTCCAGGTTGCGGACGTTCGCTATCTCCTCGGCGGGCACCTGGCACTCTTTGAAGATCCGCAGGGCTTCTTTGAGCAGGGGATTGGCGAAACTCGGCACGGCGCACGACAGGTAATAGTCGCCCAGATTTTTGTACGCCAGGCCGAGGTAGTACGGTAAGTCGTTCTCTTCGGCGTCCGATTTTAATTCCATTAATATTTTGAGCGATGCGTTGGTGCAATTATCTAGCAGTAAGGCTCTGGCCAAGTGGATTCTCACTTCGCATATCCCTTCGACCGAACCGAACTTCTTTTGTATGTTGTAAGCGCTTAATAAGGAATTAACTGCCGCTTTCGTGTTCGAAATCATCATTTCGCAGAGACCTTTCAGGATGAGCGCCTGGCACTCGCCGTTGAAGTGACAACCGTGCGCTGCGATGTGTCGAGTCTTCACCGCCAATCTAATGGTCTCCTTCGGATTGACGCGCATCAATTTCCTCACGTTCTTCAGCATGCACTCGGCGAGCGCTCGGTTGGTTTGCATGTACAAAGTACCTCTCACCTCGGGGAAGTACGGCTGGCTCGTCCACACCTTCCCCTGGCAAATGACGGTGGTCAGTTGCAGTTGCTCCTCGGCCTTCTCGAACTCTTTCCCGTTCTCGTAGAGAAACCTCGCGTAGGCGTACCGCGTAAACGCTTCGTATTTGCCGCCCAGCGCCGGGTACTCGGACGATACCTTAATGCCTTGGATGAGTATCTGCTCGCCCAGCCACCACCAATCCGAATGCGCGAACGCGAAGTGGATGCCGACGCGCAGGAATTCGTCGCATTCGCTCTCCACCTGCCCGTTGTTGTGGTAGATTTCGGCCAGTTTGAGTTTCTCGCTCAACAGGACGATCTCCTCTTTGGAATTTTTCAATTTCGGTCGCATGGCTACGGTGCTGCCGGGCGGCGCGTCCTTCACCAGCTCCTCCTGGAACTCGACCAGTTGATTGATGTAGGCGGCGGTGCTGATGAAACCTTTCTCCTCCAAATTGATGGTGAGCGCCTCGTGCAAGGGCAGCCGGAATTCGCGGATTTGCTCCAACGTGTATTGGGGCAGGGCGTTGCGCATGCTCTCGACCAGTTTCTTGGTGGTTTGCGCCTTGTGCCGCTCTCTCAGCACGTGGCTTTTGGTCGTTTGGCCCGTCGAAAACGATTGGTTTCGCTCGGCTAGCACGACTTGGTCCGCTTCCGTTTGAACGTCTTCGGCTACGCTCGTCTCCGTTTTCACCTCGGAGGTCGTCCGGATCTCAATTTCCGATTCCATTTTTGAATTAAATCAATACCGATTCGATAAAATAATGTAAAAATTGTGTAAAATTTCGTCAATGAAATGTGGCACTTTGAATGACAACTTGGTAAATAGGCATGTTTCAAGAGGGTTATGAAATTTTGCTGGTTTTAAACGAAAAATGTACCTTTAACGACACATAAACGCTTGATTAGTGCGTAAAAAACGATACTCAGGAATATCACGTTTTTTTCTCATACGAGTATTTTGATTATCGTTAATCAATTATAACAAACCAATACAACGCAAAATTCGCCTATAATTTCAACAAATTCCCTATCGCAGCAAAACCGCCGAACCGAGCCGCCTAGACCTCAATCTCTCTGCGTTTATCCCATCTAAAATTAAATATGAAAATCCTCGAACTTTATGGGCGGCTCGTCGTCGCAATACAAATCCAAATAGCCCTTGTTCGGTCCCAAACGGGGATCCGGCGGGCTCTGGAAACGACCGCGCTCCGTCGACCCGAAGGCCTCGTTGAAATCCGGCAGCGGCTTCTTGGAAACAGGCTGCTATCATTTACAAAAAAAAAACAAAAACCATATAACTCCCGCCCCGAAATCGACCAAACCGCCGTAATACGAACCTTCTTCAATTTGGCCTCGTCCTGCTGGCACTGGCCCAAGCCGTACTCCGGCTCCCTGTTCTCGGCTTGGGGCGGCTTCTCGTTGAGCTGCAGCGGCTCGTCGGGCGGCAGGCTGTCGTTGGAATGGGGCGGCGTCATGGGCATGATGGAGTTGGAGTGCGGCGGCGTGATGGGCATCGATATGGCGTTGATCGGATGGATGGAGTGGCCGGGCGTCTGACGGTGCTGGTCCATCATCAGGGGACTGGGCGTGCTGAGCGGCGGCGACGGCTGGTGGTGGTGGTAGGGCGATTGCATGTCAGGCATCATGTAGGGATTACCTATTTTATTAGAAACAATTCGTGCTAACTACACCCTTTTTTAACATCAATTCAAGTGATTTGTTACCTGACGATCTGGGTCTTAGATCCTCTTGGTAATTGTGCCACATTTCCGTTTGTTGTTGGAGCTGCATCAACGGATTCGGCTGGAAATCGAAACGTATTTTTTATGTATTAAATGATCCTTAGGAGGCGGATTCCGGTTAATTTAGCGCGCTAAACGGAAGCGTCGAATCGTTAAAACGCTAGTACATGGGAAATTTAATATGCGTTTAATTGCCGTTACGAATTTCGGCAACTTGTTGCTTGCACTAAAAGGCGAAAGGGATCGGAATTGATATTCCCGACTCGAACTCCGGCACCGGCCAGAGGCGGAACTTTCGATTTTTATCGCTCTATAAAGCGCCATATTTATGAATCGAACGCCGCACTACAAGGGTAAAGTGAAAAGTCGCCGGCCTGACAACGAATGACCGCGATTCTCAGTTGAAAAATTACATTATTTTTCTTATTAAGTCGAAGTCTTTCGTTCGAGACAGTTTTAAATACTCCCGGAGTGTTCTAAATAATTCTGAAGCATTCTAAATAGTTCTAGACAGTTCTAAATGATTTTAGAGCGTTCTAAATGATTTAGGTCGAGAACTTTTCACCCTAGCCTCGTATATGAGTTTTTATAAGCAAATGAAAGAAAGTTAAATAACAAATTTGTATTTAAAACTAAAACGTACTTAAATTTGATTTGATAAATACATAATATAGTTAAATCATCCCTTAATTCTACGCCTTTTTCTGTGAGTGGCATTTAGACATTCGGAGGTAAATACAGTATTCCTGCGAGATGTTCTATTTTAAATTAAATGCGTAATTCGCTGTAAGTGGCGGGTCGTTTTATTTTCTCACGAATTCTCGAGGAAATTCTTTTCCTTTTCTCTGGGTAATAAGAAAAACGGCGAAGGTATAAGTGGCATCGGAGACGCAGAGATCAAAACAACAGACGTTTTTAATATAAATTTCGCATCTACGTTGATTCGTTTTCGTTCAACGGAAAGGATTTTCTTAAAGCGACATTAGAGCTCGGCGGAATAATGAAAGCGAGACAGTTATTTTGCTTGTACTTGACCCAATTCGACGTCGCCGTGAAGAGCATTTGAAAATTTAGCTTCTATAGTGCCGAAAGCGTATGTGTCAGCAGGAATTAATGATTTCGACCTTTCCTTCTCCTATATAAGCGAATATGGATTAACTACGATTGCCTCGACGGGGGAAATTTCATAACAAGAGACATTCACGTCGAGCTAATGAAATATCAAAAAAATGAACAACAAAAGAATGCAATGGAATTTTCCGTTAGCGCACATAACTCAATCGATTCCAATCGTGCTTCAAATGAAACGCAAATCAGAATCACCCATAACTGGCTGGATCCGACGAGCCGAAATGCAAAAAAAATCGCTGTTAAATTCGAGAGGGAAAAAGGATAAAAAACTAAAAACGATCAGTATCAGTACCTGCATGTAGGAGGGATGCACGGCGGGAGAGGGCGCGGGCGGCGGCGAGTCCTGATGCATTTTAACGGCGTAACCGCCCGGCGTCGACATGGAAAAACAGGGCGAATCCAGACCTGGACCGCGCATGCCTTGGCCCAACGGCGGCTGCTATAAAAAAAACCACCATTTACCATTTGCAACAAAATATCACACTTCCACACTATACTTTTCCCACGACCAAATGTCTTAACCTGATACGCGCGTGCGTATTAGGCGCTTTTTTTACCAAATTACATCCCGAAAGGGAGGTTTTAAAATGAAGAAACAGCGCTATAAAATAACATTAAATCTCGGCGGATTTCATAAAACGGATGATGGGCTTTGTGATGTTAAAACGGACTATTTTAGACGAGCAACAAGTGTTCCCGTTCTCATTGCGAATCAATTTGAAATTACCCGCTCGGGTAATGGGAGACGCGCATCTGACGAATTCGATGTAAATATTTGTGGATTTGCGACGGCTAATTCCCCGAATTCTCCTGCAAGAACTTCGACGGGCGGCTTTGACGGATTTACGAGATTCACCGTTCGATGGATTATTTCGCGTTATATAATGATAATTAACTAATAGCGAGGCTTAGTCGTATTAGCTCTTGTTTGAATTAGAAAAAAAACGCGTTCGAAACAAAAATTTTTTAACAAGTATTGTACATGTTTTCAGAATCAATTGAAGGGCTTTGAAAATATAAATCAAATCAACAAATAAAAGTGCAAGTGAAGAAGGTTCGTATTTTGAAGTAATTTTTGGAAATATTGATGCAATAAATTTTGTACTTTTAGGAGAGTGGTATTGTTGAAGCCAATATTATATCATATTAAGATAAAAGTTTGTTAATAGCTTTAAAAATGCGCTTCATTTCTTTTTGTTCTATTAGTATAACAGTTCAATATTCCAGTTTCTTCGATATTTTTAAAAATATTTCGAGCTACCACGAAACAGGATATATTGTAATTTGATTGATCCAATTTCTCTTTATCATTTGAAACATCCTGTATACCCGTTGTCAACTAAATTCTAACCGTCAACCTACTACAAAATAAGAAAAAAAGAAAAGAAAAAAAATCACTCTTTCCCCATCCGAACGAGCGTCATCCTTTAACCCCCGCATCAATTCGGCGGGAGCGAGAGTTGGAGCGAGAGCCATCGTTTCCCCCTTCATCCAGGCGAAGGATCCTCGCTCAAAGACGCCCGGAGACGTACATCCGGCCGCCGCAGGACCATTTTTGCGCGAAACGGGCGACCGTCATCGTCAACAACGATTCGTCGCCGTGGCAACGCGCGTATTTTGTCGCTAAGGAAACGCGGGAGCGCTGTATTATAGCCGTCGAGAGGCTGAAGCGGCGCTCGATCCATCGGATCCTTGCGTAATGCCGCTATGCCGCTGCTTCTGCTATCCGAAGCGGGCCGGCAGAAGTCGATAAGGGGGCGCCGCGGCGATGGCGAGCGCCGACGCCGTCGTGGCGTTGCCGGTTGCACTGGTAATTCGCGGGAATCGCGGAAATCGCATTGGTGGGATAAAAATATTGATCTGATACGGTTTAGCGTGAAATTTTAACGACGGCAATTAACTCGAATGTAATAAAAAATACGTAATGGGCAATGATAAATTCCAATAAATTTTGGGATATTCGTACCGTAAATAATAAAAAAAATAATGTGTGTAAAGAGTACATTTTTTCAAATGGATTGTTTTTATGCGATAAATTTAAAAATTGATGTGTTGTTGAATCGGCAACATTGTAAATGCCATCGGCCGCATTGGAATTGTAGGGCTTTCCGCGGTTGCCAGAATTTTCCCATCAATTAGGCGGTTTTACGCCATCAGGAAAAATTGCATAGCGATTTTAAATTTTCCCAAAGAAAAGGAATTGCACTGTAAAATAATACTCCCAAACTTTTCTTTAAAAAATGCAGAAAACAAAGCTTTGTACGTAACTTTTTAACGAGCTTTTTTAACGTACTTTTTTATACAACTTTGCCTCTTAAATATTTAACAATATAATTCACTTGTTCCAAATTATCATAATACACTACATATTATTAATTTAATTTTATTAGCAATACAAAATAAGAAGCTATTAGAGAAACGTCAAATTAATTGGGAATTTCCCCTTTGCCATTCGCTCGATTTCAACCGATGGATTGTCGGCGAGTTTTCAAAGTTAAAAGTTAATATTTCAACTCTTTAGAAGTTTATTGGAGAGAGAGTTTTACTTCCCAACAAACTTTTCGAACGGAAACTTTTGTTATGTACACACTATTTCGTCCGACGTTACGAGCGACATTTACTTTTAGAGCAATAAAAATAAACACGTTAATTGTTTATACCTTAATTTAATTAATTGTTTACTTTTACTCAAATTAGTGTAATAAATAACTAATTAAATTAGCCAGTGAATAGTTAGGAATGGAAATGTTCTCTACATTCGTAGATTCCTTTGAGAAGAAACGACTTTTACGAAGCGCGGGGTTAATTTAGGAGGACATCGCGCCCGTTGCGAAACAGCCCAAAGTTACTTATTACCCGTTAAATTCATTATTTGACTTTCCGTGAAAGTTCGGCCGGCAAATTGGAAGCGATTCGATACGCGACCGGTCGCCGTGAAAAGTTCCTCCGACGAAAGATTGAATTTTCTTTCGGACCTTTTCTTTAATAGACGTTTAATTGGAAGTTGTACGAAAATCGAATTAGCTCCGGGATGGGAGAGCCTTTATTTTCGTTGCTCGTTAAATTAAACTGTAATTGTCGCGTTAATTGTAGTTAAACGAATTTAATTGGATTTATACACCTATAGTAATTACTAATTACACGCGATTAATTATTAATATGATTGATTTAGGTACAGTTAATTTGGTGGCATTGAAGTCAGTCGGTAATTGAGTTGCAGTGCAATTCGCTAAATAAACCGCATAGGCAGATCGAATTCTCCGGATGAACCGCTAAAGTTTACATCGACGAAACTCGTAATTAACTTTTACAACTCCCCAACATTTATTATCGGCGTACATACAATGTAACAGCGACGTTAACACACATTTATCGTCGCAAACAACAACAATAACCCGCGCTTATGATTTTTAATCGCTCGATAAAATCGCGCGATCGACTTACTATTATCAGCGGCTCCTCGTGGGGTCCGTGCGGAGGCGGCGCCGCGGCGGCCGACGCCGGTGTCCCGGGCGTCCCCCAAGTCGCACCGGCTCTGCAGGCGTTCGGACGCTGGAGCATCGGCGACGTGCCGATCGACCGATTCCGGCTGGTCGCCTCTCGCATGGCTTTCCGCAATCGGGCCTCCTTCGGGTTGTACACGTAATCTGCAAAAGAATAGGGGGTGAAGAAAAATGCAAGTACATCCCCCGGCCGGCGAATCGATAGGAGACGAGCGGTGGTTTTTTTTTTTTCACTGGTTTACGACTCGCAGGAATCCAGTGAATCTGTGATATCGAGAATCACTACTTTTTCTAGATATTAAATAGCACAAGAATCCAAAGCAACTTTGGATTGCAATCAGTATTGTAATAGGGGCTTTACTAGGGTATCTTTCGAGGGGATGAGGAAGTTTGGAACTCTATTCAGACTCTCCGGTTCAAAGTATATTAAGTTAGCATGAACCAAATAAACCGTTGGTCAGTTTCATGAATCAACTAAACTTTAATTGGCCAAACTCTGAAAGTTCTATCGAATACGTATTGTACTTTTGGCAATAATTGACCCGGTGCATTCGTATTAGATTCTCTAACTAGGCAAGCACATTCCCTGGATTTGTTTGGGTTTCTATACAATCTAATAACAATTAATTCGAGCGATGATTGTCGATAACAGCAGGTTATCGGAAGGAATCGAGCACGACATTCCGACGTGTTAAAAACAAAATAGCACGAAAAAATCCAGACTAACCGAACGATGCGTCAGCAAAGCGATAATGAGTCATTAGATTCCTATCGCGGTGCTCAATGGCGAAAAAAAAACAATAAGTTTTATTGATTTTCGTGCATTAATTCCCGAGATAACGCCGGGCGAAATCAAAATAAAAAAAATTTAATGACACTTTGTTCAATTGGCTATTATGCGGGTTTCGATATACATAATTAAGTTGTTTTGACTTTCCGCGCAAGAGATACCTCTCGTATGTTTGGAATAATCGCATTGTTGGGAAAATATACGAGGCTGATTTGATTCGAACAAAAGGATATCGGCTAATATATTTGGAAAATATCAAATCAACGTTACGTAAAATTCAATAAAATTTTTGTAGATAAATTTTTATTATTCAAGCGGGGTTTTAAAAATTGCAAATCAGTGTGAAGTCCTAAAAAGACTGAAATTCCTTCATGTTTTTAGCATTTATATGTGTAAATTTTAGACATGTAGAGAATTAAAATGTTTAGGATTTCACAAAAATAAGAGATCGCTTTGGACAAGCTTTACAACCCGTTAGGGGTTGAATGTATGTTTGACTCGTTAATTGGGCGCTGAAGGAATATTCTCAATCGACACTGCGATAAAATCTCAATCGACCTAATTTTTTTCTTAAAGCAATATCCAATTTTATAAAGCTTCACGCAACAAGTTCAAAAATTAATAACCAAGCTAAAAGTATTTCTAAATAATTTTAATGTAAAAAGCCTTTAAATTTATACTGGTAATTAAAGAGGTTTTGTAAATAACGGAAAACTGAGAAAAACCTACAGGTATTAGCGTTGTTGTGTCGTATTACCTGCATAAGCCCGCTGTTCTCGACCTTCTATTGCTTATCGATTTGGAATATAATTAATATTGGTCTGTCACTATCATGCGTACACTCTCCAGAGTAAATTAGTTCAAACGGAGAAAGTATATTAAGCGAATTCCGAATTGATAACGATATGCACCACACTAAAAGTGTATAATGGAATTAGATTTAGTCGTGTTGTTATTATTTTAATATTCGTTTTACTCTATAAAATAATTATTTGAATATTTGATTGCAAGGGAATTCTTTTAATGCTAGGCATAGCGTTAGATTCAAGAATAACAACAGGTGATGGAATATCACGTAATTAATCATCTTTTCGGTTTCTTGTTGATGAATTTTTATAATTTACAGAATAGTAAGATTAATATTGTGATATTTACACTTTTGCTAATTAATAAGTTTTGTAGAGAATAATTCTTAAATCGTTTAGAATATTTGTAATTAGGAATTGTAAACTTGTTTAGGTAAATACAAATTAAGGGTTGGAAATTTTACCCTCAGAAAAGTTTACTCATAACTTTTCCTTTGTGAAAACTTTTTCATTTTTATCATCAACTTTTACTCGAGCGAAAATGTAAAGAAAATTCAGCTATACTCTACCAAATTTACCCGATGGGGATTTCTCTAATCCTCAAGAACGATATCAAAAGGGGGCGTGTTTGTTTGAAAATCTTTCAATAACAAATTTACAAAGGAGTAAAATGATTTTTTAATAAAAAGGGGCGTACCTTGTGGTGTAAACATCCCGCTACCAGGCCAATGATGCGGACTATAATACGGATTAATATTCCCATAATAATCATGGTACATGTTATGGTGTCCGTAAAATTCTCCATGATACGGCGGCAGCGGTTCGTTGTAGTACCCATAGTACCCTTGGTGCTGTCGATACGGCACGTAATTGCAACAGTCCATGTTTAGTTAAAACGAAAGAAAAATTTTTTGGCACAAATAACGGTATATTTTTCGTCGATTATCCTTATTATTACAGAATCATCGCTCGATATGTCGAGGGATTTTTTTTCGAAAATCCGGACTTTTCGCGCCAAAATCGACTCGTCGACTGAGCCGGACGGCGCGGCGGTGGAGTATTGTCGGCGGCGCGACAGTCGATAGCGTTTTGGTGGTAGAGAGAGTCCGAAATGCGCGAGGAGGCGCAGTTAGCGCCGCCACTTACCGCCGCCAACTGAACTGTGCAATCAATACGGCACATCGACGCCTCTCCTAGATGGTGGAGCGGTGGCGGCGACGGGCAGTTCGCACTCGCTTCGGGGGCAGCGTTGGTTACCCCAACTGGGTCATTCGCCCGCCACCGAGGTGGCGGAATCGCGGCAATTATTGATATTTTTTTTCCGTACTTTGCTGGTCAATTTTTTTACAATGTTGGGAGGTACACCTGTATTCACATAAATTATTTTTAACCCGCGATGAGTATTTGCACTTTTATATTTTGAAGGATAAAGTTCTCATCACAATGAATTAATCTATTGTGAGGATTTAAGAAAGTTTCTCGCAAACTTAATCTTGCGAAGATTTATATAAATAGGATAGTTAAAGTGTAAAGTTTCCAGCTCAATATACAGCAATTTTGATACTTCTATAATTGGGGAAATTAGTTGTGAAAGAGAAAATTCGTAAATCATTCGTAAATTTCAGAAAATGGAGATGACTAAAGTTATCCCTACAAAACGAGCCAATTTTAAAGTTTCTATCTTTAGTAGTTATGAAGTTCTAAAAGAAATAAAAGTTAGTTGTATAATATTCCCAAAGAATTTACCCAGATAATGCATATTACACTTTTAAAATAACTTGTGAAAGAAAAATCATAAAAACAGAAGAATCTCATCACTCTCTTTTGTTAACAGTTATATTTTCACGAAAAATTCGCTTTTTTCCGGCAAAATTTCCAATTACGAAAAAAATGTAATAATAATCTCCATCAAATTTTCCGTTGAAGTTATCGAAGGGATATCGACTGCGAAAAGGGCAATAAATTATCCGGAAACTCTGCCGACATACGTCTCGGGATGTTCCCTTTTCGGTCGGATAAATCCGTTTTTTCCGGGCCCGCGTCCACCAAGAAAAACAAGTTTTTTCGTTTATCTCGAACCCGGAGCCGAAGGTACACCCGGCGATAACGCATTTCCCAGTCGATAACGCCGCAAAATCCCTACGCCTCGCTTCGATATCAGAACCGACGATTTTTTTTTCACTCCGGCGAATACGGTGTAAAAAACGAGTAAAAATATTCTACGTACAAACTCCCAAACATTGTTCAAACTCGGCAATTTTAATTGAATACCAGAAGGTACGTATTTACGGAATATTAAATCCCTAATAAGATTAAATTATTATTTCCAAAGGAAGGCGTTTGAAATTTCGATCAAATCGAAATAAATTTGATGTAAGTGTTGTAGCCGTCGCGTCGAGACGCCGACAATCGTTACATTCTCTTGAAGCAACACGTTGCTAATAGCCGGAAGACGCCGGCAATTTGACAATTTTGGCACCGGATTAAATCGGAAGCCAGTCCCCGATTTCGCTCCTACATCAAATTTCATTGACAATTTCATAACAAAACTTTTTATCATAAAATATTAAATCCTACTCCAATTTATTTTTGGATTTATCCGATATTCAAACAATCAATCTTCCAACAACCTTTCCTAGTGTACACGAATTAAAAGTATACCATAAAACTATCTACACAACCAACATCGGCTCGATTCCCTCCGCAGTATCCATTACATACTCAATTACAACCCCATTTACGAGCCCGCAATTACGCCGGGATGAATTCCATCGCGTGCGCTCCTGATTTTCGCAACGACGGCGGCGGCGGCGGCGGCGGCGGCGATTTCGATCCTGCAGACTGGTCGATGCCTGTGTCAACCTACACATGCCCCGTGCGGAACCCGGAATGTTCCGCGTCGTCCGCATCGCTTCCTCCCGTAACGGAGTTACCGACCGACGTCGACGACGCACTCTCCGCCGCGGCGGAGCTCCACCGGCACAGCGCCCGTCATATCGACGGGACGCACGTCGATAGGTGCGCTGCGTATAATCGGGTTACACGTTTTTTCGAAACCCCTTCGTCGCACGATTCCAACCCTTCTTTTACGGTTAGCGAATACTTAGAAATATGCTGGAAGCTTAACACCACTATACTGCATAGTTTGAGGACTGCAGAATCTAAGTAAATGCAATCAAGTGGCGGGGGAAGATAGACGAGGATAGAACGAACGAGATGCCGGCGTTGTAACGCGGCAGAGAGAGTCGGTTGCTCGCCGGTTTTAGGGAAATCGATTTCAGCAATTTAGTCGCTTTTCCTCAATTTACGGCAAATGAAATTAGCGCGTCGAATTTACCTCCGCGGCGCCAGGCGTCGTCGCTCGCAGAGGCGAAATTCGAACGTTAATTCGACCGGCCGAATTTATTCCGGGCAGAATTCGATTCCGGCTTGATTGCTGATTAGAATGCCGACGTCGATGCTCGAAGGGTTGCTCGAAGGTGGCTCGGGGGGTCGCGACCGCAACGGCCATTTATCAAACTTATCATTATCTACTTGCAATGGGGGGGCGTTCGGTTTTGTTTCGGCGGAACGAGAATTTTTATGCCCCTGGCTTTAAAAAAAACAACAACCGGCGTTTAATCATCATTAAACCGACGATGCGACAACGAGACCCGAAAATGACACAATGTAACGATGTGACATCGTATGTACTTCTTTTTAAGCTCGGCTCAGGTCAAAGTTCACTCAAGTGTACAGCGGATTCGTTTCTTTCAACAGTAGCGCACACCGCGGAATTTGTAAAAAAAATCATTATCTCCTACCACCACAAATTTCGCTTCGTAAACTTATTTTATCGCATTACCGCGGTGCCTTCGCTAAAGCGTTCATTCAGCGCGCGATAATATCCCGCTAGGATGCTCGGCCTCCGCTATTGCGGCTATCCATCGAGCGTTGAAGACTCGCAAGTAGTAGAAAAATCGTTCATTTGGGAAGCGTATGTAACATTGATTAGAATTAGCGACAGAAAGAAGATAGATTGGAGACGGGGTGGCGGTAGGGCGGCGGAAAAGGGCGACGAACGGTCGTCAACGGAAAATAATGCAATCCGCCTCTCCGGGAGCGCTCGAAGGGTTTCAATTGATTTGCATCAATTTAGTCGCGAGCCATATTCAAATGAATTCGTTCGAGGAGTAAACGATACGCCGGTGAAACGAGTTAATTTTACGGGGGCGCCGCGACGCCGGCCCTCCAGTGCAAACAACGCCACTTAATTTATACCAAATTAATTGCCCCTTTTTTTACTTTCAAATTGAACAAAATATTTTTTTTAAATGCAATATATTGCAAACAAACAATACATACATATTATTTACTCCTTGCAGTAACAATGGGACGTAAAAAACGATAAAAAATTAGTGACATTTTAGGTAAAGTGTAGGACGTTTCGGGAGCGTCGCGACGCCATTCGCGCGAAATAAAATCGGTGGAAAGAGAAGTCGTCAAAGCGGCAAGGCAAGCGAAAATCCTAAGTGGGATCGTACTTCGACTCAGCTGAGTTGCAAAGTCGCGGGTCCCGCGTTGAAAACTCGGGAAAAGTGGGATAAAGCGGCGAAAGGATCTCCAAACGAGAAGTGCATCGTCAGCGAAACTTAGAAGTTTGCCCGATGGCGTAAAATCGCGGTAGATTAGCGAACGCGGAATTCAATTTTTATATAATATAGATATGAATATTCCTTACGTGGATATTTCACCTTGTGCTCGAGAGCTAAGACCCGCGCCTTTTCGAAGTATTTGTTTTTCTCGTCGGTTCCTAAATTCTTCCAATTACTTCCTAATTTCTTGCTGATGACTTTATTGGAATCGGCGGGATATTTATGGGACATCACTTTCCTATTTTCCGTGGCGTATAACATAAACGCGTTCGGCGGCCTAGGAATTTTCGAGGCTGAGCAAACGTTCGGACTGTATGACAATTCCTCATTTTCTACGAAAAATAAAGGAAAATATATACACCCTAATAAACCTACAGCGAATAGCCTAAGGAGAGAATTCGAATTATTGTTATTACAATTATTACCTATTTTTATGCTGTAATTGAATAAATTATTCGTCATTAACGATGTAACTCAAATACAGATTGGGAATTATTTTGTTTATGAAAATTGTGTTGTCATATTATGCTGACTTGACCGGATTCGCGAAAAAGAAGACAACGATATGAGATTTTTATGCGAAAAAAAACCGTAACATAAAAATTAATCTGTTCGAAATTTTATGTTACAAAAGAAAAACTTGTTTTCTTAACACATTATACGAAAACTAATTTTCCCAACTGTGACATAGCCGTTTCAAAAGTTTTGCGATAACCCAAGAAAGTCATCAAAACTAAATAATGTTATCATCCGCGATTTGGCATAAAAAAAACTTTATTTCAGGATCTCCATTATCAACGAAATTGGTTTTTTCCTACATACATAGATAATAGAAACCATTTAATCGATAGGCTATAGTTTGTAAGCAACAAAGTATGATAAAATGATAGATCACAAGGGTGATTAACTCGGTTGTTTTTATCCACACCCTCACCCTTAATTCGCGGTTACCACAGAAACTGAAATATACATCCGACCATGTCAGTGTCTCTTTTAACTTAGTTTTATCAATAAATACCGCCGTTTTAGAGTAAAATCAACCTATTTACAATGGACGACGAAGAATTGGAAGACGTTAAACAGCTCGATCTCGCCGCCATCATCGGCTTCGACGGTAACAAATCCCACCCGAGCGGGTAATTTTTCACCAACCCGTCCGCTTTTCAGGCGCCAACAACAGAAGCCTCGTCGCCCACCCGGACAAAAAGCACATCGTCTACGCGCTCGGCAACCGAGTCGCCATCCTGGAATGGGCCACCAAGAAGCAGGAATTCCTGGCCGGTCACACCAACATAATTTCCTGCATCACCGTCTCGCAGTCGGGAGCCTACGTCGCCAGCGGCCAAATTAACCACATCGGATTCAGGGTAATAAGCAGACGTTTTTCCCTACCACTTTCATTAACTCTTGGTGAATGTTCAAGGCGCGGGTGATAGTGTGGGACTACCAAAAGAAGGAAATGATATCGACGCACGAGCAGCATAAGGTCCGCGTGGAGGGCATCGTCTTCTCGTCGCACGAGCACTACGTGACGAGCATCGGCGGAAGAGACTGCGGATGCGTGGTGGTGTGGGATTGGCAAGAGCAGAAGGTGATCTCAGCCGTGCAGGTGAGAAACGAATACCGGTTAACAGGAAAGGTGCTTTAGACGTTCGCAATGGTCTCGTAGATTTCGAAAGGAGCGGCCGGAGACGCGTCGGTGATATCGTCGATGCACAAGAGAGGCGAATCGTTTATCACTGGAGGCGACTGCCATTTATCCGTGTGGGTTATTAACAAGGAAGCGAAGAGCTTGAAGCAGATTATCGTGCACACTATGAAGCGCAGACGAGCCGTGTTGTGTATTGATATCAACGAAAGAGATGAGGTTTGTTTGCTTTACTCTTCATAACCAGTTCAACGAGTGGTTTATGATGGATAATTTTATACAGATTGGTTACTGTGGTACAACCACTGGAGATTTGATGAAAGTAAGATTATGTTTCCACCACGATCCTGACATACTAGATCCAGTAAAGAATCCGATCGTACAAGGCTATTGGGCGAGGATTTCCAACAAGAAACTCGAGCGTGGAAAAGTCGATTTGTACGAAAACGGTAAAATATTAAACACTTAAACCTGTAGAAATCGATTACCAATAATAACAATTTTCAGGAATTCATTCAGTAAAAATCCTGCCCGATGGTTATATTCTCATAGGCGCCGGCGACGGCACCTTCGAAATGGTCGAAGAAGTGATCAAACCAAACAAAAAGGAGGATCTTAAAATGCCTTCAAAACCGGCATTGAAAATCCTCAAAAGCATCAACGTTAACGGCAGCGTATCCGCCATTCAACTGTTCGATGTCACGACCTTTGTAGTGGGCACCGTCAAATCCGAGATATACTTGGTCAAGAGGAAAGAATTCCAACCCATACTTGTTATAACGTGTCACGTCTCGACTATTTACGACATCGCATTTCCATAGTAAGTTATTTATACGTTGCTCGAAATTGTACATTAGCTTTCTACTACATCATTGATGATATTTCAGCAATTTTTCGGAGGTATTCGCGACGGCCAGCAAGCACGACGTGCGCCTTTGGTGCGTGAACACCATGGAAGAACTCCTTCGGATAAAAGTGCAAAATTTCTATTGCTCGAGCTTGGTGTTCTCCTACGATGGAAAGGCCTTGTTTACCGGCTGGAGCGACGGCATCATCCGTTCGTTCACTCCATTAACCGGCAGACTGATCTACGCCATATTGAACGCCCACAACAAGGGAATATCCGCCATAACTTGCACCAGAAACGGAAAGAGGATAATTAGCGGCGGGTGCGAAGGTCAAGTGAGGTATACGTAACGAGTTCCTATCAACTCTACGCTTAGTAAGATCTTAATGATACAGATTGTGGGACGTTTCGCCGACGAAACAACAATTGGTTTGCACTTTAAAGGAACACAAAGGTCCCGTTTCTGCTATCGACGTCAATTCAGATGACACTGAAGCGGCGACTGCCAGTGCAGACGGAACTTGCATTTTATGGGATTTGCAAAGACAATGCAGACGATCGATCTTGTTCGCTAACACGTTGTTTATGTGCGTTAAGTATGTACCGAGCGGGGTACAATTGTTAACAGGTACTGTATGCGCCTAAATTACAATTGAAGTCACCTGAAGATGAATTTAATTTAGGTGGCTCCGATAGAAAAGTGTCGTACTGGGAGGTACTGGATGGAAGCTTAGTGAGAGAACTGGACGGTTCTCCATCAGGAGCTGTAAACGGATTGGATATATCATCGGACGGTAGTCTATTTGTTACAGGAAGCAACGATCAAATCGTTAAACTGTGGAATTACCAAACCGGTACTATCTACCTAACTATTACAACGTGCTCTTTACAAAACATTTTTTTCTAGGGCTGACAACTCACGTAGGAATAGGACACGCCGGCGCCGTGACCTGCACGACATTCAGCGGAGACAACAAGTACATAGTAACTTGCGACGCCTCTGGCGGTATTTTCTTATGGAAAACCCCTAAGAAAGAGGAAGTTCTTCCGCCGCCACTCGAAACCGTCGAAGAAGAACCAGAACCAAGTAAAGCTAGCATTAAACTCTAACAAATTTGAATTGATTTAACGCATTTTCAGTTCAAGAGGAACCGGAAGAGGAAAAGGTGGAGACCGTACGAGATATACCGACGGTTCGAGTGTGCGTGGAACTACCGCCGTGCGAATGTAACATACCTCCGGATGATGATAGTCCAAGGTACTGCTGTCGAATGCGCGGCGGTGGAGACAACACAGCCCTGATGCCGGAGACCAGTAGAAGCGTCAAGTCGATACAATCCGTAAGGTCGCAGGCGTCTGTACAGTCGGTGAAATCCGTTCAATCTGTGAAATCTGTAAAATCAGTGCAATCTGTAAAGTCTGTACAATCTGTTAAATCGGTGCAGTCTGTAAAGTCTGTGCAATCTGTTAAATCTGTTAAATCTGTACAGTCTGTAAAATCTGTGCAATCGGGAAAATCAGTACAATCTGTTAAATCTAATAAGCCTGTGAAATCTCAGTCGTCCGTAAGTTCGCGAACGAAATAGAAATAATTTTTTTAATGTATTTTTGTACTTTTATAAATATATATACACATACTTTTTTATCTGGGTCATTTTATTCGCTTTGAAATCGCTGTAGTACGTGAATCATTTCAGGCTCGTTTCCGATTCTTTGGTGGCTATCGAAGGTGCTGAGATTAATCATGTGGTGACGAGGAATAACGAAATCCACCTGTCTATTGGCGAACAAATGAGCCACATTCCTGGACGACGGAATCACGCCTACATTTTGTTGGATGGCCCAACGAAGCAGAATCTAAACAAAACGATTGTGTACACGGAATAATGCAAAACGAGTGTAAAAAGAACTACTTGAGCCGCAGTTTTTCCTAGCTCATGGGCGCACTTCAGCACATGCTCATTACGCAACATTTTGCACCATTTCGAACAGCCCAATATGCAGTAGGCTTGCATAAATACGCCGGCGTTTCGACATACATCGTACAATTTGCGATCTCTATAAAACGGATGGAATTCCACCTGAAACAACAAAAATAATGTAATTACAGATACAAAACTTCGAGTTTAAAACATCGACCTGATTGACAGAAGGTCGAACTCCACGACAACGGGCCAGCAGCCCTTCCAATTGCTCCACGCCGTAATTACAAACGCCTATTTGCCTGACTTGCTTGTGTTTCACAGCCTCCACCATTTTGGCCCAGCTTAAATTCCTCAAACGCGCATCATCTTCGGAATTGCCCGTCTGTGTACAAGAGAGGTCCATAAGAAACAAATCTATGTAATCGCAATTTAAGTGCCGTAAAGATTTCATGATGCCTCTCTCGACTCTCTTACCACGATCGGTGGGACCTACAACAATAAATTATTAAATTATTATTGTGTTATTGGTGGAATTGTGAATCTTACTTAATTTTGTAGTAATGAAAATGTCGCTACGTTGTAAATTGAACTTCGGGAGGAGTTTTTCTAAGCAATATCCGATCTCTTTTTCGTTATCGTATGAAGCGTCGGTATCTATTATAAACCATAATATTCGTTTAAAAATATAGAAATTGGAGTATATATTACCAATGAGACGATATCCTAGTTGAAAGGCGTCATCTAAGGTATTTAATATAAGATCCATCCCGTTCAAACCAGCAGTACCCACTAAAAATTTAATTATTTTTTTTAATGAAATATATTTGCCATAAAATATTCACTCACGTCCTAGGAATGGCATCTTTGCTCCTGTATTTAACGTAAAACACATTTCTGTGCCAGGCATTTTGGCGAAAGCGAAACTCAATTTTCTATTTCAAAACTTTATTAAATTTTCAAATTTATAAACCATTAGCATGTCATTGTCAAAGTTGTCAACTGTCATCTTGTATTCCTCTTCTTTTTATAGCTACTTTATGGTCTCTACATATTGGCTATTCTACAACTCATGAAACTGATCAATAAATTAATTAAAATTATTACCTAATTATTATTATCTGTAGATGTACAAAAAATGAATTTAAAAAATATTTCTTTTCAATAAAAGTTTTGTATAAGATGCCTATTCAAGTTTAATTAATCGATATTTCCTATATATTTCTAGAATAATTTACAATAATTACTTTAAGTATTTTCCACTATAGTTAACTAAAGTAGGAAATTCCCTATAAAAAATGTGTTTTAGAAACCGAAGCGCAAAGAAAAAGCGTTCACGTGCAAAAATTAATCATAATTAGTTAATAGGAAGGTACACGTTAAATTATTTATCGGAATAGAAGTAAGTTTTTTAAATGTTATGTTAAATCGGTAATCAGACCATAAAATCTGTGTTAAAATTAATAAGCTAACCATCACGCTTTTCTGTAGCTGTGGAATTTTTAATGATATAATGTAGGTATCTACACTCTTGTAAAAAAAATTAAAAGTACCTACCTATCTACTTTAAAGTCTCTACAAACTTGACAAAATCCTAAATTCATCTAAATATTTCTAAATTATAATTTAGTATACTAACGAATAATTGGCTGAAACAAGATTGTTTCTATGCATACTATGTGGCTTGTATATTATCCAACCCCGCATCAGCTCTAACTAGAATTTCTGCGCAAAAATGTAATTAACAAAGACCACACTGGTATTAAGTAGGTAAAAATTCTAATTAAAATTGCCGGTAACAATGACTGTAAGTATACATTATGTATACATTATACATGGAAGCATATGAGCACTAAGTATATGATTCGCTTGTGATTGTGAATATGTACAGGTACATGCATCATGTTCATGCCTATATATTATGCCTAAATGCCGTTAGTCTAATTGCTCCGCCAGGCGGAATCATAATTATAGTACAAGAAATATTTTTCATAGATTCCAAAAGGGTTAGTACCTAAAAGAATTATACAGCACGGAGGATTCAGAGGAATTAATACTAGAAGGCGTAGAAAGGTGAAAAGAATTAAGTTTTTTTTTTAGTTTACTATTTAGAATAAAAACTGTTGACTTGGTTGAACGTATGAATTTCACTGTACTATAATCGTATCGAAAGCTCTACTAAAAAAACACGGCACTCATCGAACGGAAACCAACCAAGACTCTGAAGACTTCACACTCGAAGTTCCTCATCGTCATTGCGAAGATTCAATCGGTTCAACAGAAAACGCGATTAATTAGTCAAAAATATCCTCTGTCGCCGGACAATTGCTAGGATAAATTAAAAATCTACGGAAATTCGAGTAAACCGGGAATAGAAACACGTCGGGAAACAGTTTTTCGTTGTGACAGAGCGCGGAAAATATATAAAAAAATAGGCGCCGGGTCGAGCAGCGCAAACCATGGAGGTGTTTTTCGCGAGGAAAACGAAACCGGCGGGATTGTCGATGGTGAGGTGTCCAAAAGTCAGGGTCAAAGAAAAAAAAGGTACGTACATTTAACAAGTTACTAAGCGCAATTAACGGGGGCAATGCGGAGTAGACACAAAAATTATACATATTCAATAAGAGTTAAAATTATACATACTATCAAGGGTGTTGTAGTCACGCTCATCTCAGAATAGAACAAAATACGATAATTTTATTGTGTATTAAGTACAGATAAGAGGAAGTGAAAAATCTTATTGTATTTTACGGAAGGTAATTGCCGTTATGAATTATTAACGTCGTTAATTTTTTATTGAAATAACCTTCGGAATGATGTTCATGTAAATCATTATTTTCCTATTTTTTTAAGGAAATAATTAAATTCTTATAAAATATAAAACAAAAATTTTATGGTATATAGGTAAGTATGGTATAAATAGTTTTAAGTATATACATAGAAGTATGAAATAATTTTATACCGACCAATGTCAATGAATTTCTACTCGGTCTATAAAACAGTGTAAAATTATTTTTTTACTGGAAATTCGTGCCATAAATAGTATATTACCTTCATAATAAGCTTACAACAATTATATTATCCCATTAAGTATAGGAATAATGGGCATATTAGTCATGGATAAACCAATTAATATCCAGTAATGTAAATAAAAATGCAGTAGAACCAATTAAGTATACTTACATAAACTATTTTTAACTCTACATGTAAAAAGAAAATTCCTATGAAAGTAGGTTACAAGTAACTAAACAAAAACAAAAAATCTATTATAATTCCGGCCTAAATTCAAATTTAATCTGATATCTCACCTGGTGCATTTATTCGTCACCATCCGGTACTCCGGTAGCGAAACGTCGAATAAAATAAAATTTGCAATCGCTGAAGCGTACATTTAATACACATGGACTCTACGATATTTTGACCCATTTGTACTCATATACAAGCAGGATTGATTGACAAAAGAGTCGGTAGTACGCATGAAAAATTAATACCCCTATAATAAAAGTTCCTACTCCTTATAGGAGTGATTCACAAATTTTTAAATTGCAATTTTTGCGGGATCCACCAGACGCATTTAATGAATCTTATTTAAATTACAATTAGAAAAAAACATTAGCGTAATAAGTGAACTTGGATAAGTCGTCCACAGCCCAAGGCCTCTGTTTAGTTCTCTTTTGCAACAGATATGCTACTATGTAATAGAATATAGCAGTCGAGAACGGCGAATCAAACATTAAACACAGTAGGTTTCGCGCGATCTGACACTAACGTACTAATACAGGATAATGGAAAGTTATCCTTTTTATTAGTGGAAAAGTTACGGGAAAAAATTGAAATTTTCTGTCATTTAACGACGCTTTTATATACAGTTTGATAGATTTGGTGAGAAAGGATAAGTGAAATTTTTTTGTACTCTGATTAAGTATTTTGTTTAATATTTGTTGTCAGGAGTAAATTTTGAATTGTCAATTGAGATAAGTACATAGAATTCATTGAAAATTGGTAAGTACTCTAATTTTAATGCATAATTTAGTTCATAGGGTAATATTTCAATTTTTTTATCATATTTCATTTAGATATAATAAAAAGCTCTAATTTAGGAGCGTTAACTCTAAGGCTTATCTTAAAAATTACTTTAGGATATTTCAAAATGTTTTTCAAAAGTTTGTGAGGAAATAGTAATTATTTAACAAACTTATCGAGTAAAAGTAAAATTGCATAAATATGCCACAAAAAAACCTAAAAATTCCAAAAAAATACCTCTAGAAACATTTTCACTAATTAAATTCGTTCCTAACGATAATTATTTAAAAAATACTCAGTGCACCTTACCTACCTGCCAAGGTCGGTTTATTTTTAATTTTCATTTCTTACTTACGACATATCTTTGATTTGCTATTAGCTTAAAAAACATCATATAACCAGAAAAACAAACCAATTAGCACGACGACGGCCGCGACGAATACGACACGTCCCATTTATTAATTTCAATTTTTTTTATCCATTATTACCTAATTCGCGGTTTAATCGAATCTAAAAAAAAAACCGACCGACACCAACGTGGAAAAGCAAGTGCAAAGGTTGAGACGTCACGCCAAGAAATCGAGCGAGAAGGTTTTTCATTCCGCTTCGACGGTCGTCTACAAAAGGACGTTTAGAATGTAATAACCTAGATGGGTTATATAATTGCCTCGGTTTCGATTTTACAAAATTCTTGCAATAGCGATAGCTTTCCTTCATTCAGATCCTTATCTATGCGAATAGAAAATACGCGGGGACTATAATAGAATATTCCGGGAGGTACACGAATGAATAATTAAATTTTCCCATTGAAATTAGAAGTAGATCAGTATAACTTGCATCTGATTTCGCATCATGCACTCACGAAATCAAATATAAAATGTACAACTCGGTAATTGGGTGTAGGTATTCTTGTTATTCTTTCGCCAATTAATACACGAACGCAGCCATTAATTTCATTGCTCTATTAATTGCGTTATGATTTTCTTCGGCGCGGCATTAGAACGAATATATCACGAAAAGACCGTCCAATTAAAAGAAACTACACGTTTCGAGTACTAAAAAATGCGTGTTCCAGAAGCGAATCGTGCATCAACAACGTCAAATTGAGCCTAAACTGCACCAAAGACTACGCGACAAGTACGACCCGGTCGCGGCGCTCCGATCACTACGCCAAGCCCCCCAAATTGCCCGGGCAAGCCTGCAGCTTGGACGACGTCTCGACCGATCCCTGGGGAGCCAGCAGGAGCGGCCACGCCAACCGGAACCTCCTGCAACAGCGATCGAGCTTGAGGAGGACGCGCAGCTTGGCCGTCTCCATCGGGGAGGATTGCCCGCAGAAGAGACTGCCCCAGCTGATACCCCGAGCGAAGCTCATCAAAGTTAATAATAGGTCAGTTGATGGTGGAAATCTGGGGCAATCGGGTTAACAGTATGTTTATTTTTTTAGGTATAAGGGATTGAGCGCTGATAATTTAACTCAAAATATCCACGATTTTGTGCACTATCAAGAATCTTCCTATTTCGATAAACGTTCGAACAGCAAACAGAATCCTCTGCATTCGTACGTATCTTTGCAGAATATCCACGAGAATTTCGACTGCAACAACAACGCTTCTTCTTCAGGAAATACTTATAGGGAACTGAGCTTGCCTAATTATTATCCAGACGTGAAATACGATACTGACAACACGGACGATTTATCTTGCTTATCGTTGGAGAATTCCAGTAGAATTAAAGAGAGCATTTCGTACGATGAGAATATTGTGTTGACGACGAATAAAAATCTCTACGAAGAAAGCAAACCGAAAACGATAAGAAACCCGACGCCTTATAACGAGAATTACGGTACAATCAATCCGGTCAAAGCGGAAAGCCAACCGGTAGAAGAGATCGATTCGAATTTGGACGAAATTAATCTAAAAATCGAAAATATCACTAAAACTTTATTGGAAGTTAAAGGAATTGACTCGAATCCTGAGCAGTACAAGACCGTCGTAGAGGTAACCCCGCAGGAAAGTACCGATAGAACCCACGGGCATAATTACCTCAAAGAGTTCCTCGAAACGCAGAAAGGTTCCAAAAAACCCTTGCAAAATTTCATAACTAAGAAACTGTCGAATTTATCCATCAGGAAGAACTCGAGTTCGAATTTAACGGAGCATCAGTACTACTCTCTGCCCGATATAAGCATCGGGAAGAATTTGAGGAAGTGCGAGAAAATCGACAGGAAGCTGAGAAAGTGCAGTAAAAAGGAGTCCTCTTCAAAAGAGAACCGTTTCATCATAAACATCGGTAGTCACTTCGATTTATCGTCGGAAGGTAACGCAGCCCCGCCGGATTTCGAACTGAAAATAGCGAAAATCCCCAAAAAGAGCACTCCCAAAGAGCAAGAGGAATTCGTCGAAGCGATCAAAAAGCTCAAAAACTCCCTAAACGAGAATCTCCTAAACGACAACGAAAAAATCGACGAGATGAAGAACCACTGGAACAACGCCGAAAAGTGCAAAATCGTCGACGCCACCGCCAAAACCGAGAAAACCCCAAACAAAGTCGAATTAACCAAACGCCTATTCGAACCGCAACAGCAAGAAAACACCAACAAACTGTCCCCCAACATCAAGGAAACCTGCTCGTACTTCGAGAACAAAAACTCCTCGTTCTACAACCACCACAACGACGACAAATTCCAAAGCCTCTGCCCGAATTCGGTGGAAATTATCTCCGGCAAGCCGCAGGATCAAGAACAAGACCATTCTCTCCAACAACCACCCGAATTCGACCACGTCAGGTACAAAATAATCAAATCGGACCTCTTCCAGAAGAACAACAAAATCATCGCCGATAAAAATTGCGACGACTCCAAGCCCCAATTCGACGACCTGATCAGGTACCTCAGAGACTACAGCTTCCAGGAGCTGCTGGTAGACAACAACATCGTCATAATAGAACCCATCAGGTCCAAAATACCGTACGAACCTTCGTCTTGCGTTAAATCCGTTAAGAACATTTCTACTAGCATAAGAAACAACCAAACCAACGACAACACCAGCAAATCGAGCTTGAACAGGAAATTCTACTACCACCCTATAAGGGTGAATAAGGAAGTAAACGAAGAGGAACTGCCCAGTCCAGATACAGTGAGGCAAGTGAGGCAGCTGTTCGAAAAACGCACCAAAGCCACAAACCCAGCAAAAGATATCAGATCCTCCACTTCCACAACCGATTCTAACTATTCAACAGACTTCGATAGTCAAGAGAATCTATACGATTCAATAGACAACAACGAAGATATCTACAGCGAGTACGTGAGCGAGGATATCCTGAAGAAAATCAGAGAAAAAGGTACCTCTGTGACCTACTATGGCGGTAGAATAGTCGATAAAAACACGGGGCAATCGGTTCTAACCAAATCTATTATGGACGAGATACATTACAACGAAAAACGGTGCACCGAATGCGTTAAATTTAAAATCCTGAAGTCCAATAGCTGCGCCAGTAGATTGGAATTGGTGGGTACTAGAGACGGTAAGGGTAGGGAAAAAGAAGGGAAAACGGCGCGGAGCCATCCGAAAATTATAGGGGAGGAAAGGAAAGTGTCCCAATGGAAGGATCTCGGCGATCAAAATAGCCGGAAAGTGTATTCGAATTTCTTCGAATGCGACAAAATTAAGGGAAACTCGGCTAAGAAAATCGAAGATATGGAATTCGAACCGTACGAGATAGCTTAAACGTACGATAGGTGTATTTTTTAGTGAGTCTTTTTTTTGTTCAATTAAGCATAATGGAGCTTTAACTGCTAAATGTATAATTTTATTTCCAATAAAATATGGATAAATATAAATTATATCTTGTGTTTCCATTACTACTAGTTTATTTAAAGCATAATGAGTCTTTAAAATTGTTGGTAATTAAAATTAATCGATATAATTTTATTCGGGGAAAAATTAAAAAAAATGAAAATTGACGTTTTGCCAAACTTACTAAATAACCGACGAGAAATAGGCCTACAATTATGATGTTTGTAAATAACTGGGTAATAAAAAAAGAAGAAAATTTAGCAACAATAACAATGGATTGTGTTTAATTTATATAATGATTTTTATCAACGCTTATTTCCTTTAATATTCGATAACACGAATATGTAAGCCAGATGGATAACATAACATGAACGAATTAGTTCTAATCTAGTTGTTGTGGTATAGGTTTATCCTGTTTGTATTATATTTTACGTTTGAAGCAATTTTTATCCCAGTTTAAAGTCTAATATATCACCAGCTAGGTTTTTTCAAGTGTTTAGTGTTTAGCTAAAATGAGCAAGAGCAACAAAAGTAAACGGTATAATGATTATTATCTGATAAATACCGATGATATGGGTGAAGTTGACTTTGACTTGCCCGTTCCCAGGGAAAAGCGATCCAGAATGATTTGTTGCTCCATAACAATGTAATGTAAACATGAAATATTCTACTTAATAAATTCGCTTAATGTACCGTTTACTTTTTAGATTATGCATATTATTATTTGTTTTATTTATATTGGTTTTCGTTATTGTACCGGTGATTTTCATGAACGTAAAAGCATTACAGACGACCCTAATTTTTACTAGATGTGAGTAAATGTTAATTTGGTGTTTGTAATATTTAATTTGCTTGATTTTAGTTGGTTTACACAACAAGGAGGAATATTTCGAAACGCAGAGGTTTCCCTCATATCGAAACCGTTATGTAACAATAAGAAACAACAAGACTTGCGAAGAGAAAAAGCTAGGTGTATGGCACATTCTGCCAAATAATTTGGCATTAGATGAATTTTATGGCCGCCCTATCGATTACGATGAGCTATTGCTTAACAGTAATTACAGTGTTTTAATATATTTTCATGGTACAGGAGAGGATCGAGCAGATTCCAAAAGAAAATACAAAGTATTCTCTCAATTTTTCCACGTAATCACGTTCGACTACAGAGGTATGTTATCGCAAATCTCAAGTTTCCTGTTTCTTAATCTGAGTTAAAGGAAATATCCCAAGGTTGTTTGTTGGAATGCTAGAAACTTGTGTGTATTTATAAACTGTTTTTTCCGAAGGTTACGGGGACTCTTCTAAAGGCAATGTGTCTGAGGAAAACGTGATAATTGACTCCATCGAACTGTACAAATGGGTACAAAATCGAACGAAATCGGCTATATACGTTTCGGGGCATTCCTTGGGCGCTTCGATAGCTACACAAACTGTCGCAAAAATGCAAAATGATTCTAATATCAGCACGAAAGGATTAATTATAGAATCGGGATTTACTAATCTTCAAGATGAACTGTATGTACATCCCATCTCAAAGGTGTGTACAATTTTAAATTATTGTTAATCTTATAATAATCTAAATTTTTTATTAGTTTCTGTCTTGGTTGCCCTGGTTTTCGGCTACAATTTTAGATCCTTTGAGAAAAAACGGGTTTTTATTCGAAACTGACCGATTCATTGCAACCCTCAATTGCCCAGTGATGATTTTGCATGCAGAAGATGATTATGAGATTCCCGTTAAATTCGGAAGAAAGGTTAAATTTTGTCAACACGTTAATGTCTTCAATAAATACATTTTTGAAATGTTTCAGTTGTACGAGATAGCTTCAAATAGGAACATTACAACAATTTACCATGAATTTGAGAAGAAACTCGAATACGGACATACCGGTATTTACGCTGATCCTTTCATGAATTTATATATACAGCAATTTATCGACACCACGAAACCAACAGTAGGTTGATTGGTTTATGAGATATATTAATTCGTAGCTCCTATCAAAGAAAAAAGGGCTGTGATTCATTAAAAACGATACCTTTGCTAGACTAATATTTTTTTCTAACTGGTATTGTACATTTTACAAGTTTTACTTGTAGCTTCATATTGAAACTGCTTTTGATGTATTTTCATTAAATTTTTAACTTACTATCTAAAATATTAGATACTTTTATGATGTGATAAAAAAGACCTATAAAAGTAGTTTTAACTTAGAGAGGTAGAGAATATTATAAGATTAAAATCTGTGTAATTTTTTTTAACTAATAATTAAATTGATTAATAACATTTTCAATATTTTTCTCTGTGTACAGGCATTTATTATTTGCCATCTAAAAATTTTAAAAATTCTGTAACCTACGACTATTTGGGGAAATAGCCACTTTGTACTTTCGTTGAACTGAATAACTTCTTTAATAAAGATCAATTTAAGGCTTACAAATATTGACATTCTTGACAGTGACAACCACTTTGACAATTGCTTGTTATGTAAAAAATATAACCAATACTTCAGTCCTTTCATTTTTTGGGCAATTTATAATAAATAGAAATGTCTACGTTGGTGAGAATAGGTCTTAAACGAATAGTTTCAAATAATATATTCCAACATAATAAAAACTTACCTTTTATGAGAACAATTACCAGCCTGCGTACGAGATCTCCTGATGAGGATCGCCCCGAGAAACCGAAACCCTGGCCCTACAACGACAAACCTTTCACTTTATTTCATTACCTTTACGATAAAACCTCCGCTCGCCTAGATGAAAACTCTAAAGTAAGTGTATTTCAACTCTTATATTCTAGTATTCGATCAATTCCTTATTTGAATATTTTAGATAGTAGTCGTGGAGGGTCCTGTTGCAGCAGGTAAATCGAAGCTAGCGAAGGCTTTAGCTCAGGAATTCGACATGCTCTATTTACCCGAAGCTAACTTGGACATGATCTATATCAATGACTACGGTTACGATTTGAGGAAACTGGACCCCCAGTTGCCGGACAGCTGTAAGAGCTGGGACGTTATGGATTTCTTAAAAAATCCAAGGCACAGACACACCATCCGATTCCAATTGCAACAATATATAATAAAGTAAGTAACAGGATTTGTAAGCAAATACAAACTTACCTCACAATTTGTTCTTAAGGTACTCCCAATATATCGATGCTTTGGCTCATGTTCTAAGTACCGGACAAGGAGTTGTGTTGGACAGATGCGTGTATTCCGACTTTGTGTTCACTGAAGCTATGTACCACAGTGGATTCCTGAATAAACAATGTATGTAAAACTTAGAATATCTAATATTGTAAACGAAATACTGGCCTTTTAGGTAGAAAGAGATATTACGAGTTTCGTGATAATTCAATATCAGAATTATTGAGACCACATTTGATCATATATCTGGACGTGCCGGTTCCCAAAGTGATGGAAAACATCCAGAAAAGGGCCATCAGTTACGAGAAAGATTCTAAAGTTTTAACACCGAAATATTTGAGTACTATGGAAAAATATTACAAACAAGAATATTTGAAAACTATGAGGTAAGATTAATAAGAAAACGGGTAAAAACAAATTGAACATCCTTTTTTTTACAGTAAACACTCTGAATTGCTAATCTACGATTGGTCCGAGGAAGGAGACGTGGAAATCGTAGTCGAAGATATCGAAAGAATCGATTTTAACAGATTCGATACCCAAGACACTCAATTGAAAGATTGGGTTTGCAGATTAGAAGAAGAATATGGAGTTTTGAGGCATAAGTAAGCTTTTGAAATAATGTCCCATCTACAAATCTAAACATTCTAAAATTCCAGATACGCTGACAAAAAGCATAGTTTGATGAATTATTTCAACATTCCTTGCTTCGATATTCCCGAACTTGAAGTCGAAGCAATGGAAGCACACGCTTACCACACTCTTATGAATAATGTAAGTATGCGGAAATTGTTGAAGTTCTTTTTTAACGATATCTAATCATTATAGGCGCCCGGTAACCAATTCCTGAAGGGTTACAATGCTAAGCAGGGAGACACAGGTCTTTTATTTAAAACGGGAGGTCCACATCGCGAGACCTTGCCATTAAGAGAAAGAAGGTAATTTATTAATTAATTTCAAATTAAGTAAAATTATATCGTTTTCTTTTTTTCAGAACGAGTTAATTAGTTATTTAATATATTTTGTGTAATATTTTTTCGGCTCTTTAAATAAAAGATGTTAACAAGAATCGTCTTGTTTGCCATCCCACGAACCATCTTTGTTACAATCTAACATGTATGATGAACCACTTGGACATATAAGTTTTACTGTATCCCCGTATAAGTAAGAGCGCCCTTCGATTTCCGTATCGTCAGATATGCTGGGCTTCCCGCACGATTTTCCTGCGAAACAATCCGTTACAAATACGCATATTTAATAGGATAAAACCCCGAAATCTCGCTCCTTTACTATTGATATTTGATACTAGAAAAGGAACGAGAATTCAGGGCGAGCGATAGGCCCGCCGACCATCATACTTAGGCATTTTCCTTGAAGCCTGGACCATTTTCCAGTGGGCAAGCAGCGAATGAATAGGTTGACGCCTAATTTTGCGTAGCCCTCTTCGCATTCGAAGACCACTTTATCTCCTACTGCGTGTCTTTCCTCAGAAGTTGCGGGTTTGGAGATTGTGTTTTTGAATTTAGGCCAAATTCCGCACGTAATGGTTTCTAAAATTGAATTATTGTACAAATTTAGATGGAACAATGGTAGGGTGAAAAGTTCTCGTTCTCGTTAAAAAATTCTTGTTTCCTCTTTAGGACATTAATAATTGATTCTTGAACTGTCTAGAACCATTTAGAACGCTCCAGAATCATTTAGAACTGTCTAGAACCATTTAGAACGCTCCATCGTCGTTTAGAACCCTCCAGAACCATTTAGAGCTGTCTCCAACTAAAAATTTTGACTTAACAAGAAGAACAATCTAATTTTTCAAATTAAAATCGCGGTCATTCATGAACCGAGAACTTTTCACATTGCACTTGCAATGTAAGTAAAATTGTACTTTGGCATGATATATTCGGTTCCGACCAGTATCCATCCAAAATGCAAGTAGAAGAATTATCGCCTATGAGAGTGTAGCCCTCTTCGCATTTGTATTCAATAACACTTTTGGTGCCATTTGAAACCTCATTAAACGAGTCCGTGTCCATGTATCCGTTAGATGGTGGTTTTGGAATTTGATTTAAGGGGCAATTTAATTTGGTTTCTTTAATTTCCGGAAGGCATTTGGGCGGTTCGAAGTCCCAAGTTCCTGAATAAAAATAAACCGAAAATTACTTATAAGATAATCCGGAGTAATCCGTGAGAAACTAACCGTTTTCCATGCAGTTTACTATGCTTTCGCCGACGAGCTTGTAATTTTCAAAGCAGGAAAACTCGATTTGCGTCCCGATGTCGAGTTGAGTGTAATTTTCTTTGTAATCTTCGTAACTTTGATCAGACATGATGGTAAACGAGCTGTTTTCCGGCGTCTTAAAGGCTGTGCATTGTGTACCTAACGAAACAAATTATATATTTCACAAATAGGGAAGTTGTTAGTAAAAAAAATCTTACCGATACACCTCGGTTTGACCGGATTCCATTGACCATTTTCAGCGCATTTTATCGTCCCGTTTCCAATCATATTGTACCCTTCGTAACAGAAATAGTTGATTTCATCCTGGTAAGAGTACCGGTGTTTTCCTATTACGTATCCATTCCTGATCGATCCCGGATACCCGCAATACTTTCCTGAAAAAAATTAACCCTTACAACCCGAATTTTTGCCGGTTATTTCACCGTAATTACTTTTGCAATACGGTTCGTAATACCCCTCCCAGTAAGAGGCCTTGGTGCACTTTCGCCCGTTCGCGAAATTCGGATTGTTCAAAGTAAAGCCGGCGTAGCACGAGTAATAAGCCGTGTTATTTACTACTGTGACGTCCCCGTTGCGGAGCGTCTTCGGCGGTTCGCAGTTCTTGCAGAAATCCGATTCTTCGACCTTAAAATACAATAGAAAATCCATCGGCATTCTTGGCAATACGAGTAGCTTATTCATTATGTACTTTTACATTTCCCTGATGGAAATCCCTCATCTCTGGCCAAGCGTATAATGTCCCAAAGAACGAGTCCCCGCAATCGATAAAGTGCACATCGACTTCGTCTTGGGTTAGAATTCCCGACCAAATGTCCACGTAAGTGAGCTTTCCGACAAAGGACTCGCTTTGGCTGAATTTCCCACCGAAAACGTCTTGGTCTTGTCCCAAAATTAAACTTCCCTTCTCTAATAAAACGAAACAAACCAGTCTAATAATCAAATCAATTACCGCACAAACCATAACTACCTTGTATCTGACTATCTGGAGATAAATCCACGCCGAATTTGACGAGTTTAGCATCGACGAATATTTGATAAGTGCCTTTATTACTTCCCCACGTAACGCATACGTGATGCCACAACCCGTCGTTTAAATGTATATCAGTCACTACATATTGATTGTTAACGTACAAAACCAACCTGTTAAGCGCTAAAAATGTTAGAAATTCGAAGAACGAAAAAACGAATTAGCCGTACCCGGTGTAATCTGTGAGTGTAAAGGCGTTGTCGAATGTCTCCGTGGCGTAGGAAATGATCGTGCCGTAATTAACGTCGTCCAAAGTTTGTATCCAAAGACAAACGCTTATCTAAAACAAAAATTTAATTAAACAGGATTAACATAAATAAATGCGCGACGTTTTCGTCCACTTTTCTCCGCCGGTGCAAGGCGTTAGAGCAGGAAGATAAATTTCCTTCGAGTGTAATTTGAATTTATATCGGAAACATAAAATATTTAAATCCTATTAGAGCCGTTTAGATTATTTTATTGGAATGTGAATATTTTTCCGAATGTGAACGTTAGACTATAATTCAGGTTTTGAGACGAATTCAACGATACAGCCCATGTTTTAATAGTCTTTACATTATAGTTGCTCGAACGCTAGACGCCTATAAAATTTTATTGTTACTGTTTTTATTTATTCTAATGTGATTTTTAAGGTAAGTACCATAAAAAGTGCCATCGGACAGGTTTCTTATAAATAAATAAACAAGCACACTACCGTATAAAGTGCATCATACGTGATGTAACTCGTTACAAAACACTCACATCGGTCAGATTCCTGCTGAAGGGCTGAAGCTTCACGAAATTCGAAGTGCTGTAACCGTCGAATCTGAACGCGTATCTAGTGTACCTGCGAATTTCGCAGTGGCTACCGTAGAACATGCTCGAGCAGTTGCAGGTGTAGTTTGTAAATCCGTTGACGCACACACCGTTATTTAAACAAGGCGATATCAAACAGTGATTGATCCTCTCTTCGCAATTATCGCCTGTGTAGCCTTCCGGACAAACGCAACTGAAAAATATTTACTTCAGGAATAACATCAAGTCTCTCCACTGAAGTAAGCTTAGCAAATATAAATGTTATATGTACCTAGATCTAGAAACAGCAAGAAACTACAGAAAAATCAAGTGCAAAACAATAAGGTGTTGATTAACATTAAAGTACATACAAGTAACTGTCTCTTGTCGAGTTATCTTCAAAGGTGTTGAGGCATATTTTTGTATCTGGACACGGTCGATAATCGCACGGTAATAGCTGACACCTGGAGCCTATGAAGCCTTCTTTGCATTTACAAACTGCCCGTCCGCCTTCTTCCACGCAATGGGAATCGTTTTCGCAAAACATTTCTTGGCACGGGTAGATTTTGATCTCGCATTTTACCCCGATGAAACCTTCAACGATCACATAATTCTTTCCTTGTAACGATGGTTTCGTTACAAACTCACCTGGGGGGCAAATGCAAATGGAGGTACCGTTATTTTCAAAATACGTCACTCCATTGTTCAAGCAAGTTTCTACAACACTTTCGCAGTTGGAACCAGTAAATTCTCCCGGACAAACGCAAAAATATCCATTCGGAATGGATAAACACGTGCCGTTATTAATGCACGGTTGAGATTGGCATGCTGTGATTTCTTCCTCACAATGAGTACCTACAATAATTTTAATTTAGAACCTGATGATTGAAGTTTGAGCGAAGACGAAGATTATTTTATTCTCACCGACATATCCTTCGTAGCAGTTACAAGTGTATTCGTATTCATTAGCGACGGAGCAGAGGGCATTGGGACCGCAGACGCCTCGCCTGCAAAACTCATCCGCAGTCGGCGTGCATTGTTCGACGCCCGTCGATCCAATTGACGTCGTCGTGTAACCTTCGGGGCAAGATAAACATTTCAATTCGCCGTAATTCGATTGATAGAATCCGACGCCGCAGGAATAGCATTGCGGCTTCAAACTCGTTTTTTCTATTGTCACGTTGCGGTGGCGCTTGTGTAATATTTGGAGTTTTTTCCTGGCGTGCGTGCCCGGCGGACACTGTTCTACGAAATTCCGGAGAGATTTTATTACAGCATCCTCCGCGAACGCTGAAAGAGCTACCTTTGCAATCCTCCGGCTTCCTCGAATGCAATCTTCGCGTTGAAAAGTGCAAGGGGCAGCGAGTGCACGCGGTCTGCCCGATTTTATCGTTGTATTTGCCGAACGGACAGTTTTGGCAAACGTTCTTCGTTTCGTTATGGAAGGTTCCTTTTGGACAATACACTTGATGGAAAAAAAGAAAATTAAATACGCTCAAAAATTAATAGTAGACATCCTGTATAATATTCTAGTATTTTAGTTTGGGAGTTTAAGTTGAATAATAAATGGATTAAGTATAATTATTACCGCATCTTGGTAATCTTTGGACGGTTCCCGGGGGACAATCCAATTTACTTTCGTAATGCAACGAAGCCCTGTAGCCGTTTTTCAACTGCACTTGGTAATTGTTTGGCAAGGTTCTGCTCCTGACGCGGAATTGCCGTTTAAGCTGGTATTTTACCTTTACTCTGCGCTTTTTCGTTCTTCTGACCTACGATCGTGCGATTTAGAATTTAATTACGGGTTGTTTTAAAAATGCTCGTTAGACCTCCCGTTTGTTGACGGTGGAGTTTTTCGACGTTTCCACTCGGTTGTCGTTTTCGCAATCGACGTTTGTAGTGAGAGAGCAATTTCCATCGCAAAGTCTCTCGTTGATGAATGTGTTAACGTCGTTTTTGATCTAGAAAAAAAATGTTAAATATCCATTTAAACGCGTTATTAAGCGTAATAAATTACCGTTTCGATATTGTGCAAATCGTTGCAATTATTCACGTTAGGTATGATAAACTCGCCCGTTTGAGTTTCTTTGGGAAATTGAGTTTCTGAAATCATTTTCGAATAGTAATAACAGTAATTTTGTATAAAATATAATAACAATTACCGGAACATTCTGATAAAAATAGACCGTTTTCATTGTACCAGTTAGGAGAAAAATCATCGCAAACAAACAGCGACTCGTTATCTGAAAAATTTATCTGCTGTAAATAAAAATACCTCGAAAAAAACAGGATTACACCTACCTTTCTGCGTCACTTGCATAACAGGAATGCTGTACCCTTCATCGCACGTTATCAAACAACGTAAACCCTCCGATTGATTAGCGCTGCACAAACTTTTACCATTCAAAGGATCAGGTAGAGGATCACATTTGGAAACTATTTAGAACAAATTCACCAAAAAAGCATACTTACATATAACACATTCACGCTAATCTTGCTATGACGTCGCAAGCTTATAAGTAGTGTTGCCATGTTGTGTCATTTTTTTACTAGATTAACGCGATTTTAAAATAAAAAAAAATGTATTAGTACCTTCAACGGTGATATTAAGTACGCATTCGTTCCTGTTGCCGCTGCCATCGATTGCCTCGTATCGGACGGGAGTGGTTCCCGTCGGAAAGAAACCGAAATCTCGGGACCGGCTCGTCTGAAATGCAATTAGAAAAGTTTTTAATCAAATATCGCTTTCGATCGAGCAGAGCTAGGTGCGTTTACCGTGAAATTTTGGGAGTTATCGAAGGCCGTCGGTTCGTCCCAGGTTAGAGTGGCGCCCGATTTGTTGTCGGTGAGAAACGTGGGAGGATCGATGCAATTTTCGAAGCGAGGGGGTTCCGTGTCTGCGGTTAAAATGTGGATTATTTCCAATAATCGATAAGGCGTATGCGGTATACCTTTAACAGTGACATTGAAAGAGCAATTGCCGGTGTTTTGGAAGGCGTCTTGTGCGAAATACTGCACCCTGGTGGTCCCGATTTTGAATTTGTGCTTCGTTATGTTCGCTATCGACGGCTTTATCCACACGGACTTTATCCACACGGTGACGTTCGAATTCGAGTTGTCTGAAACGGTCGAATTAATTAAAGCGGAACTATTCGCGGATTAGGTAATAAGTTTTACCGGTCGCGATCGGCTCCGTCCAATTCGTATGGCCGAACTTCTTCCCGGGAAGTGCGTTCGTCACCAGATTTTCCGGGCAAATTATCCGCGGCGGCGATACGTCTACAAATTCAGCCGAGCGTTAAAACTTTAATTGCTATTTATGAGGAAGTTTCGACGAGACAGGAGAGTGTTTGTTATCGGGAAACTTATCAATTAAACTCGTGTTAAGGATTTCCCGTAATTTCACAAAACTTTGGCGTTAACATCGGCGTTAATAGCTTCAGAATATTAGATAAAAATTAATCTTTAATACATAATCTAAATATTTTAACACCTCTTATTATATGTATGTTCTTACCGGTACAAGTAACCTTTTCCAAAGTATCCCATCTTCCACGTTTCCCAGTACAATGTCTTTCGGAAGGACCATTTCGTATAAATCCTTCCATACAATCATATTTACATACTTTACCGTACTCTTGTCTACCTGAATGGCAAGATTCGGGATAAACCGTCCCGTAGTTTATAACTGGTAGTTTTTTACACCTAATTGCTACAAAATGAAACAACAGTAACGGATGAATTGATTGCAATTATCATTAAATACGTTTGCAGGTGGTTTTTAAACCGCTCCATCTCGCTATGGGTAGGCAATATCGTTCTAAAGAGCCTGTTAAAAGGTGCCCCTCGTTGCAAGTGTATTTGCAAATGGTGTCCACGGGCAAGGCGGTGAAATTGTCGAAATGCTGGTCGGAGTCCGGTTGATAGCAGTCGAGTTTTCCGTTTTTAGGCTCCGCCAGGGGACCGCAAGTTTTAACTGGAATCGGCAAAAAAAGAAACTCGAAATTTAATCACCTGTCCGTTCGGCTCCGGCAAACTGGAAATTATTAAAATTGAAACTCTAAACGCGAGAATTTAGTTTACGAATTAACTTTCTCGTGAATGGGATCAAAGTAAACGGAGATGCACACGAAAATTGCATGCAGGCTGGTTGTTGAGCCTTTTATCAAGTCTTAATAAAAAGCTTCTTTTACATAATATAGAATTTTTTAATCTACCCACAGTAATATTAAAATCTCAAAGGATGAGTTTATTTGTAATATATGAGAAGGATCTTTTCAACTATTCATCATAAAATTTAGTAGGTCGTTATTTCGAGATATTTGTTGAAGTTGAAGTTTATTAATTAAAAATTAATAATAGAAGATAATCAAAACTAGAGCCGTAACTTTGCTTCTATTATCCCAAAAACTAATACATCTTCCAAGAAATTAATTTGAGGAAATGATTACGCTCCGTTCACAAAATTAAATCGCGAGTGTCGGTGAGGGCTTTAAAGGAGATTAAAAATCAAATATCCTTCCTACTAAATGTTAGCTATATGGAACGCTTCGGAATTACGTGTAGATATACAGTTTTGGGACAAAAACTATTGTCATCCAAAGTTAGAAACGGATATTACCAGAAATAATTTCGGCTTAGTGAATGGGGAATCGTAAATACCCAGAACGTTGCACACAAAGGGAATAAGTTTCGCCCTGGTTGTGCTTCTCTACTTCGTTAACATTACAATAATCGATCGCAGAGATTAAATCCCAAGTGTAAATAATACCACATACACAAAGGAATTAATAAAATTTCATGTGGTTATCAGAGATATTTCTTGAGAGCAGGTATTTACCTAACTCAAGGTTACCAGTTACCTGGAACAAAATCGAAGGGTCGTCTTTAAAGCGCCTGAAACATCCCAAGAATGTTACTTAACACAAAAGATTATAGTGCCCCGAGGGATGCATTCCATTCCTTTTGTCGGATTTACATTGTTACACCAAAAAATACGCCCGACTAATTGACCAATTAGCATTTATTTTACACTACAATGATTCGTTAGTCGCGCATTTTTCGACTCAAATAAAAAAACTTACTTTCACATTCGGTATCCTCTCCACTCCAAGTGCCGTTCTTCAAGCACAATCTAACGCTTGTTCCTTTCAAAAAATACCCGACTTCGCACCGGATGCCGCAAGCGCTGTATATTACATTCGGGCAGACTTTGTTTTTCACGTAATAACCGTTCGGAGGCGCCGTTATTTTCGGACACTTCATTTCTAAACAAAGATCATGTTTTATTCAATGCGATTAAATGAATTAAATGGAAGAGGAAAAGAACCTTTGCATTCCCTTTTCGACGTTGCTCTGTATCCCTCTTTGCACTCGCAGCTATCTATGCCGAAGGCGGGCGCTTTGGTCGTGTGGAAAGGATCAGGACACGGCAGGCATGTGTTAGGACCGTCGGAATATGTCCCAGATTCGCAAGCTACCGAACAAAATGTTTATTGTTAACGAAAATTGGATGAAAATACATTGAATGTTTTGCCTAAACTAGCAAGATGGACGATACTTGTATGTATGTAGATTCGATAATGGATATAGTTGAGCGTGTTTCGTATATCACTCGAACGAAATTGTATGCGTATGTTAGTAAATGCCATTAATCCCTCTTGTTAGTGGATCATGTGATAATGGACGAACATTCCGATCGGGTTTTGTGACACTAGCACACTGAAATGTCGGGCATTGTATCGATTGTAGAGCAGGTATTATCGCTCGTTTAAAGGGAAACACGATGCATAAATTTAACTATAATTTTCCAAAACTCCCCCGATTTTTAATAACACAGTATCAAGCAAATAGATATGATAGTATATATTGCGTTTTTATAGGCATTAATTTTAAACAAACCGCAAGGATAGACGGGCTCGAATAAACCTGCAGTTGCGTTTAGATAATAATTTTATGGATTCTGCATCCAATTATACAAAGATACATACCGAAACAATCGCCTCGCAAACCGTAGCCGTAATAGCCCGGTTTGCAAACGCAGGAATAATGGCCCGTCGTCGTCCCGCAAGAACACACGGCCTTTTCATCGCAACAATCCCCGTCGATGCACAAACTGTCGCAAAAGGCATTGTCGCCGAGCGGTACGTAATCTCCGCTCTTCAAATCTACAATGAAATGTGGTTCCATTAAACTCCATCTTATACCCGGATTATATCTAAGATATATTCGAGTCCTATACCGAAAGTTTGTTATATATACGCTGTTCGAGTCAGTCAGGGACTTCTGTAGTATTATAGCGGTCGAATCAATATAATCCTGCGGAGGTTTTAAAGTTCGAGCAATACCTGAGTGCAGGGCCCGCCTGGCTAGGCTTTCGAACTCGTTGAAACTGTCGAGTAAATAGCTGTGATATTCTCCGGGTGAAGAGGATATGTCGTAGAGCTCCTTGTAGTTGCCACTTCGTATGCCGATGGTGAATATGGTGACGGAATTTCGTTTGAGCTCCTCGGCCACCGGGACGGGATCGCCGCCGTTCGAGTAGCCGTCTGTTATCAGAAATATTGCTTTTTTCGAATCGTTTCTATCGGACGAGTCGAATATTTCCTGGAAATGAAATACGTCGAATTGCGATCGGATTTTTTGTATTGTTCGAATTTCGCCTACCTTAGCTTTCTTCAGCGCTCCCAAAGTGAAAGTATCGCCTCCTTTGAACTTGACGTTTTTTAGTTGCTTCGATAGTAAGGAGCATTTGCTGTGATTCTTCGACCGCTTTCCTATTTCGTCTATACTTTTCAACTAAAGATAAAAAAATTACTCAACAATTTTCCGTGCTTTTGAGATACCCTGTATAGATAAATAAGTTGTAATTTTACTTACAATATTTGTAGATGAACTGAACGCAACCACAGCAATTCTCGTATGATTATAATCGACAACAACATTACTGAGTAACTTCTTCACGAATTTCAATTCACTTTTGAAATTATATTCTCCCACACTCGACGATGAATCGATCAGAAAAACTATATCTAATTTCGGGTGTTTCTTAATCGAATTGATGTACTCCTTTAGTATTTCACCCAGCAAATCGATTTTTGATTCACTGGCGTTGTTAACATTCGCGATTTTGGCACCGCCGAAATTCAACAGGTCTTTTAATTCGTCCGAATTGCCCGAGCAAATCGACGTCGAAAGCAAAGTGGAAACTATTATCAAAAAATACGATCCGCTTTTCATTTTAATCGCTCGTTGTTTTCGTTAGGAGATTAAAATGCGTACTTAATTGCGTTTATTAATAACATCCCCACTAACCCGCATCGAGATCTGTTACTAAAGCAATTCATTCAATAATGTATCTTCAATCAATTCAACAAGCGTTCGATCTAATTTACATGCTATCTCCACGAAACTCAGGGTGATTCCTAATATCCTAAAGAATATTGTATTTAATTCATCCATTTTAATTCGGCGGAAATTAAACGGGTTCGATTGAAGGGGAAAAGTTTGAAACTTTCCGAATGCGTCCACATGTGCCTGAAAAGTCTGCAAAAGTAATAATAAAATTGCAAAGACAGGCACAAAAATCGACCAAAGTGAACACTGAAACGTGTATCCAACGTTGCCGGTTTTCCAGTGCCTAGTTTAAATTTAAAATGTCATCTTTTGTAACGGTCGGGGAGGTACTTACAAGTAAATTTGTTATAAATAGAATGTTATAAATAACGTGTAAATCTATTTGATTAAAATAGAAGTTGATTTGCTATAAAATAACAGGTAGGTTAATGTGGTAAAATGGAAGATTTTAGTGTAGGTTTAATGTGAAAGTATTTAAATTCGATGATGGATTGTAGATGTGGCAACGTCGCTTGGTACTCTCCTCCGGTACGCTCGGCCATTTTTATTACACAGGTAAGAGCGTACCGCTTTCCGCTCCCTTCCCGCCACTGCAGGTTGTTGAAGTTTGACGTACCAACTAGTTTGAATGAATGTACCCGACGAGTACTATCGGTCTGTCGCGTCACATAGTTTCCAACCGAAGGAATTTCGCATTCAAAAGTGGCTGCTTCCAGGCGAGAACCACTCGAATTAGGCGGTTGAAATCGGGTCGGTGTGTGTTATGTGCCGTGTTTCGGGAATCGTGCAGTGAGCAAGGGATAGAATAGCGAGTACCGAGAGCAGTACCGCTGCGGTAGCACCGATTCGCAACATCTATGTAGAGGAATTTTCGATCATCACGAATCGCGACTCGACCGTTGTTTGAAGGTAAGTGCATCGCAAAATCGCCGTGGTTAATTTGGTTTTTAAATCCGCCGAAAATCGCCGATAACATATGCGAGATGTGAAAAACTGGGTCGAAACTCGACTCGAAACATCGCATAGGATAGATGTTGGAGAAAGTGTTTAACAAACTACATTCTTATAATTCGTGTGTTGTGTATTCCAACGAGTGCGTATTCGTTAGATGCCGAGGTATTTTGAAATTTCCACGCCTCGGATATTTCGGCTGGACGAATTATACGAGAGTGGATTTTTTTTATTCACCAATTAACCGCTATGCGTTATGTGAATATTGTATATTGTAATGAAAAAGTCGCTTAAAAAATACGCCACTTGTGTGGTCCAAAAAGGCCGGATTTATCTGAAGAAATCCAATGCCAGATTCTCATTAAGGCCGGTTGAGTTGTTGGTGCTTAGGACCAGAATTCGAATATTCTAGAAGGTCACTAATACATTTTTACAGAAAGTTGCCGATTCATAGTTGTATTTTTCATTCTTTTATTTATTTTTCATTCTGTATGTCGATATTTCCAGAAATAGTTGCAATATTTGTAATTTCTTAATAGTCTTCTGAAGTAATTTAACGTATTAATTCAAATAAATAAATTGGCAAAAATGACATAAATGACAGCTCAACAGCCTACTGATAAAATCTTACTAATAACAAATGTAACGGAAAAAAATAACAATATATAGGAAGGCCACGGATATAGTATTTTGATTCATTATAATTGATATAAATATAAAAAAATACTTAAAATGTAATTAGTACTCACTTTCTTAATGCGTTTCCTTAGTTTTACCGAAAAATATTCTTATTTTATTAAAAAGTCGTTTGACGTTTCTGTCCTTGTAATTAATTTGGCATTTGAATGACAACAAAACAGCCTAAAAAATCCTATTAATAATAAATTGAGGAAGAGGAACTTTTTATCAATACCTAAAATGGGAGCAATATGGACAAAAAGTTAAAATTTTGATTCCTTTGCAACAATTTTAGTAATTACTTGAGTTTATTATCTTGCTATAGAGTATTAAAATAATGGTACTTTGTATTCTTGTGAAAATGTTACTATTAATTTGACGTTTCTGTTTTCATTAATTTGACATTTGAATGACATCTAACAGCCTACTAAGAATCCTGTAATAATTAATTAAATTACAGCATATATTATTTACGCAAGATATCTTTGGAAAGAATAACGCAAATGAGGTTTTGGAGATAAAATATACAGCATCAGTTATATTTATCCCATATTATTCCCATTTCAACGTTTTAACAGTATAAATGACAATAACTAAGCGAGAGAGAGAGAGAGGCGCAATGTGATGGAAAAGGGGCCAGAATAAAATAAAATACCTGACGGAAGCCGTTTGATGAGTTAATAATCATCTCGAACGACATTGCTCGATATATTAGACATGCATAACCTGAATAAACTGCTAGTTGAATTGAATGTGGGGCTAAAAATGAACAGCGAACGCGTTATCTGTGTTAATGTATCTCTAACTGTATAATTGTCGTAGCGAAATGTTTATCGGTCAGATGGGAACAATATTCGAAAAAATACAATTTTCTTGTAGTGGAAACCGCGCCGCGGATGGCCGAGCAAATGGGACAGATTCCCAACGAAAATTCGACACTTTTATTTTAAAGCGTCGAAAAACAGCGAAATTATTAGATTAAAAAATTGAAATGATCTTATTAGAACCGCATTAAACTGTAAAATAAATAAGACGGTTGATCAATAAAGCAAATTGTACTAGTTGCACTAATATAGTGGCGACAAAAAGCGCAAAATCACGACCGAAACCCGAATAAATAAGTAAATGAATTCCAAAAAAAAGAGAAACCTCGCTAAAGTGGATGACAAAAGCAATTGATTTGCTCTCCCGATTTGCTGGGGTTTTTAAGGGGATTCACCGCACTTTTCCTGATTGCTTCCGACTGCGACTGCTCGCCATATATAATCGCCCTGTAAGAAAAAGTGCACAATAAGTAGCATGGTAAAAAGCAATCATTAATGAAATAACGGATCAAATTTCACATTCCGTTGGATTGCGCGATTATGTAGCAGCAATTTTTGCTATAAAAGCGCTTCTAATTTATGAAAAATGCAAAACAACCTCTAATTACCATTATTATATCAATTTTCTTCGAGCACATCCGAACGGAAAGGCTCTATAGGAAACTACTCTTCAATTTCACGCACTATTCCAAGGCATTTCCTATATATACAGGGTGAGACACATGCCACCCCTCACCACAATCAGCAATCTAAAAAATTAATTCAAAAACCTACAATTTATGACTATTATTGAAATACTAAAGATTGTAGAAATAAGTTGGTGTTTAGTTTATTTTGAGTTAGAAGGTAAAAACTCACTGTAGATATCCTTGAAGGGTGCGAATTGGGCCACTCTGTATGCCGGCGACGATCTCGCTGAGACAGGAAACAACACAAAGAGAAATAAAATAAAACCGGCGACTTAAAAGTGCTAAAATTATGGTTGTGCAGTCGGGAATCGACAATCCTACTATGTTTTTAATAATGCACCTTTACGCATATCTGCTAATTTATTCCGAAGACGTTCAATAAGCAGAGCTTTAGCCAGGCATCCGATTAATTATTTTGCGTTGCTCGTTCAATTAGAATTAAAACGAAATTTGTCGTTCTTTTAGAGTTTTATTGTATAGTAATAAAATATACCTTTTAACTACTACTGTCTTGGCTATATAAATTAATTTTTTGAGTAGTAAAATGGCTGTTTTAAGTAGTTAATTGGTTCTCTTATGTAGGTAAAAGGTTCATTAAATACATAAATGTCTCCCACACAAAAGTGAAGCCAATTGCACCAGCATAATTGAAAATTAGCTTAATAATTTTATAATCACTCTGTATATGTTATTTAATAATATTGTTTAATGGCAATTATATGGTTACGCCACTGGTGTTTCCATTACAGCTTTTTTCTCGTGCATCTTTCCTTGCTCAATGGGAAGTTAATCATCGGCTAATAATCATTGCAATTAATTTATCTAAATCGTTAGAGAAATGATAGTTGTTGGTGCTGAAGGAACGCGCGTACAGAGTTAACTGGTCCGTGAACATTTCGTTTGGAAAATTGTGCAATTTCAATTTCCACTCGTGATGGAAAACGCGAATTTCACCGCCGATTGCCGTGCGTTTTGTGTCGCTCGAAAATTCAAACGGTTTCATTGTTAATGCACCTACAGAGAGCGCTTTCATTTCAATTTATTTTTCTTCGATTTGCATAAAATCAAACGTTCAGTTTTGTTTCGAATGGAAGAAATTCGCTATGGGTCGCGTACGGGCATCGATTCGGCCAGAAAAGAAGTAAAACGCCTCACTTTTAACTCTAATTAATCACCCGGACTGAATGGAGTGTTTTTCTGTTTTAGGAGGGACCTTTCACAAGAGAAATGGTATGAAGGAGCCGGATCACTTTAGCGAAACGGTGAGTAATGATTGTTTTCCACTTCACCAAATCGACCAACTAGCACTACTTTATTCGCCGCGCGAAAACAATTCTTCGGGTACATGCCAAAGCCGCGCTTTCGCCGCTTTTTATTAATTTTTTTTTTAGAAAAACGCCCGCCCTTTTGGTTCGCGCCAATTCCACCCCGCAGGCGATAATATTCGATATATAAAATTGACCGAGTTTCTTTATCCTCTTCGTTTCGGATTCGAAATTAGAGCGACCGGAGGCGCTGAAGCTTCCTTTCTGGACTTTCCGGCTTTGGCAAATATAATCCGATAAACCGGGCGTTTAATATTTTAGTCCGCTTATCATAAGCATAAATCTCGGATAATTATTCCCTGAATCCTATGCTGATTTAATGCCAGTTTATTTTTCTTTGTTCCCTACTTAAATACGCACAATTTACTCTACATAAGCATTGATTGAAGATGACTTTAATTTAATTGAGTTTAATAATGGTAGGTATTTGATAAGTATTATAGATAACTCAATAAGTATTCTACAAGATTTTTTATAATTTGTTGAAAATAGTTTTCTCTGTCGCATTCAGTGGGACTACAATGTAAATTTGTTCATTGCACTACTTTTACCAACGCTCAAAAACAATTTTTTTCAAAGTTTACCATGAACTCAAATAATCCACTTTTCTACCTGAAATACTGTAGCGCCAGTTTGACCTATAATAAAATATATATTTCTGCTCCCAATTTACCACCGCCGACTGTTGATGCTTTAATTAAAGCCAGCTTAAAATTCAATAGACATGCGTTATCGAAGGTTTACTTGCAGGTATTAGAGGAGTGAAATGCGCTTCTTCCTGCAAATAAACTGTTTAGATCCGTGGATGTGGCAGTAATTACAGAGTAGCGGATTGACAAGCGACCGAGTTAAAGCGCGACAATCGTCCGTACGGACGAGAAAACGCACAAAAGAACAAATCGAAAGCCGTCGAGAATGTAATCCCTTTTAATTAAAGCCGACTGATAAAATTGGTCCGAAAACGTTGGATTCGGTCGCGACGAGCGCGGGGCGTTGATCGCGATTGAATATCCGTCCGTCTCGAAAGCGAATTAACCGTGAAATATGTTATTATAAAAATCATCGGTTTTCGGAAAAGCCGATAAACATCGCGCCGGCACGACAGCTCGCTTTTCTTTCCAGCGGAAAAGTTCACTTTAGGGAAATTAATGGCGCATTAAGAGCGCGCAACGGCGCATCTTACCCGAGGAATTTAATTAACTGAAAATTATTAGAAACACTGCGAGAGACAGCCGACGAGACGCCCAAAAATTCCGGCGAAAAAAGCGTCGGCCTAATTGCAATTTCGCTCGCAATTAGCGGCCGGTGCTTCGATTGTTGACTAACAATGAAAAAATGAAATTTTCGGTTTACTTAAACGCACTGCTTAGAGTAGATTAAGCAAACGTTTCGGATAATTTCAGGCCGCGGAATGAAGCGAACGTGATGAAATCGCTTCCATTGTTCCTCAATTTTCTCGTTCTCATGCCGTTTTTGTAGGTCAATTTTTATCGGATGATGTCATTCGAATTAAAAACCGACATAATTGGCCGAAATGCTAAATTTATTGCTATTTTGTATGTAAAACACCATTTGATTCACAATGAGAATAAAATATATACAGTACGTCCCAAAATATACACACAACTATGTTATAGTAAGATTGGTTACATATTTTGAAACACCCTGTATTTTTAAATAAATCGAATTAAAAAGAGACATGATTTTGACACACCCATTATTTTTGAAATCTTCCATACCATAACTTGATTTTAGATATACCCTGTAGACGCTTGATAAAAGATTCCACTTAGCATTTTGAAGAATAAATCGAGATTAAACATTGTGTATAGGCCACTTGAAAAATTGTTAAACGATGACAGTTCAATGGCCTAGTAGTATCAAATAATACAATAAATATCTTGTAAAGACACTCCATGTGTTTAATGTACGCACCAGACAGTTGCAAGTGGCTGTATTAACTATTGGCATTTGTAGCAGCGCGGAATTTTTCCTCCGCAATAAACGATGTGTACCGTTTCCATATACAGGGTGTATCTCCTCGGATCTCTAAACAATTTTTTCACGAAAGTGGATTTTCGTGTCTCGCGAGTTGACTTAATAACAAAGCAAATATTTGAGCGTTTCGTGAAGGTAAAATCAATTAAACGGCACTCTTTTCCAAAACGACTCGCTGGGTTTGTTCGTTTTATTAACGCTTTCCAGACGGACTTTTGTATGCGAACAAATCGAATTAAAGTCCATTTCGACTATAAGAAATAAAAGGGAAAAGCCGCCGATGCCGGTAAAGTAATAACGAACATTCATATTTGTGTTGAGCAGTAATATAATAAAAATTTATGGAGCATTCGGAGCGAAATTAAACGGCAATTATGACAACAATCCCAGCTGGTGTATAGGTAACGAGGTTCCGTTATTAACTGAAGGGAACATCTCGAATGAAAAGGGGGCGCAAACCGATGAAAACGGCGTAAAGGGGTTGGAAATAAGGAAAGGAGTCGACAAAGGGGGCGGCAATTAACCGAGGCGTCGGATCCTTTTTACTTTATTATTCAATCTGTACCTACTTAGACGTAATATCAGAAGGACGGGGACGCGAAAACGCGAGAGCCTTCCAGTTAAGAATAAATGACACCGGCTCTACGCGGGCTTTTATTGCGTCGTTTCGTTTTAGAAAAATATCGCGGCGGCAATTTATGGGCGAAGAGGAGATGCGCCGGTTAAGTTGCTCAACCATTTCGCTCCAGATTTACTGCCAGCGGCTTTAATGCGCCCGATAATTAATAAGAAAATCAGGAGCAATTGCGAGCGGTGATTATCGGCTGAATTCCAAGCGAGTTTTTCCTTGCCGCCTCTTTCCACAATCAACCAATACCGATTATCAAAACTCGACCTAATACGGTTTAAATAATGTTCAGAGATAATAATACCTATTTTTTGAAAATTACTTTAGATGCTACGGATAATTCAAATTTATTTAATTGATTGCGACATTGTATTACAACATATAAACAAGATATCCTTAATTTCTGAGAGCAAATTAATAATTAAGCCGAAGGCAGCAAATCTTCGGAGGTGCTGAGATTTTGTTGCGTTAATTTTTCCTGCGGGTATCATCGATCCCAAATCTCCCGTAAATCAGCCGACGAATTTGTTTCCGAGGAACTTTGTATTTTCAAGGTAACCGTCGAATATGTTGCTCACTCAAGGTGACATGACATCGATAAAAAAAATTTTATACCGAAAAAAAAAAGGAGTCAATCAACTCTCGGTGGTATTCGAGCGTTTATGAGCCGATGAGAACGTGGACCAATAAACGTTCAAATTCGACGGCGTAGAAGATAATTAGAGAAACCAAGGTTTCGCAAATTGGTCGGTTAAATATTAAAGATTGCTCCTTACAAAGGATTTTCGTTGCTTGGATTATTAGCGCCCGTGAACTTTGTATTGTATCGTTTTTCCGTTGGTAACTGTATCTCGAGATACGTGGAATCGGCGCTAGACCGATGCTAGATCGGACACTAGTATTTATTTTGGTGTTTTAAATAATTATTTATTGTTTCCTTGAGTCTATCTTGAGATCTACACCACGCGATTAACGTTTTTTTGGCGGAAGGAAAGATTTACGCAGCGAATTAAATATATTAACGAGGTTCTGTTTTTGCGAGATTTCGACGGTGTTTCGCACTAAAAGCAAAACGAAATCATACATAATTAACGAAATCCATACGAGCGCGTCAGGTGCAAACGTACGTCCCTTTTTGCAATTTTCATATTGCGGTTTTAATTATTAAAATTCCAATTTTCACCGCAACAATTTTTGCAATTACAAAATTTTACACTGTTAAATAGAAACGAAACCGGTGGTAGGCAGCGTCGCTAACAATGGACATAACTTGAATAAATTTGTCAGGAATATGAATCGATTAATTCGCCGCTTGTTTTTTCGTGTATAATTATTTACACAATACATTAAGAGCGATTAATTCGAGAATATATTATATTCGAACACGACGCAACTCCACCCAGGTATGTTTTTTAAATAACGCCTACCCAGACGGATGCTTATGGGAGCTTTGTGGTCCACACCCATTGCTGCGCATTTTTCTCTAATACATACCATGTATACCTAATAACACTCAAATTTCATTACCTACATACCTATTAATGTATTCAGGAAAATTAAAGTTGTTTGCACGTAAACGTTTTCTCGTTTTTCTCCCTACTTTTTTGAATTTTATGTAGGTACTACCTACTCTTCTAAAGGCTGAAAAATTAGTGGATTTTAAAGCCATTGCTCCATCATTTTTTTATCATTTTATGGACTAATTAAATATTTAAAATTCGAAACAATTTTTGTAAAATACAATTTCATTTTTCTGGATTCATCGACTCTAAATACGCTATCATTACAGTGAGATAATTAAGTATTTTCTCTCTACTTTTTTGAGTTTTATGTTCTCTTCACTCGACTAACTAAACATTTAAGATTTAAAATAGTTTTGTAAACTACAATATCAATTTTGTGGATTCATCGCCTCTACTATAAAATTCACGAATGGCCGAATCATAATATTATGCCAAGTCGACGGTGTGTGTGAGTGTGTTGTGCGGCGTTACGACGTCGAAGGAGACCAGATTAAGATTTAGCGAATATATTTCGTAATTTAATCCGTTGCCGTTGCGTCGCGTTGTGAGAAATTCCTCGGTGATGAATTCATTTCAGAACCAGAATCACAGACTTCGGCGGTTAATAAACCGGAGAATTAACGACTTTCTGCGGTCTTAAAGGACACGCCGGCGATTTCGGTTTTGGCGAGAACGGGCCCGGCGACGAAAATGGATTTTTAATTGTACGAATTTGGCGAAAAATAATCCGCCGGTTGTTGATTATTCCGGAATGTGGAAGAGTCGCGTTATAAATTATGAAATCGACGATTTATATCCGAACGGTTGTTGTTGTAAAATGCGAAGGTTTTGTACCGTTTCCATTCATTTGATATCAAGTATACTTTTATGAATTCGTTATTAAATTGGATTAATGTTTCATTATTCACGACCTTTTATCCGCGTCCTTTTACGCCATAATAAAATTTTATCCTTTCTCCATTTATTATTTAAAAAGATAGGTACATTTTTGGGCATGCCTGTCGTTTAATTGTCCAATTAACAATACCAACATTTTCAACAAATGTCGTGGAAAAACTCACACACAATACTATCCTACCTCATGAATAAATACACAATTCCATAAACATTTATTACTTGTGGATACTTTTTCAATGTATTTCTAGACCATTATTTCTACGACTGTTATACTTTTTTATCGGTCTTCGGCCAGCCGGTATCGCATTCCTATTTTTTTCCATCCATCTTCAATTCCATCTTGAACGGGACAATTCTCGAACCCGTTAAATACGAGCCGGGGCCATTAAATGATAGAAAACGTATATACCTCTAAGTAGAAATGATTACCTACTGGAATGGAATGAGAATAACTGTGTTAGCCTATTTTCGAACCGACCTTTGCGACAAATCACGGCGAAAATAACCGTCCAACGTGTATACAGGGCGCTGCAAGCGCAATAAACCTTCGAAATTCGCCTTGCAAATGCGACCCAAGTCGAACTGAAACCGCAATGGCAAAGGCGTTGGGTCTTTAGGGGTCGATCTACATTTCCAACGAGACGAATCTGGTGCCTACGTCTTGAAATATTCACGTCGAAATGAAACATTGACTGACGAAATTAGAACGAGAGCAAATGTAGCAGATAAAATTAGAATTACGGAAAATTAGGATTGCGTGTTGGAAGGCCGGGGGAATTTCAGGGGTTGCTCGGAATAAGGGTGGGTTACTATGGTTATTTGATACAAACATAGCAGCATTTTATTGAGACTAGTAAAGCGTACAAAGAAGTAATTTTGTTATTAAAAAATAATCCAATTTAGTAGGTGAATTTTTATTGGGTAAGTGTGATATTATTAGTTTTTCTATTATCGTTAGATCGCTGGAAATGTCGGTGTAGTATAATAAAGGTGCAATATTTCCTCATTCCGAAGCGACTTTTTATCCGATTCATGGGAATCCGAAAGGCAGTAAACGAACGGGTTAGGGGCGCGTTTCGGAAGAAAACAACTCGGATAATTGATAATAAAACTCGAAACGCGATTTCCGTATTCCGTGCCGGATGGAATGCATGCGCAACCCCATTCGGCGTACTTACACACAATGCCCGCTTTTCAACAAAAAACCGGCACACACCAGTTTGTCGGCGAAACTCGCGGGCGAGGGAGTTCCGGATAAACTTCGGCTCGGAGACATCGGCATCGAAAATGCCGCGATAATATCGCGCGATCGGGTATTTATATCTATTTTTTCAACGCCTGTTTCCAATGAAGGGATACTATAAGAATTTACATTTACGGTAAGATTGCAGTGCAATATTAATTCCAATTGTATAGGGTGAGTCGCAATCAGCAAGCAATTTTTTAGTAACTTTTTGCAACTTAAAATACCTTTACTGTAACTGTAATCTACCCTACCTACTCTGTCTACCCTACTCCACTCTACTCTTTACTTTATACTCTTTTCTTGTTACTCTTTACTCTTTTCTTGTTACTATTTACTCTTTACTCTTTACTCTTTATTCTTTACTCTTTACTCTTTACTCTTTACTCTTTACTCTTTACTCTTTACTCTTTACTCTTTACTCTTTACTCTTTACTCTTTACTCTTTACTCTTTACTCTTTACTCTTTACTCTTTACTCTTTACTCTTTACTCTTTACTCTTTACTCTTTACTCTTTACTCTTTACTCTTTACTCTTTACTCTTTACTCTTTACTCTTTACTCTTTACTCTTTACTCTTTACTCTTTACTCTTTACTCTTTACTCTTTACTCTTTACTCTTTACTTTTTACTCTTTACTCTTTACTCTTTACTCTTTACTCTTTACTCTTTACTCTTTACTCTTTACTCTTTACTCTTTACTCTTTACTCTTTACTCTTTACTCTTTACTCTTTACTCTTTACTCTTTACTCTTTACTCTTTACTCTTTACTCTTTACTCTTTACTCTTTACTCTTTACTCTTTACTCTTTACTCTTTACTCTTTACTCTTTACTCTTTACTCTTTACTCTTTACTCTTTATACTCTTTACAGCAAAAATTGTTCTACTAACAGTTAGATAATGTGCGATTTTTAAATAAATATGGTACAAATGATATTTTTATCATATTGAATGTTTTTTTGGAAATTTTACTCACCCTGCAAAAATTTCGAATTTCAAGTTTTACCGAAACTTTTATACCTATTTACACTTTAATAAATCATTCAAATTGTTATATTTAGAACAATTTAATAGAAAGCAAAAATGTCCCCATAGAGATTATACTATCTTCAACCAGCAATTCGTCTGACCGTTAATCCGATTGTTGCAGCTATCAGAGGGAGTGCAGTTGACGTTGAGCGAACTGCGCGAAATGGCCTGTCAGCAGCAGGCGCAGATCGAGTCGCAGCACCAGCTGCTGGCGGCCAAGGAGCAGCGGCTGAGGTACCTCAAGGAGCAGGAGATGCGCCAGCAGCGCGTCCACGCCGAGAGCGAACGGCTGCGCCGGCTCAAGGAGCGCGTCGACGCGCAGGAGTTGAAGCTGCGCAAGCTGCGGGCGCTGCGCGGCCAAGTCGACCAGCACAAGCACAACAACATATCGCTCAGTAAGTCTCTTAATTTATCTAATTGACGTTGAATACATGGGATATACGCGAGATTTCTTATCTCGCTTGAATTGGACCTTTTTCATGGAAAAAAAAGTAATTGGATTTTCTCTAAATCCTTTCAACCGCAATACATATTGTGCGACCGTTATTTCCATATAATATGTATGTGTGTGTACTGTTTTGTTTCATGCCCAGTGAACCGTTCGTTTCCTTCCTTTCTGCGTTCCGCTGCTTTCTCGGATGCCTTTTTTCTGTTCATCATTATGCCCGAATACACTGCTGCAAATTCTCTTTTTATACCGTCGATACATTTAAATATGCACCCATCTAAATTGGAATTTCCTGGAATTTTTAATAAATCCTTTGTGGACACTTGATGGCGAGTTATAGTAAACAGGTACTTAAACACACCACTGTCGCGCTTTTCTTATTTCCTCTTTCGCGATAATTGGCATCTTTACAAATGGGTTTCGACGGGGGATTTTCTGATTCTCATCTTAATATATCAAATGTCAACAGTGTATACGCAGTAATCGTATACCGTTGCATTGTAATGAAAACTGGTCGCGTCAAATTAACGAGGCATTGATAGAAATCAACGGTGAGTCGGCCGTACGCGTATATATTTCAAGGTTTTCGAGATGGTGATCTTTTAAGAATGAAGGTATTTTTATTATTTGTCAATACACCTGCTCCCGTCGACGTGTCGAAGTCGCCGGTGCTTCATTGTAATATGATTTATTAGATTGCTCTCGCGAGATTTCGTCTGAATGGGCCGCATTAAAGCCGTCTATTATTTTACAGCGAGCGATCTGGACTCGATCAGAGCGCTGTTCAATGAGAAGGAAAAAGAGCTATCTTTGGCTGTGGCCAAAGTGGAGGAGCTGACGAGGCAATTGGAGGAGCTGCGCCGAGGCCGGTCAAATAAGAACTCATCTCCGCCATCCGCTTTGGAATTGGACAAGCTCAGGAGAGAGCTGATGGTGATTAGTAACCAAATCTAGTGTCTTATGCGAAAGTAACTTTGAGTGTTTTAGTACCGGAACAAATTGAACGAACAGCAGAATCAAAGGCTGCACCAGCAGCGCGAAGCTTTATCGGCCAGACAGGAGGAAATGAGCGCCATCGACAAGCGAATCTCCGAATTACAAGAGAGATTACATCGCAAACGCATGTTGAACCAACAATTAGCGAATCAAATCAGCGCCACATCCAATAAGGCCGCTTATCATCAATTTATGAGGTACCTTATAACCTCCACCTACACAAATTTATTTACTAATTATTTTATTTGTAGATTAACAGGTAGTCAAGACCAAACCAACCAAGCGTTTATGAGGAAACACCCACAACCTAACGACCACAAAGGCTTCTCTAGGGCAAACATCGCTGCAGTGGAGCCCTACAATCACATTCCCGTGCAACAGCAAACCAACCACCAAATGAAGATACTCAACAACCATCCGGACATGAAGAATCTAGCGTACGACATGTACCAGCCGGTGTTCTACATGAAGAAAGAGCAAGATTCGCCGAAATCTTCGCACGGCATCCAAGACAATAAAATACCGAAACCGGACGAGAACGACGCGCTCAAGGAGTTTTCCGCATCGAAGATCGATCCGAAGTACCAAACGTTGCCGTACAACACGAAATTCCCCGTGAATTTGATCATGAACAAAATTAACAAAGAGGAAAACTCGGCGTTTACCAACAACAACAACGATGATGGTAAAGAAACGCAGGATGTTGTATTACACGCCGGTCATATGACCGTGCACAGCGCTCCTCTCTATATGGTAAATAGGAACATAGCTAAGGCATTAAATCAACAAGACGTGATAACGAAGATCAACGGCGATAATAAAGACGTTTTAGTCAATGGACACGAGGAAATTATGCATCGAGATAGAGAGGCTATTACAAGTATTACTAGTTCCACACCTATGATTCCTACTTATCAGGTACGACGATGCATTAATCATCTCATTCTAACTTGCACATGATTTATCCATTTGTTCAAATCACACACCAGAATAAGCTTCTTTAAAGAGTTACGAATATTAATATTCTATAATTTTGATGTTATATTTCAGAAACCTATTAGCAGCGTGGCTCCTACGTCAGTTCAACATACTAGTCTTCTCTCCAACGTATACCAAACGAGCTCTATAAAAGTCCAGCCGGTGGAACCGCAAACTATAATAGCATCTAGTACTATTAACAATTCAATCTCCACCATCCACTACACTTCGCCTGCGAACTATAACAATAGCTTCGTAACAACTACGGCGGGACATTCGGTGCAATCCTCATCGCCGCTGGTGTTGACATCGCCTACATCAACCAGCACACCTCTTAGCAATACTCCCGAAATCGCGAAATCGCCCAAGCCAGCCCTTCCTCCTAAACCCTCGATCAAACCTCCGCCGAGGCAAACTCAATCTATCAACGACGAAACGGGCATCCCGCCAGCAGAAGCGATCGAAGATAGAAACGAAGTCATTAAGAAATTCGAGAAGCACTCAAGCACACCGACCATCGCGAGAACCGAGATGATAATCAAAGCCAAACCCCTAACTATAAAGAAACAACCGTTCAGCGAACAACCAAAGTTGCGATCGGCCGCAACAACTATCCAAAACGGATCGAACTTGAACAGAAGAATCGCCGAGCTGCCGCTCTTCTCGAACAACCCGGACAAACCGCCCGTCGAAGACAACAAAGACGAAACCGACAAATCGTCGGTATCGGACGAAAACGACGAGAAATTCGAGAACGTCATCCGCCGATGCAAGAAGGGCAATCTGAAGCAAACCGGCAAGCAGAACCTCAGCCGGCGCGTCAGCTTCGATCCGCTGGCGTTGCTGCTCGACGCCAGCCTGGAGGGCGAGCTGGAGCTGGTGAGGAAGACGGTGACGCAGGTGGCCAATCCGAGCGCCGCCAACGACGAGGGCATCACCGCCTTGCACAACGCCATCTGCGCCGGCCACCTGGAGATCGTCAAGTTCCTGGTGGAGTTCGGCTGCGACGTCAACGCCCAGGACAGCGACGGCTGGACGCCGTTGCACTGCGCCGCCAGCTGCAATAATCTGACCATGGTCAAGTTCCTCGTCGAGCACGGCGCTTGCATATTCGCCACCACGCTCAGCGACCACGAAACCGCCGCCGAAAAGTGCGAGGAAGACGAGGAAGGATTCGACGGATGCTCCGAGTATTTATACAGTAAGTTCCAGTAAAGAAGTTTCTTCATATAGCTGATCTCATTAAGATTATCCTTTGGCTCTTAGCTTCTGAAGACCCAACCCTTCTTTCTGCTCCCCAAATACTTCTTCCTGCTCTTATTTCGTCTCTCCAAATCCTTCTTTCATGTATCCTACCATCATGGAATCTTCTAAATAAGTGGTGTAAATTGAACTTGTGTTTGTTTGTAGGTGTTCAGGAGAAATTGGGTATTTTATCGGGGGGTGTTGTGTACGGGGTGTTCGATTATACGGCGCAGCAGCCCGATGAGTTAAGCTTTAAAGAGGGAGATCAAATAACAGTACTGAGGAAAGGCGACGAGAACGAGAGGGAGTGGTGGTGGTCAGTGTTAGGCGACAAGGAAGGGTACATTCCGAGGAATCTGCTTGGTGTAAGTGTATTCTAAAATTATGGTGAATTGAGCTGGGTTTAAATTTGGACATTGTTTTTAGCTTTTTCCGAGAGTGCCGAAGAACGAGGATTGAATCGAGGAGATGAGCCTACTATTATTAGTCGACCTCTTTGAATGAAGAGGAATTTGATCTGCTAATATCCTTCACTCGGTTTATTTAATTATTATCTCTCTTATAGTAGAGCTAGATTATACAAATATTATATCTATTACTAACAAATGTTATACAGAGAGTTCAAAGTAAACACGTATTTTTCAATTAAAAAAAATGATTAGTAAAAAAAAGTAATCGGTTGTTAGTATTGAATTTTGATCGCTCTGTAATAAAAATAAAACCCTTTGCTCAATATAATAGTATATTGTCCAGCTTAAGGAAACACTTTCAAAATTTTCGATATTACATTATAGTTTTAACATATCTATTGCTTTAAACACTAATCAGCAATATCGTAAAATATATATTTGAGATTGTAAATATATAAATATGAAAATATTATTTATAAATAAATATATTTTTTATTTTATTTTGTTTTAATTGTGGATTTATCTTTATTGCGATGTTCGTTTGATTCATTTCCTGGAGTGTTTCTGGTATCGGTGTTAAAAGTGTTGCCTATCTACTAGTAATAAAAATAACGTAAGTAAAAAATAACTGTTCCAAATACGCTACCTCTGTTAATTGACAAATATAAACATAACCCAAAAGTTTGACAGCTGAAATTAGGTTTGTTTTGATTTAATTTTATTACAATTACAAGTGTTAATAAGTTTTCACGTTGTTATATGTTTGAAATTGTTATTGGGACACTTTTAGATGTGTTTTCTCTTTAATCAGACCTGTCTTTAGGTAAAATCTTGTTATTAAAAATACTGCAGGATACAAGTTTATTAAGGGGTAAAATAATTACATTTATCCAGAAATATTGTGCTATTTTAATATAGGAAGTTAAGAAATAAGATATTTAATTAGTTTTACTCTTTTTATGTAATATCTTATCATGAACTCTTTGACAGTTCATAAATCTTGATCGTTCATTTATTTTTAAATCTTATCATTTACAAGCAAGATAACTTTTTATTGCACACAAATCTTTTTAATACATGCTAAATTCTGTAGTTGTAATTGCTGATTGTTTAGAAAAAGATGCCTATTAGTAACAGTCATTGTTTCACTAGGATTAACTTGTGGTGCAATCCTGCAAACAACTCAATAATACCTATTGTGAATAAATTTTGTCTAGTAGAACACGTTATTAAAGCTTAACCCAGTGATTCGGAACGTGATCACTGTATATATTATTCAATCATTGTCTCCTTGGGGGAAAGTCAATTCCATGATGTCTAAATAAAACCAGAAATAACTTTTGCAGTTCCATATCAACTGCAAATTGTTTGTTGTTAGAATTTGAATTGATATCATTAAAAATAATCTATTCCAATCAAACTACTAATTGAAATTCTAAAATCTTGCGCAATTAGACCGTTTTTATGATAAAATAGATTATCACCGGTCACTTTCTTTTTATTTATTCTCTCTTTTAATTCAGTCTTTGAACTGTTTCGCAACCAATTTGATAAGTGATTTTTCTACGAAAATTAATTTATTGCCGATCGATTCGTGCAATTGTTTTAAAAATAAAGATATATTGCTAATTAACAAAACATGTAAATTTCTCGTATTCGATTCATATTTATCGATACACATTATTTTATAAATACATATGCATTACATATACATATGTAGATTTCGAGCTTTGTTATTTTGTTTACTGATACACAATATTATAATTGCCGTACTGCAAGATCATTGCAGTAATTGAGAAGTAGTTAAAGTCTCTTTTTATGCAATAATTTAAAATGTTACACTAGATTCGTTAACTCCAAAAGTATCTATGTAGGTAACATAATAAATGGAATTTATGATAGGATTTAGCTATAAATACAAAAAAATATTTATTTTTCTGACGTCTGAAATATGCCAAATCGTAAAAATGATAAATATTAGAGCGCGCTTGGAAAAAAACCGGCGTTTACCTAAAGTTTTATTACAACAACTAATAAATTATATTACATATGTACCTACATTTTTGTATGTATGCCACTTTATATAATTTTCCTTTAAACAAGTTCAACTGAATAAATAACATAGAAAATAAAATAATTGTGTTATTCGCACCTGCCTCAATTGTATTGTAGATTGAACAATTTGTTATTTAGAAATTTAATTAAAATAAACACAATTTGTTCCAATTCAGACTGGCTGCAAATATTAGTTTACCCCTCTATTTAATTTTATTTTAAAATAAATTACATTTTAATGGGTCATTATTTAACACTTTAAAATAAACATAATTTATTCAATTAAAATTGTACTTATCGTTAAGTACATGAGTACTAAACAAATGGACTTTGTCGATTACCTACTGTTATCGCAAAAATAATTAGATATTACTAATCTTGCCAATCGAACAATTCGGATTTTTTTTAAATAGGTGTAAAAGTCAAAATCGAGATTATTTTAAATGTTCTCCGGAAATATTTGCAAGTGCAAATCATCGATAAATTCTTCAACAATTCGCTCAAGGAAAATTAAAGATTTATATCGGTATTATTAATACTTAGTAATAAAGTGTCAGTGATTATTTCTTCACATTTCTTATCGTTAACGCTATATCAATGTTGAGCGTAAAAATAAGAAACTTCTCGAAAATAAATAATAGAATGACATATTATTTTCTCGGAAATTCGACCAATCGAAAATGTAATTGACAAAAGAAATAGCGTAAATCAATACAAGGTCGCTTTTAAAAAGTTTCGATTCGGTACACTCGTACTCGAACAAAAGTATTATTATAATTTAATACTATGCAGGCGGTAGAGATAAAAATAATATATAAATAGTTAGTACGTGGGCCAAGAGTAGTGCGTATAATTAGACCATAAAAACTAATATTTTCGCTCATGCATTATGAATGATCGAATTTTAGTAGGAGCGATAGATACAATCGAAAATTTTCTAAAAACTTATAACAATTAAAAATTTCTCATCTCGAGAAATTCGAGAAAGTTCCACGATAACGCAAAGAATTCCGCGCGGTGTTTACCGAAGCGACGATTAAATTTTCCGATTCTGTTTTTCCTCTAAAAAGGAATTTGTTATATGAAATGCATGGAAAATTTTCCGAACGAAAAATCCAGAAGCGACGGGTCAAAAATACGCCGTACAAATGTCGTGACTGAGTTTTCTTTCTTGTAACCGATGAGCGCAATCTTCTATGCAAAAAATTAAAAAAATAAAGATACATGGTTTTTCATAAAGTTGTTGAAGAAAATGCTTAAGAGGATTTTTAATGTAAATGTATTCCCTGTTGAATGGAAGTTTTCTATAAAGGAAGCGGTTGATTTTGAAAGTATTATTATTATTACATTTATTACTCATTGAATTAAATTAATTACTATAGGAAGTTATAATTAAAAACCGAGCATAATTTCTATTTTTGGAAAAACCATACGTAGATAAGATTTGATAAATGACGAAGAAGAAATTTCTGAGTGTAATTGTACTTACATACATATCTTTTCCATATCTCGTTATTGTTTACTTTGGTTAAATTTTCCATAATTATTGGCGTTTTATAGTAAATAACAGTTTATAGAACTGACGGTGAACGATCGAACTTGTAAATAACTTGTAAATAACTCCTCGAACTTAGATATAAAAGTCTTGTTTAGAAAATATCAATATTTTCCTCAATTTTTTTGAAAAAAAACATTTAGTATTTCTTCAAAATCTTAATCTTCAAACTTAAAATCGCGACTTAGTTTACTGTTATCAATACAAATTTGAAGGTTAAGTTTTCTCTTCAGTTATAGATTAGCGCAAAAATTAGGTCAATAAAATTTAAGCACAAATTCATTTTCCAAGCAAATATTGACTCCAAAATGAACTAAAAATCCCAATTCTATTTAAAGAAATCAAACAGTTAAAAGCAATCATTTTATTAACAAAAATTACCAACAGGACAATAAACATCTAATGCGCTTTATTCAATTCGAAACTACATAGGAAATTGCAACACGCATCTAATCTAACAATATCTCGGGCGCTTCTTATAGCGCCATCGGCCTCATTATCCTTGCACGCCACCTTTTTCGTGCAAAATAATTAGCCCGCCTTATACGCAGTTGGTGCAAGGTTGTCTATTTGATTAATTGGCGAAAAATGGTAGCCGGCCCGCGGACTAAAACTGCTCGCAATATACAGTAAACACCATTAGCACCGCGCTTAGTGAGCGAACGAGCGCAATCTACGCTCGTTTACATTGGTGTTTCGTCAGATTTAAATAATTTGCCGCGACTATCAAGTCATTCTTACCTTCGAGTCGCCGAGTGTCCGAAACGAAAATTATATTTATTTTTTGCACGCGAAACGACGATTTTCCTGTACGATTCTGTGATATACATGTATAGATCATGATGAGTTTTTTGGTGAAAATTATGGACAGCATTTTGCTGCAGATCCTTTGGATCGGCTACATTATATTTAAAATCCTTCGTCCCGAAAAGGAAATGTAAGTTTCTATCAATTATTTAGCTCGCAAAATAAATCATTTGCGTTGAGTTTTTGCGAAATTAGATATTGCGCAATGCAAGGAGAATTCGACAATTCAATTCCTTGTTGCTGTAATAATTTAACAACAATTAACACAATTTATTGCATTTATGTACATATTCACTTATCCATGTTAACACAAATTTATTTTTATCTAAATAGAATATACTTTTACTATTCTAATTAGTTTTATCTATAAACAATTCGTTTTGTGTCTAATTTTTTACTGGAAATAATACTTATTAAAAAAAATAGTTGTTACAGTATGGTAAATAAATTGTACTTTGTTCGCTATAAGGATGTAGTAATAAAACTTTATTTTATTTGCAGAAAACAGCCCGATAAAAATAATAAAATTCAAAAATTTTGAGGTTTTTTCATTGTATAATAACAATGTATATTTTATTTTAGTAGCATCACTTTGTATACAGGATGCATAAGAATTACTTACATTTAAAAATTACTTACAATAAAATTAAAAATGCCTTTTATTGATATCAAAATCGATGCAGACTACCGAATAACAAAAATGTTATTCATTAGTGCGCCTCGGCTTCAAGAAGATTTTATTACTATCTCCTGATAGCGAACAGAGTATATTATTAAACATTACTCACTACTTTTCGATGACACGTAATACATTTAAATTCGTAATGATAGCAATTCCTAGAAAGTCTAATAAAGACATTGTTTCCAGAGAAAAGCTGGACGACGATAACGAAGAGAAGTACGAAATAGCGAGCCCGTTGCGGAGCGAGGCGCAAGGTAAGCGGCATTTCATCCACCTGTACACGACGACATCGTCCAACGGCAAGCCGGTGTGCTACATGGACGTCTATCGGATGAACTCCAAATCGGAGGAGCAGAAATTGCGGAACGTTTGCTCCAAAGGCGTGCCCAATCAGACGTACTTCAGGCACAAGGAGAAACTGACGCCTCGAAACTCGTACATATCCAGGGACTGGAAGGACTATTCCATAATGGCCATTTAATCCGCCCGATACGGTGCAATGGCAGCTTAATGTCGAAACGGAACGAAGGAGAATGTTTCTAACATTCACGCCTTATTCACGTCCAAATTGTATGACTATAGCGAAATTTAACATTTAAATTTGTTTCTTATAGCGTACGAAATTTTGCTGTTTGATGACTTTCTGTTATTCATAGCGGAAATACGTTGATTCATAGCGAATATTTTATTAGCATAATTCACTTTGTGCTTAATTAAACTGCCATTGGACTTCGAGAAACTTATGTATATCGTTTTCGATATTTTTGTAAATGATTATTTAACGACATAACGAGACGAATTGCTTTTTTCAACCAGTAAATAATTCATAGTCCAGAAGTTTAATGCCTTTTGTGTGAGTTGTATGTCATAGTACAAGTCTAAATTCAAGTTTAATAAATTGTAATAATAATTTAGACTCCAACTAAATTTTCCGATACAACCACTCTTAAGTAACGGGACTATAAATAATAACATTATTGTTACCAAAACAATTTAATTTATTAAAGAAAGTTATAAACTGCATAAGGTGCATTAATTGCACAAGGAGCAGTTGGCATGTAACTGCGAATCTTCCAAAGATGCTTGTATAAAAACCTAATTTAAGATACGACTGATTAGATGTAACCATGACTTAATTTTATAAAATAAATTGTACAAAAACAAATCGTTCTTTCAAATTAAAAACCGAACCCCTTCAAGATAACTCAACTTAATGAAACTTAATCAACGAAATCCAGTAACGAAAAATCTCCAAAAAAAATCGAATCCGGACGTAATAAGAGTCTCTGCGGTTGACACCGAAGACTTTTATCATCATCGTGCTCTTATTGCTGCGTGGTCTCATTATCGCATTAAAACCGCCAATGTTCCGGCTGGTTTATGTGCAAGAGAGCCTGCGCAAACTGACTGTCATGCCGTGACAAAAGCACTCCAATCAATTTAATTGCTTTTAATGTTTATTAGTCCATATCTAGCCACTTGTACAACATGAAATCGGTTTGTTCCATTTTGCTGGCGTTAAGTTCTTTGTACTGCATCTCGGCCGGTGACAAAGTCACTCCTATAGTCCTCTGGCATGGAATGGGTGAGTATGGGTTGGTTTTTGTCGATGTTGCATCGAAGAAGTTAAGTTCAAGTTCAAGGGTATGCGATATTTAGAAAGCAAACACAAGATTATATCCTGCGGAAGACTCATTAAATATAGTTAACGGCCTAAAACGGGGTTTTTAGTACAATTTTTAAAAATTACCATGAATTAATATCTATAGTATCACTCGTATTTTTAATAGGAAATCTCAAGTATGACAAAATATCGTTGCAGTGAGTGAACGTGCTTCGAATATTTATCTATATTAATCGATTGTAAAATATTTGAAGAGTTTCATATTTAATAGAATTTTCATTAATGTCTTCGACTTTTACTTAAATATTAGCGGAATAATTCTTGCATATTTGTTATCGAATGCGCTGTTATTTACGATTTAACGCGGGAATTTCCAGAATACTTAGCCGTGATTTATTTATTGTTTTCGTTGTTTGTTATTTATCCCGAATATTTCGCCAAGTATGTTATTGACAGAGATATGAGTAATAAACATTTTTGTCTATTCCTATATCAGTATATCAAATTAAATAAGACATATAATACGTATCAGTTATTTTTGCTATTTATACCTACTCGCAGATTTTTATTCTACTATGCCAGCGAGCTAAAATCGCCATTGGAATCGGTCCAAAACACACGCTAAATTGTTAAAACATCGCTAATTTTTTAAGGCGACAGCTGCTGCTTTCCCTTCAGCTTGGGCTCCATCAGCGACAAATTGAACGAGACCCTGGGAGCTTACGTGTACTCCATAGAAATAGGCCCGAACGTGGTGGAAGACGTAGAAAACGGCTTCTTCAAGCACCCCGACAAGCAAATAGAAATTGCCTGCAACAAACTATCCGTAGAGCCGGCCCTGGCTGGAGGATTCAACGCCATCGGATTCTCACAAGGAGCCCAATTCTTGTAAGAACTTTGTTATAGATAACAAAGCAATGATGTCACTGCTTATTTTTTAGGCGAGGTTTAATACAGAGATGTACTAAAGTCAAAGTAAAGAATCTAATATCACTAGGAGGTCAACACCAAGGGGTGTACGGCCTGCCGAGATGCGACGGAATATCGAGCTCCCTGTGCGATTTCATGAGGAAATTGCTCAACCACGCCGCTTATACAGAGTATACAATTTAATAATCCCACTAGAATTCGTTTGTAGACAAAACTGTGTTACAGGGTGGCTCAAAAAATCCTGGCGCAAGCGACCTATTGGCACGACCCTCTGGACGAGGAAGCCTACAGAAACGGCAGCACCTTCTTGGCTGATATCAACAACGAGAGAACGATTAATAAGGATTACGTGACGAGGCTGCAATCGCTGGAGAATTTCGTTATGGTTAAATTCGAAAATGACAGCATGGTGCAACCGGTAGAGTCGGAATGGTTCGGATTTTACAAGCCCGGGCAAGCGAAGGAAGTGCAAAGCTTGGAGGAGTCCGATTTGTACATTAATGTAGTATTACAAGTATTATGTAATTGTATTCATTGATGTTTTATTAATTTATAGGATCGGTTGGGTTTGAAGCAAATGAAGGAGGAATCCAAACTTCACTTTCTTCAAGTGGAAGGGGACCACTTGAGGTTCTCTTGGTCGTGGTTCGAGGATAATATAGTCGATAAATTTTTGAAAAATTAATGTGATAACCAGATTTATTTAAAATTACGATGTTAACGATAAGATAAATTACATAAGTAATTTACTCTTTAAAATACCATGTGTGATTACGATAATTCGAATGAATGTTGAATAAATGGTTCAATTTTTCGTTAAAAAGAGGTGCGAGTAATTGGATTTTGGTCAAAAATTCGGCCAGATTTGTCGATTAAATTAATCAAATTAATGTTACACGAACGTGCCAGTACACGATGAAAGAGATACACCGATGGAATTTACATATCTTTGCTTGTAGTAGGCATAATTCAGTGAAAAGAGCGGAACGCGGATTCTCATTCAATCATATTCTCTCTTTCGGAGGCGTTTTGTGTTTTGTGAAATTTTTCAATCAGTGTTGTCGTCCATTAGTTATATTATACACTGCCTGTTTGGCTAATGCATCCCCAGTGACATGTCATAATTTTTTACCCAAACTCGCTATTTAATTCCATACAACACACTAGCATTAAGAAATTTTGATTTTTTATTTTATTAAAATTTACTACTTACTTACTCGTACAAAAGTGTAGAAACTTTTCAGATCATTATTTTAAATACCACAGTTTTATGAGGGTAGAAAAATAGTGTGTATTACTACTCACGTAAAAACATTTTATAATATTTATTTTTTGGATTTTCATGTTACCCCTTCGTCCAATCGCCGGTGCCGCCGATGGCAGTCGCGCCTGAAAGAGAAAACAAGAAATTTTACATAATGCTATTTAGGCCGTACTCAAATAAGGGTGCGTTTCGCTTGTCTTAATCAGACTAGTTTATAAAGCTCGGCGAAAGCTTTTGTTGTATTTTGACGACTCCGAACAATGGCGAATATAGGGTAATTTGCTTGAAGGCTTTGTTATTACCTTTCTTGGGGGTTTTATGATATCAGAAATTTTAATCAACATTTGCGGTTATTCGTTTTATTTTATTTTACGTCTACTGTAAATGCTGTATTTACACGAATTTGTATAGGTAAAAAATTATTTCATATATGAACTAAGAATGATATATTACTTTTTATTCTTATCGAATTTTCTTCCTTTTTTTTGGATAAATATTGGGTATTACACTTATTTTTTTAAATTATTTATAGGATATAAAATTAATAAAATCCCGAAAAGGCGAAAACTTCACGAACGTTTCCTCGAAAGTTAATCTTAAGTTAATGAACGTTTTTTTAATTACGGTTAAGCAGGAGAAGTAATTTAAAAACCTCCGAAAAGCTTCGGTAATGCTTTTAAAAGCTGAATGTTTAGCGGTTTTTATCAGAAAAGGCGGAAACTGTTAATGAAAATCTCGTTTAAATTCCCAGTCTCCTTTCATTCGGCCGGCTTCCCCATTGAAAGGTTCGCGTAAATCGGGACTCTTTTCAATATTTAATTTAGGTAAAACGAAGTACAACGACAATTTAACGTCGGAACTCGGATTAATTAGTAATCAGAAAAAAAAAACATCCGCGCGCGGACAACAAACCGCACCGGAATCTTCCGTCGGGACCGAAACGGTCGCGATCGCTCCAGAATAGCCGGAAAATCGTCCCGTGAAAAAGGATGCAGGTTTCTATCTTGTCTGCGGTCGCGTCCTATGAATACGCCAATGATCAATGCTGTTAATAAAGCGAAGCAAGCAACTCCGGGAGTTGATTAATTAAACATCGCATCGGTACGTGTGGCGAGCTTTCTCTTACAGATACTCATTTCGGTCGGTAGATCTTGCCCCGAATGAAATTCGTTTGACTAATGAAACCAGAGGGGATGTAACGCACTGGAACCCGGATTGAAACGAAACCTAATTGATTTTGCAACGGGTTTAATTAATAAATTGCTCTTTACTTGTAACATATTTACTCACAAAGACATCAAGTATATACAAAGATTTTAATTATAACTCATTTAGTGATGAAGTCTGTTTTTCTGAACCCTGCAGCGGAGTAGGTAAAATATGGATGGATATTTATTAAATATTCGAATGAAAATTCCGATATAGTGGCAGCGGATTCGACTTTTTAATTCCGGCGGAGATTTTTCGTAAAAATCCAGTCGCTGGGCGGCGGGCGGGGCGCGAGCGGCGGTCGGGAGAGGGTGGCGCAACAACGTTCAATGAATAAAATCATATATATTCATCTGGTGCACGCTTCCGACGAACAAAGCGTCCGGATCTCCGGAATTAAAAATCATTCATTTCATTCAAAATCAATCATTACATCTGGCCATTGTTACGGCCGTATAATATCCCGGGGGCCCCCGGTTTTAATCAATCCGAAAAACATCATAATTGATGCTTTTACGAGAATTATATTGTCGTCCTTTTTTTTTAATATCGGCTCGATCGGAGCGCTGTTTTTAATATTCGCGAATATTTTAATAACAGATGATAATCCTGTAGGAATTTCCGATTAATTTTACACCTGAATGCTGCAACGTAATCTGCAAAATGTGAACTCTATTTTTTACATTCCTTCATTTTTATTTAACTCCTCAAAAATTAACTACAATTTACCAAAAATTTGAATTTTATTGACTAATTAAGCTAAAAATCACTAAACTTAACATTTCCAAATCTTACCAAACTTTCCCCTTAAAATTTAGCATTCACATTATTAAAAAAATATTATCTATACTCCAAATTCACTTACTACTATTTCATTAACGTATCAAATTCGTATTAATGCATTTCATCGTACTTATCCTTTCATGTGCATACCCTTTCCACAGCTCTTGTAAGGCCCTTATAATAACGTATTACATGTGAAGAAGGGAGGGTGAAATCGAATTCTATTAACTAAACGGATCTCAATTGACTTATAAAGCATCAGCCGACCCTAATTCGTCCTAAAGACCAGCTGATCTGTATAATGGCCATGTTTTTTTATACCTTCAAATCACGACCGTTTGATCATTTACGATGATCCTTTCACCATCACGTCCATCCAATTAAATAAGTTGTATAGGTTATTTTAAAATTATTTTTAATTTTTAGCGTTTACACCTATGTGATATTTCTCTTTATTTTTCGAGCTTTGATTTAGTTTCAATTTGACGGTAACCAGTACAAGCCGGAATTAATTATTTTAAAGCCGGGTACCAGATGCGCTTCGCCCGGAGTTTACTTCGCGGAACTGGATGCGATATGACAATCAGATTTGGCCAGACAATGGGCGACGTCACAACATCGAGTTTCGTAATTAATAAAGTCGGGAGAGCGCACTTGGTCTACACAATTCCCGGGCTCCGGCTCGGGCTCGGGAGCCGTGTGTACCCCCGTGTCTGTTTAACACATGAGCAATTAGCGGGAGAGGCGGAGAACGCCGCTCCATTCGACTTTAATCTACACGTTAATCATTGGGTAATACTCCACGCAGAAATACGTAGATTAAATTTTTATATTTTTAAGAATAGTATACTATAAAAATATCTGCATAATATTTTAGCTAGTGAGGAACGCACTAAATGCAATTTCTACATGTTGTGGTTATTTTCGTTAAATTGTAGAAGCATTTTGAGCACCGCTGTAGAAATAAAAAAGAAGCTAAAATAAAAATCCGCGCATTTCCAGCAATCTTCTCATCGCGACAATGCATAATGCTAAGAATATATATATATACCTACCGGTTCTGTTCTTTGTTCGCTGGAACAATGGCGACAGTGTGTGGATCATCACCTCGGATATTCCGGGTCCGGAATACGCCCCGGAAGCGCTGTAGCGGATCTTATTCCGCGGATGTTTGGAGAGTTATTAACTTTGCCGTGCCGTGTCTGAATATCTACCCCGGCTGGGTTCGCCTTCGCGAAAACGAATGCATTTTCATTATTTTGTTTTGTTCTTTGCCTTAACGTTCGGATAATGCAGCTCGTAAAAATATCAGTATTTACGCCGGGAAGCGTGTGTCACGGAGTAATTCCAAGATCGAAAATTAAATGCGAAATCATTTTTCTCGTCCTTACGCGACCGCCAACAATGGGCCTCCATTGATCGTCGCGCTCAGAAATTAAAACGGCTTTTCCATAAGGAGAATAATCGAATAATAAATTGCACTTAGAAAACAATTTATTACTTTACCATTTTTAAACCAAATTTTCTTTTAAGTAATATTTATGGATATTTACTACTGAACTCAACTACTTGGACTAAACATTTAAATTCTTTATAAACCAAGTTGATTTATTTTTTTTTATTTAAAATAAAACAAAATTAATAATTTTCTGAAGTGAGTGAAATATGTAATAGAATAGTTGATGATGCATATCGAAGGAAAAGGAGGACCATAAGGGACTTGTTGCAGTTGACTCGACTCCACCAATAATAGCATTATCTCATTAAGGGACGGCGCGCGTCGGCGTCCCGACGCCGTGTAAGGACGCCTGGCGTCGGTCGAGCGCCAATGGAAACAAACGCAGGGTGGAGTCTCTCTTAATTTCAACATTTACATACAATTCCGGAGGCACAGTGCGATTTTAACTGCGTTAACGAAGAGCCCGCGCTCGCGAATGGCAGGGCCGTATTTACCCTCGTTGCCGGGGGATCTGCTCACCGAGTACATGTTCGGCAGAAGGAGGCAGCGGAGGAACAGGACGACGTTCAGTCCGCAGCAGCTGCAGGAGTTGGAGGCGCTCTTCCAGAAGACCCACTATCCGGACGTGTTTCTGCGAGAGGAGGTCGCTTTGAGGATCAGTTTATCCGAAGCTCGAGTCCAGGTTTGTACCTCTATCTTTTATAATATCGAATATATTTAAAATATTTGATGGGTTAATATAGTGGAACCATACCTTGTAACAAATTGGTTATATTTATTTCAGGTTTGGTTTCAAAATAGAAGGGCGAAATGGAGGAAACAAGCTAGGTTGCAGCTACTGCAAGATGCCTGGAGGATGCGGTGCTTAGGTATTACTTCACCACAGCTAATATTAACAGGTACCAATTTTTTTAATTTCCTAGATATAAATTTTTTTACATAATAATAGGATCCAGAGAATTTGTAGCAAATAAAATAAACAGTTTAATCAAAATCTCTATAATTATATACCCCTAATAATTAATTTGCTACTAATTAATAAATGTAAATAAAACTTTTTTGATTTATGATGCAAATTTACAATTTTCACGCATGTTCAATTGTGATTCAAAATAGTTATTTTGTAGCTTTCTTTTTGTTATTTTTATTACTCGCCACCTCTATAAAAATGTAATCTGGCATTTCTTTTAAAGACAGCTCAATGTCAATTCTTTACAAATTCCTTTAATATCATTAATAATAATTAAGAACCGATTAAATAATTATATAATTCATCATTGAATCTTAAAAAATCCCACTTTAATTGTTTCGTTTAAAGTCTCGCCGTCAATAAATAATGATTTATTACGGAAAAAAATATAAGAATAATTCTAGTGATATCATTGAAAATAAAAATAATACGATCACATATGATACGCAAATCTAAAATTTGGTAAATTAAAGTAAATTTGAAAATCTGATTATTACAAGTTAAAGTTAATTAAATCTCGTCTATACACAACTATTCTGTAAAAATATAGTGAAATAGTTCATAAATAAATAGCACCTTAAACTCCTCAAAAACCACAGCATATTCTTCGGTTAAACAACCGCTCAGTTCTTGTTTATCTGCGTTATCTACACGGCATCTTTTCCTTAAACTCCAGGAAGGCCGCCCGGTCCGCCGCTGTCAGCGAACCCCCAGGACCTGGGGGACGCTCCGGCGGACTACCCGCCGTCGGCCGTCAATCCGGCCGTGCAACTATCGTGCAACTGCTCGCCCGGCGCGGAGAACCGGAGCCCAAGGAGCTTCCGCAGCTCGCCGAGCCCGTCGTCGCAGCTCTCGCCCGGCGGCCCGGACGATCTGTCTTTGGCCAAAAGGACGCCCGTCGACGACGGCTCAGACGCCACTAAATGCCTGACGTCGAACGAGCACCATCGGCGAGCGCCCGCCGGAATAATCCAGTAAATATCTCACCGTTTTTTCGATTTTTTTTTGTTTATTGAATTATTTCAAATATTTATTAATCGAAATTGTGATGGAAGAATACATAATGTAGATAAAATATTGACTTATCCAATTTTTTTGCCGCTCATTTATTGTTTATAAAAATTGCTGTGCTTGTGTATTGTGTACGGATTAAATCATTTTGTAGATAATATGTATATGGATAATAATAAATAGGATACCTAATAATGTATTAAGTCTTAATACAGTGATTACAGTACGTAAAGTAAGTACTTAATTAATAGCGAATTAAACACCTACTTAAATTTGATTTGTTTGATTCTCACTTGCCTTCCGACTATTATATTTGCCTACGCAAAAACAATTCCGGAGAGATTGCTGGCTTATGTTCTAAAATACCATTTCGTTTGAATTTCAGTGTAATGCTTGCTAACCATCAGAGCCGTACAGATATAAAAATATCTATTGATTAATGTTTATCATTTCATATTCCGGCAAATTTTTCAAATCAGTGCTGTGTTGCAAGGAAGTACGTTGGGTAAGTATACTGACCACTAGAATTTTATATTAATTAGATATCAATCATTATTTAATCGAATGACTTCCTTGACATGGAAACCCGAATACCGGATATATTACTGTTGTTAGTGATTTAATCTGAACAATGATGTATTAATATACTCATCTGTTGCATTCTTAAAGTACGAGTAAATAACGAAAATAGTTAAATGCGTATTGGGATTAGTTGGTCAAATAAAACATTTATAATACCTCAATATTCGGTGATGTGTTCTGTATTCGAAACGGCCGAATTATAAATAATTTGTATACTCGTATTTCGACCGTTATGTGTAATACTAATTTGAAATTTATGTAAATTATGTTTCTTATAGATAACTATAGGTAGTACAATTGCGTGAAATATAAGAAGATAATAAAAAGTATGAATTTTGTGGCTGCATTATCGTGGTTTTGGTTTATGGGATTTTATTTAGTACAAGGGTAAGTACTAACAAAACAATTTTATTCATAAATTAATACGCAGTAGTGAGTAATTTTTTTATATTTGTTATTTTAGTACGAATTGGTTGTGGCAATGCGAGGATGGCTATTGTAAAAGAGACAACTCTGAAACCGAAAGAGAAGGATATTCCTCTTTGAAAATATGCCAATTGATGTGCTCGAATTATTTAAACATTTGGCCTCTTCCTACCGGTATCATCAGATCATCGAAAGAATTAATTAACATCAACACCAGGTAAGCGAATTGATTTCTAATCCACGGATTTAACAAATTTAATTCCTTATTAGGAACAGCATATTTTTCTACTACAACGCTCCGACGGAAACTTTACATTTTTTAAAAGAAATATCGAAGTATTTCGAAAACCAGCTCAAGAACAAAGAACCGTACAGTTGCGATGAAAATTTGTACACGCTCAAAATATTTCTATCGACCGATAGCGCCCAAATCACTTCTAATCTACGAACAAACGAATCGTACACTTTAAAATTAAATTCATCAGGTAATTAGGGTATTTAATTTATGAGAAGTTGGTATATAGTACTGTTGACATTGACGTAATGATATACACGGCCAACTTCTCAAAAAAATCTTCATTAATTACTCGGCTACGCCTAGGGTATTTTATTTATGAGACGTTGGTAGTACTGTTGACTTTGACATAATGACATACACGGCCAACTTCTCAAAAAAATCTTCATTGCTCGATAAAAGACGCGTTTTTAAACTTGCAAATTGAAGGTAACGAAGCCAATGTTCACATCAAAGCGCCTACAGTGTTCGGAGTCAGGCACAGTTTGGAAACGCTGTCGCAAATCCTCGTGAGCCACGTCGAAGACGGCTCGAAATGCCTGTCGACTTTGAGCAGCATTCGCATCGCCGACGAGCCCAAATATCCCCATCGAGGCCTCCTCATCGACACTGCCAGAAACTATCTAAGCATCGGCGTAATTAAAAGGCAAATCGACGGAATGGCCGCATCGAAATTGAACGTGCTGCACTGGCACTTGACCGATTCGCAGAGCTTCCCCTTCGTCTCCACCAGGTTGCCCAATATGACCAGGTAAATTATCACCAGAAATTTCCGTTGTTGCCAACCGCTTTTAGGTTACCGGAGTTTGTTAATTTTTAGGTACGGCGCTTACAGCCCCACTAAAGTATACACTCCGGAAGATGTGAGGAAATTGATCGAATACGCCGAGTACAGGGGCGTGCGGGTGCTGGTCGAAATCGACGGGCCCTCGCACGCCGGCATGGGCTGGCAGTGGGGCCCCGGGGCCGGCTTGGGAAATTTGGCGGTGTGCGTGAACCGGCAGCCGTGGAGGAGCTACTGCGTGCAGCCGCCCTGCGGCCAGTTCAACCCCATCAACGAGAACCTCTACCGCGCCCTGGGCGACTTGTACTCAGACATACGGGACGCCACGAACGATTGGAGGATGTTCCATTTGGGCGGCGACGAGGTGAGCATCTCTTGCTGGAACTCAACCCCCGAGATTTTGGAGTACCTCAAGGGCCAGCCGCTGACGGAGAAAACCTACCTCGATTTGTGGGGGCGCTTCCAGCGGAAAAATCTCCAAGCCTACGATACCGCTGTTGGTCATAAAAGCAGTATGGTAGTCGTATGGACCAGCCATTTGACTCAACCCGAGGTCATTCAGGAATACTTACCCAACGATAGGTTAGACGAATTTAATTAAGTGAGAAAATGAATTTAATGGGATTGTTGCAGGTATGTTATTCAATCTTGGGAACCCGAAAGCGAGAACGAGTTGTTAACGAATCTGTTAAAACTCGGTTACAAACTTATAGTGTCTACTAAAGACCGATGGTACTTAGATCACGGATTTTGGGGCACCACAAAGTATTACAAATGGAAAACGGTGTACGAAAATCCCATTTACACACCATACACCAGCGCAATATTAGGCGGAGAGGTAAAATTATTGAACATACCTCATCAAATGTAGCTTGGCACTTGAAATATGTTGCGCCACAGCAAATTTTAGAGAGGGAATAGGGTATAGTAGAGTATAAGAGGGAAAGTTACACTGGTTCTTTAACATCGTTAATCTCTCTTCCCGTTTCAACGTGCCGAGCTACATTGGGCGAGGTATAAAGAGGTAAACATCGGTTTGTTTAGGTGTGCATGTGGGGCGAGTTGGTGGACGACTCTAACATAGACGGGAGAGTATGGCCCAGGGCGGCAGCGGCGGCGGAAAGGATGTGGTCGAATCCTGCGACCAGCGCAGAGTACGCTCAAACCAGGTTCTTCGCGCACAGGGAGCGTTTGGTGGAGAGAGGGATAAAGGCCGAGGGCGTGATACCGAGATGGTGCGCCGAAAACGAAGGGGAATGCCAAACGTACATGTGAACGTTCGAATCGTTTAATATTTATACGGTTTTCAGAGCGACTTGGAATACTTTAACGAGAAAATCGGCGTCCTGTTGTGTAACGCACATCGGCGGTTTGATGCGTATGACCTAAAAATAAGCAACGCGTTCGAATTAATAAATAATCGGTTGATGTTTGGTGGAATTATTACGTTTCCGAAAACGCCTCCTTTGCCTATAATCAAACCCATGTCGAGGCAGTTCTCCCAGAATTTCATCATTTTGTCTGGTTTCAAAGGAGTTCTCGCCACGCGATCTTCAACCAACTCTACTCCTATCATCAAACCTTTACCGCGCACGTCGCCGATAATGGGAAATTTCGATTTTAATTTTTCCAATTCCAGCATCAAATGCGTGCCGACCGTTTTGCAATTCTCCTGCAGCTGCTCCTCTTCTATAATCTATTTAGACTCTCTAAGAAGTAATCGCATGGATTGTAGGATGTACACTTACATCTAAAACAGTCATTCCTATTGTACATGCCACGGGATTCCCTCCGAAGGTGTTGAAATGACCGGCTTTAGCTAACCCAGAAGCAATTTCTTTGGTGGTAGCCACAGCGGCTAAGGGGTAGCCATTACCGATTCCTTTAGCCATTGTCACGATGTCGGGGATGATTCCGTGGGATTCGAAACCCCAGTAAGTATCGCCGGTTCGGCCGAAGCCCGTTTGTACCTGTTGGTTCGGATTTTTCATTTTTATGCTTGAGGTAAATTAAAAATGTATGTATGAAACCTACTTCGTCTGCTACGTACAGTCCACCTTGATTTTTGACCCTTTCGTAAACCCCTTTGATGTAGTTTTTGGGGAATTGGACGGTACCGCCGACTCCTTGGATGGATTCCGCCCAGAAAGCGGCCAGTTGGCCCTTGGGGATGTCGTGGATTAATTCGTAATTGAATTGTTCTAGGTATTTTAGACCAGCCTCGCATTCTGTACCGCAGGAGCACTGCCTGTCCGTTTGCACAGGACTGTCGCGGCATTTATTTCCACCCCACAAGCCTCTGTACACATCCGGATTTGTAGTCTAAAGTAAATTAACAGTTTACTACAAATTTAAAGGAGATGAAGGTAAGGCAACCTTGAAAAACCCAGCTGCTCCTGGAACGGGGTACTTGTAATAATTATTCGAAGTCAACCCCATCATTTGATAGGTCATGCCGTGGTAGCAATTCTTCAAAGACATGACGTCGAACTTGCCGGTGTAAGATCTAGCCATTAGCAATGCTAAATCGTTGGCTTCGCTACCGCTGCATACGAAATATATACACTGGAAAATATGTAACCAATATTCTTTAAAAGTATGTTAAACGATCAAAAAGGTAATAATCCCAAAAAAGTGGGATGAAACTTCTTCTGTGTATCAAGGAATATTTCGAACTCACCTCCAATTTTTCCGGTAGCTTAGAGGCCAGTTTTTTGGCATATTCGTGCAATTTAGTGTGATAATAAATATTCGTAGAGTGTCCCAAAGTATCCATTTGCTCTGTAGCTGCTTTGGTTATTTTCCTGCAAATAATTATCGTCATTTAAGCTCGCTTATATTTAATGAACTTACGGATGTGCGTGTCCTACTGATACAGTACAAACTCCTGCGAACATATCCAAGTATCTTCTACCGTTGATGTCGAACAGCCACTGCTTGTGCCCTTGGTGCAGGGCCAAGGGCTTTGAGTAATATGTGGTCAACGCTGGGTTTACATTGCGTTGTCTAATTAGAGTCATCTCATCATAGGAAAGTCCCTTAAATAAAAGATTTTAAATAGGTATATTCGACCTATAAATTTACTCACCTTGTATTTCTTGGGGGTGAAATTACATGGTGGTAGCTCGGGTTTGGTGGAATATTTCCTTAAATATTGCACTAACCGTTTCATTTTTTAATCGATTTGGACTAAATAACCTTTCGATTGAATAATGCCGATGGAGCATTGAAATCGAATGGTAATTCGAAAAATTACCAAACAATAACCAAAAATATCACCTTGAGAATTACTGAATAGCAACAAGGTTTAAATAAAGCGATCATTTTCAACAAATACCTCTTTATATTACATTAAAAAATAACTAAGAAACAGTACTAAAGTAAAGTATCCATCAATTGTTCTTTAGGAGCACGCGAATCGTAATTTATCAAGTCGGGACGTTCTTCGCATAAAATTTTATAAGCGTAAAATATCCTAACAAATTCCTCGTTGCTGATTTGAAAAGGCCTTATGGTAGGATCGATTTCAGCCAATTGCAACAATTTAGAACCTACAACAGAATTGTTATATTTAATCTCTCGATGATATTCAGTTAGATGAAATGTACCAAGTTCCTTCCGATGCTCTTCAGGAAACAACCTCTCGAGGCCTCGTATGCAATACTTCTGCCTCATATTAAAAGAGTTCCTAAGGACCTTTTCGACCATTTTGAACGGTAGATTGACCAACGGATACTTCCGAGGAATCAAAGTAACGACTGCTACATCTACATCGGGTTTGGGCACGAAGGCTCTGCCAGATATGGTGAATTTATATTTCACATCGCACCACATTTGACATATTACGGACAGTCGACACCTCTGATCGTCCATCATGGGCGCCACCATTCGTTCTCCCACTTCCTTCTGAAATGTTAAGGTCATGGAAGTTCTTCCGAAGCTCCAAGCAGATGATTGTTCGGAGACTGCTTGCAAGTACCTGATTATTAGATTCGTCGATACGCTGAACGGTAAATTACCTGCAATAATAAACTTGTATTTTAACTTGCTGTTACTAGAATATTCATCTTACCGATTAAGTGAATAGGAGGTGGAGCTTCAGTCCAGTTGTGCTTCGGGGCTCCTTTAAAAGCGTTTTCTAAATTGTAATTTCTTATATCATCGATAGCAATTATCATGTTGGTGTGATCCTTACAGCATTCTTGTAGTAATTGTAGCGTAGGAATAAACCGTGGGTCTTTTTCTACTACTAATAATTTGTGAGGTCTTCGTTTGATGATCGATCGTGTGATTCCACCGGGCCCGGGACCGATTTCGCAAACGTAATGGTTCGCTAACGGTCCGGCAGCTTTAACGATCTTATCAGTAAGGTTTTCATCCATTAAAAAGTTTTGGGACAATTGACGGATCGCTCTCAAGCGGTATAACTTAACTAAATCTCTAATTGTAGGTAAGGGTGGTAAGCGAACGGGTCGTATTTGATTGGCCATTATTGGGCCTGTGAAGTTTTAGCGGGCTCGTCGAAATCGTCTAGAAACGTTTCTTGCTTCACTGCAAGCATAGAATAACCGTAAATACTAAAAACACCGGCTGTTATCAGGCCTGCTGTGAGTAAATTGCGCTTTCTTAGCAACCTCAGTTGAAACACTCTTTCTTGGTTTTTCTTCTCTATTTCTTTAATAAAATCCAAGTCGCTTTTCTTTATCTTGCTCAAGTCGATTTTAGGCATGCGGTCAGACATTTCTTAATTATTTTTGAAATCTATAGTTTTATTTTAGTTATCTCTTACAATCATAACATTTATAACCTCAATTATTGATGTCAGAATATGACATTTAGATGACACTCATGACAGAATGAAGCAAATTTTGTTGATCCATGCAAAAAAAACTAATTATCTTTCAGCTGTCAGTGTCAAATAGTCAAATTATTATTATTGTGTTGGCATCATTGAATTTATTTATGTTGATATTTGCAGTTGGTTTATTTTAGGTTCTAAATATTTAAAAAATTTCAAAATAATGGCAGAAGATGACCCCTCATATAAATCAGCGCGTTCGAAAGACGACGACAAGGATTCCGACGATGATTCCTCTTCGAGATTACAATTAGACTTAGGCGATGATTCTCCCCACAGTACCAGAGATTTAAATAGGTTAGGGAATCAAAATGTTCCATTACCAGGTAAACTATTTTTATTAGACCTTTCGTACAAACAACGTAACGAATTCATGTCCTTATAGCGTCTAGTTCCAACAATAACGAAACTCACAAGCGAGAAGACAATCCTTTTTCGTTTAAACATTTCCTCCGGAGCGATTCCGCGAATTCTAATTACCAAGCCAAAGGCGCCAGGCCGAAGACCTACGAGCACCGTTCGTCTTCCTTGAATTACGGAAATAATCCACCGGAATCGAAACCAGCCAGAGTGCTTCCCGAATACTCGTCAGCTCTACCAGACTTCGTTCAGGACCATTTAGTCATCGAACAGTGCTATTTAGGAGGGAATACCAACACCGAGCACTACAGTTTGGATGTGAATAATCTACCCGACTTTACGCCTTCCAGAGAAACCCGAAACAATGGTGTTACTATCGATAGTAGCCACTCGAGGGATCCTCTCGATTTGCCTATGAGATCGCAGGACTCGTTTCCTTTGGACTTGCCTGTAGGAGGTCCCAGCTCGAGTCGTTCTAGAAACGGATCGGTTAGCGAGGTAAGTTTATTTGTATCGTTACATGTTGATTTTATATAGAATGGATAATTTTAGGTTGGAAATTCCAAGAGCCTGCCGGATTTTCTCACGGATAGCGCGGTGTGTTCGCAGATAAATGAAACGCTATCAGTGCCCCACAGTCCCGAGGGAGAGTTGGAAAGACTGAGAAGCGAATTGGACCTCGCGAAAAGACATTTGGCCGATAAAACTAGATTATGTGATAGTTTAAATAGGGAATTAGACGCCACTAGGAATAGGGAGCGGGAGTATAATCAAAATCTGGCCAGGGCACTGGAGAAAGTCGAGGATAATTTAGAAAAAAGTAACGTAAGTGACGAGGAGTGAGGGTGTATTTGGAGATTATAAAATTGCGTTTGTAGAAAAGAGCCGCTGCCGCTGAAAATATGGTGATAAAATTGAAACATGAAGTTAAATCTTTGACTGTAAGTGATTATTATATAAAATTAATAGTTTTACTTTTATAAAATTGTTTTTTTAGGCCGAACTCAACATATTGAAGATACAAAACCCGCCAGGGCCTGGCGAAGAAGCCGCTGGTGGTCAAGGCTACAGTAATTTGAATTTCTACCGGTTAGCGCAAGAATTGAGAAGTGCCGCCGGTTCGGCGGAGCATTCCCTAAGGTATATAACCGTAGGAAAATAAATAGCAACAGATCTGATAATTGTATTTGTAGGCAATTGCTTACCGGCGTTGATAATTTGCGAATAATGGCCGCTTCTTTGGAGAATGTGCATAGATTAGAAGAGACCAGCGATCACTTTTCGAATTTCGACGAAGGCGCTGGACCGGCACTGTAAAAATTCTTTTATACACCGGCTCCCATGTTTTTTTATCGTAGTATTATATTATTAAGTGATGTACATAAATAATTTTATTTATTGTTACATTGAAAAATTTTGATACATGTGATTTTATTTAATTTATAAATATGTAATTGATTGTTAGTACTTGCCGTAATTGTATGAATCGGACGGTGGTTGAATTTCACCTTGTTTTGAGAAGGTGTTGGATTTTTTCATATCGCTAGATATCTTGAGTACTGCAATGTTATTAACGAATTCCGATGTCGATACGTGTTTATTCTATTGCTTATATCTCGTAGATTGCGATACTTAAAGATCCTAGAATCTCTTATCAAATGTTTCGTTGAAAGAAATTGTTTTATGAGTTTAGTTCGCTGTAAATTCGTCAATGGAAACCCAGTATCTTATTTCGAACGTGATATACGGTTACCAGTGCCATTCGGTTTATGTTCTTGCATCGAATGGATTTTAACTAAATTACCTACGTTTACATCAACAGTTTATTTTGTTTTAAGTAAATTTTAATTTCTCTTTTGTCACTTTTTTAATTACTTATTAACCTTATCACAACAGTTACACCTACAGTTATTCTACTTATTAATGATTGTTTTACAGGAATGATTCACGTCACGTTTTCAATCTCAGGCGAAATTTTAATCTCAAATTTGTTGTTTTCAGTCGAAAATCTCCACGTTACAACGCCATTGAAATTGTAAACAAAAACACCGATTTGGCAGTAGAAGAGGAAATTTTTTTGGCGATGAAACGTTAGCAAAACAAACACCGATTACCGAAAACGCGCTTTATTACATTCAAAGACGATAAGGGATAATAAACGGAATTTTCTGAGCGTCCCAAGTGCCCGAATACCTATTTAGGTAGTGCTCATAGACACCAACATCGCGAAGGTCAACAATTCGAAGTTTAAATTCATTTTGATTGCCCTCAATTGAATTGAATGTGTTTCGGTTTGAATTAAAATATTCTCGCGTTAACAAAACTTCATTATATTCGTGCTTTTATCAACATCAGTGCTACAAATATTATGTAAGTATGGAGATAATATATTTTTTAAATCGAGTAAATGAAGGTTAAGGTGCAATGCAATAAATTACATCATTTATAGTTAATTGGATTTCATTGTAATGAACTTGTTTAGTTGCGCTATAGATGTAATCATTTTCTTATTGTAGAAGGTTTGTAATATTTTATATATAAGGCCTGAAATGGTATAATTTTTTTATAATATAGGTACCCCAAATTCATTGCGATATTGATTAATATTTGTATTTTGCGAAGTAATACATACTCATACTTAATCATCAAAACAATTATTTTGCGCATGCGTAAATTTAGAATCGTCCAGTACATACTGTTTAGGAACTGTCTAGGAAAATCCTTGTCATATTGTCAAAGTAATTTTCACTCTCTGATATTGGTGTTTGGAAATTTCTATTTTAACTGGGCATAAAAATGTGTTTGATTCAAAAAACCGGAATCGCGGATAAAATGGAAATCGTACAGACGCTGCACAGGCTCCTGGAATTGGGTAGTAGAATACAAAGCGATCTGACTCTACTTCTGCTCAGAATAAAATTGATGAATTTGAAATTGAACCGAATGCAAAGAAGGATATCTTAAATTCACGCGCGTTTGGGTATTATTTCAATAAAAAACTTGCGTTTGTAGGTACTTGTGTTGTAAAATTTATCATCATACTTTAAATAAATGATTTCAGTATGAGTAAATTCCGCGTTTTCGTGAAAACCGCATTGGAGAAGCATCCACTTGTGACGAATTCCATTATATACGGATCATTCTGCACCATTTCCGAATTCTCCCAGCAAACTTCATCCAAAAAATTCAAAGTAAGTTATTACAGTATACCCACAACAGAATCGATTGATGTTCGAATTTTCGTAGACTCCACCGGAATCCTACGACACTCCTGCAATCGCCAGGTTCGCAATATACGGCACAGCCATAGCAGGACCTTTATTATACGGTTGGTGAGTAAAGAAATATACAGGTTGAAACGTGTTTCCAATAACTATTTACAGGTACGGCAAAATCCTCGATAAAGCTATCGTAGGCAGTACTTTTAAAATATCAATGAAGAAATTGCTAATAGATCAATTTACATTCACTCCCGGTTTACTAGGGGTATTCTTCGTTTGTAAGTACAACATTTACACCTTTACCAGGTCTTAATGTATTTATTTCAGCTATGAGTTTAATGGAGCGCAAGGAAGATATCTTCGAAGAGTGCAAGCAGAAGTTCCTGCCGACGTTTCGAACTAGCTGCATGTTTTGGATACCGGCGCAATTGGTGAATTTCATGCTAGTACCGCCGCTATTGAGGGTCACTTACATCGGAGGGTGCTCGTTTGCTTGGATAAACATTTTGTGTTACATAAAGAGGCAGGATGTCGAAACGGACCGGGTGCAATTGAACGAATAATTTTTGTTAAGGGTACCATTAGGCGATACAACAAATATTTAAGTACAACTCGTTGAGTGGTTTATGTGCGATTTTTAAATGAATATTACAGTGTAATATGAACTACGTAAAATGTTATTTTGTTATCAATCAATTTGAAGGAATAATGTATTTATTTCTAGATTATATTAAAATTATATGTATAGTATGCTTATCTATTATCTATTTACATTATTAGTATGCAGGAATTGCAATTAAAAATTTTTCCATGTACAAAAACAGAAAATTACTAGAGAAAGTATCACATAGGAAGCAATTTCTCTATTCAACTATTCATAAAGAATAAAATATCCCCTTTTTCCTATCTAATATAGTTTCTTTAGTACATTAGGGTCTAAATTCAGTTCGTAGGTTCAGTTTTATTTATAAAAATAATCTTTTAAATACTAGAAAAGAAATTTACAAAGTCTTATTAATTTTTGTGGCCTCTTCTAAGGCAGGTTTTTCAGATACAATAAGTACCAGTCCGGATAATATGAGGGTTATTCCAGACCACCACAGCAGCGATGTAGTTTCATTGAATAAAATGAGTCCAGCCAACGCCTGTAACAAGTAATTATTGTAAATTACAGATACACATTAATTGGTAGATTTACCGTAAAAATATAATTGGTGGACGAACTGATTAAGGTGGCTTTGAATGATAAAGTTTCTTGCAGTGCCTTCACGAAAAATGTCATGGAAGATGTATTGAATGTTAGCATAAGGATGAAAAATGCCAGTCGTAGAATATAGTTGCTCTGAAACAAAATTATTACTCATCATTATTTAGATTTGGTAATTTCATTATAATTTGAGTAATTTGATTAGTAAGCTAATGCTGTCATCCAAATGTCAAATTAATTACACTGAAACGTCAAACAGTAACGTCAAACATATTTAGACTAGTAATTTTTTTGACTGTTTTAGTTTAGTGTTCTTCTTAGTTTAGTTAATTCTTTGTGTTCTTCTTAGTTTAGTTAGTTCTTGTTCGTTACAGTGATGTTCTGGAACACTTAAGCAGATTTCAACAACAAAATAGGTGAGCTAATATTCCTTTCGAGTTTAAAGTTTATTTTCTCCTATTGTTTGAAAAACCCGGTTTACTTTTACAATTTATCCATGATTCTAAAAAAATAGAGGGGTCGAGGGGTTTCAACCGATGTACAGGACGGCATTTCTTTGAAATATTTTTAATATTTCAAATTTAGTTTATTATATTTTTTTAGAAAAATAAAATCTGCGTATCGGTCTCAAATTAAGCAAACTACCACCCCTAGAATTTAGTGCCATAAGTTCAAGAACACCCTGTAATTTGTATTAAAATTCCAAAAATACAACGAAAATTAATAGTAAATTTGAGCAAATGATAAGATAATATTACTTTAAGAATGTTCGCAATAACACTCACTCCTATCTCGGAGCGCCACTCATAAATTGATCAACTTCCATCTCTATACCGTTCCGGTCGGGAAAATCGAAGAGAAACATTCGATCAGATATTTTCGAAGCGGACAGAAAACAAGACTCACCTCGATGGAAGGTAGTCCGGATAACTTTCCGAAAACGCTGCCGGTCGAAGCGCAAACGCCCGAAATAACGGCGTAATACCGGTTTCCGTACATTTGTAACGCGCAATTAGAAATATTGTCTAATGTCGACGTCGTTTTTAGTTATAACGTCATTCAATAACAGCAATTTCCGCAAAGCGACACACGCTCATGTTTCGTCTCACAACAGATGGAATTGATTCGATACGGTTACCGGTTACGGTTGCGGTAGAGTGCTAAGTGTAGAGGTGGGAATTCTTTTTACATAGCACTTCTGTTATTTTGGAACGCATTGTGTATTACCCAAATACTATTTTTTAGATAAAATGGTACTTTATCATTTTTTATTGAACACTGAGTGAAATATAACATTTCATGTAATTTTGGTAACATTAAGACTAATTACTTTAAATTGTTAATTTTGTTATTAGATATATTATTTGACAATAAATTTACTTATTCAAAATTTTGTGTCGATTCCTTGTGGAAATTTCTGCCGGTGTTTTATTAAAATTAAATGTACCAACTTTAACTTTAGGTTTAAATGGAATTGCGACAAGCGATTTATGAATTCAACCGATCAACAAATTAATACCATCTAAGAAGAGTCAATTATAATTACTTCTCCGGAATGAATATTCACAGAATCCACCGGCGCAGATACCGACCGAGAAAGTAAACTTTCTGAGGCGCGCTAATTGAATAAAGTCGAATTTGTTATGCGCGATTTCTAACCGCCGAAAAAAACGCCAATTAAATCCGAGATTGAACAAGCGAAACCTGAATTATCCAGGTTTTTTTTCCGCCGCGAATCGCCCGATCGAGCGAGCGAGATAACCCTTTGCGTTAATAAAACATGGACAATAAGCGATTGATTAAATACAATTTAACTTGGAAATGCTAATCCGAGGTTAAAGAGCCGTATTTACCGACGACGCGAACTTCCGAAGACATCAGCCAGGCGCGAGGGGGTCGAATTTTACTTGCAAAACAGATCAGTTGTCAGGCGAAGGGGCCCCGCGCGCCCCCTTCTGCCTCCCCACAACCTTCTGCCCAACCCATTTTGCACGCCATCAGCTAGACCAAGTTACAGTTAAATTGAGTTTGGTGCGCAAACTTTCCCGGAAAATTTTGTTAAAGTCATCTCCGAAGTTGCTCTAGGAGTTTCCGATTCTCTCTCGGACGGACAAAATAAATAAATACTCCAATGGGTGGAAGTAGGTACTTTTTATTTTACCTTTAGGATATAATAACACATGTGTTTTACTTGTTTGGATACTTTATTTAACAAAAAAAATAGAAATAGAAATATAAAATAGAAATATAAATTCGATTGAAAATGTCGCTCTGTGTTTCAAGCAGTGATGTCCACACACAGTTCTTGAATAAAAATCAACAAGAATTGCGTTTGGACAATCAGGGCCAAAAACTACTCGAACAAAAGCCGTTTCTGCCGTTCCGCTGCGTCGACTTCGATCTGTAAATAAAATTCAAATCGGTTAACAAACGCTTTGAAACATCGGAAATCGCACGGAATTCAATTTGATTGATATTTTCCGCGCTGTCCGATCGAATTTTCTTGTAAAATCTCTGACCGTTTAACCATCGACAACGCCATTAGGGATAGTCATGTACACAAGATAAATTAGGGGGCCGTTAAATATGGACAAGACGCGACTAAGATGAATGGAATTCGGGTCCCCTTAATCTCGGAACGAAAATCCTTTTTTGTTCTATATCCCATCTCCCGTCCGGGAAGACGATTTATAAATTATACCGTCCGAAAGATCGACCGATCAACGTTTGATCCTTCTCGCTTAAGTACCCGTTTGATTGAATTCTTTAGGAAATTTTATTGAGTCGTAATTGCTGATATAAACAGCACATGATTGGTGCATCGATATGTGTTCAGTCGTCTCCAAGTAGTGCAGAAACATGCATAAATAGTGCACATATGTTTTATCAAACGTTAATGTACGATTAGATTTACTATATTTCACGAATTAGAATTGCAAAATAACGCAATTCCGTTGATTGATTGCACGCATAAATCAGTGCGATAGACAATAAATTGTTCCGATCAGATTTTGTCGCAAATATAATTGACTGCAGATACTCAATAGGTATTCGGTTAGCATAAATTACAGCTCTCAGATACACGTACGCGCAATTGTAATTTGTAATTATCCGAAGAAGAGAGTTAGTCAATGCATATATCGGAGTTTGGACGTACAAATTAATTAATCCGCACTTATAAACTCGGTTTATACATCTGAAATGTAGCGGAAAATTACGTAGAGTACCTAGTAACGAAATTCCAAATTCAATTATCAACAATTTATTATTCATTTAAACGGTTACTAGTTTCGGTTTGCACGAACAACTTCAGCCGGTTTGTGGAAAAGAAAACAGAAATAAATTAAGATGTTTGATGAATAATAATTATTATTGTTGGGTAAATTTAGATTTGATTAAATTCTGTTCCGGTGAGAAAACCGAATTTTTAAAATTCCGTGCGCTGGCGAAAAATTCGAGGTGAAACATTTAAAAATCGCTATCGAGGATTTAAGGACGTGTTTATGGGCATTGAGAACCTTAATCCACTTTTATTTGTCGTCAGTGCCGAACTGTAGAATCGGCAATCTACCCCGAAAACGTGGAAAATCTCGTTTCACGACTACATTTTCACGATCCTCCACACATTTTACCCCGAATAATATGCCAAAACGGAGGTCTCAAGAACATCAAATAATGTTTTTATGAAGATGAATGGCGCGCTGATGAGAATGTAAAGTTGTTAAATATAATGATTTCGATTACGGCTCGTAAAATCTGGAGTTATTACCCTAAAACAGATGTAATTTAATTTACATACAAGGTGTCCCTAAATTAATTACATTGGTACATTATTATTACCACAATGTCACCATTAATTGTACTGCTTTGATTATCTTTGTAACATGGGTTTGAAATTTATTTTTGAACTATATCAATGAGAATGAAAAAACTCCTGAGATATATTTCAAAGAATTATTAATCTCGCGCAATGCATTTTCGAACGATGCATAAAATTTTTAGACGTACTTAATCCTAAAAGTGAATAACCCTATGCGCATATTAATCAAAGGTTAAACTGAATCGTCGGTCTCTGACACCATCCGTCGTTTTATCTATGGGTACCAATTAGCGATGGCCAATTTTACACGGTTCATTTATCATACTCCGGTTATTAGCATATCAAAGCCTTTAATTCTGATCTAGATTGAATTATACGCGGAATAATTGACGTTGCGTCCGGCAAATGAACGACTTGACCTATTTAAGAGATGGTAATTAAACCGTATTCACATATACCTAACAACATATATCCCGTGGAGGTACTGTGGAATATATCATTCGTCAACGTGCTTCGAAAATCGGGACTGCTTTATTAATATTCTCCGCTCCTCCATCCACGTTTATACACCGGCCATTCTTCCTTTTTGGACCAACAGAATTCGTCATAACTGCGTTTGCGATGGAATTGGAGAAATGAAATCCAAGTAAAATAAAATCGAAGAACAAGAAGTGGCTTTATTACCCACTAAATTCTCGATCTTACTTTATCAAACCCGGTTTCTCACCTTATCTTTCCAAATAAATTCCCGGCTTTAAAATAACTCTTCGGAGGTTTATAGGGCGTAAAACTCGGATTCCAGAAGACTCCTTTCAATGGACAAACGAGATACGACGGAGAAGGAATTCGGAGGAAAATAATATGAGAAAAAAAATACCTAAAGGAATCGGACAGGACGTTCGGAAAAAGCGGAGCGAAATCGGGCGGAAAGTCCCCCTGGAAATGTTGAGATGATTGTTAGGCGTGCCGACGGCATACTGAATAGCCCGAAATAATTAGGTTAGGATTCATTTGCTGGTCGAGCTGGTAAAAATAAATTTGAATAATTTCGGGAAGGAAATTTCCGATGGAGTGCCAATTTTAATTTTGTTTTCCGCGAAGAAAATAAAATAAAACCTTAGCTCTCTTATATTAATTCGCAGTAACGCTCGTTTTTAAGCGACTTAAAAAAACAGTAAAGATTCGAGATAGCCCGTTCAACTTGACGGCAATTTTAAAGATAGAATAGGAAACGGCGCAGTCATAAATAATTTGAAAGGAACGAATGTCCAGTAGTTTTATAACCCCGGCTGCAGCTGTCAACGCCATCCCGCTTTCCCGAGTTGAAATGAAATTTTTAATGAATGCGGTAATACAAATTTTTAGAAAACTCTAATAAAATCCACCGATGCTTTTTTTAATTATTCATTCGCGGAGTCGCGCCTTTTAAGTCGGATGTAAAAATTCCACATTCCGCATTACATATAATAGGGTGATTAGTGCGTTAAAATCTCCTACACTTTTATGTAACGGCGAATTTTGATTCTATATAAAGAATTTGGGACACCCTATAAGTGTATCCTTTTGCTATAAAGGTGTGTTTATGTTGTAATAATTTCGCTAATGGAGTTATTTATGATCAATTCGTGTAGGTATTTTCCAATCTAGCAGGAATCAAAATTTCCCTAATATCCCTAATCATTACGCCGTAATGCGCTCATTAAGAGAGGGTTGGGTTAAAGTAATATCCGCTTGAATTCGTTAGGGAATTTTATTGAGTAGTAATACCTGCTGTGAATCACCAGAAATTACTAAAAGCATTGAAAATAGTGATCATCGCGTCGTCGCGTAGTGCACCAATAATTACATCAAATGCAAGTTACTCAGTACGAAAATGCGAATTCTTCCTAGCAGGTCAGTTTCCGTTGTAAAAACGGGCGAGTTGGGGTTTTTAAAAACCATCAGCATTAAAAGGGCGCATCCGGCATAATGACTGCTAACCAGAACAGGCCGGATTAGGATCGTTCTCTGGAATCTCTGGAGAATACGATGATGACGATGTTTAACCTGGAAAGTGCTCGTCCGGATTCTTTTTCCTGCGATTTAACTGTACTTAACTGGGAGACATGCATTCGCCATTAATGACTAAATCGGACGTGAAATCTCGTCGGGAGGCAAAACGTCTAGCAGGATTTCGGTAATTAATCCGGAGATGAGCAGATGAATGCTTCAAACATAGGGTGATTCAACTTTAGTACAAACCTAGATGGAAAATCCGGTGAATTTCT